CAATCGAGCAAGTGCATCGGCTGGTTGATGTTATTGGTAGAGCGCTGGAAGACAAACAATATTGTAGCGCAGTCTTCCTAGACATTAGCCAAGCATTCGACAAAGTTTGGCATAATGGGCTACTTTTCAAAATGGAAAGAACATTCCCTCTTCCCATTATTAAAATCTTACCTCGAAAATAGATGCTACGAAGTAAAATATAATTCCGGCGCATCTCAAATGCATGAAATTAAGTCTGGATTACCACAGGGTAGCATACTGGGACCAGTTCTCTATCTTTTCTTTACAGCAGATTTACCCACTCATGCTTCGACCACTACCGCGACATATGCAGATGACACCGCAATCCTATCAACACATGAGAATCACGAGGCTGCATCCGAAATGCTCCAACAACACCTGACTCTGATCGAAACATGGCTGCAGCTGTGGCGTATTAAAGCCAATACAGATAAGTCTGTTCAAGTAACCTTCACACTCAGAAGGAAAACCTGTCCACCTGTAAAACTTGGCAATACTGAAATCCCACATTCAGATGACGCCAAGTACTTAGGTATGCACCTTGATCGACGCCTAACCTGGCGCAAACACATATGGACCAAAAGGAAACAATTAGACTGCAAACTTCGAAGCATGTATTGGCTCACTGGTCGTAAGTCACAACTGACAGAAGCCAGTAAAATGGCTATCTATAAGGCTATACTGAAGCCTGTATGGACTTATGGCATACAGTTATGGGGAACAGCAAGTCATAGTAACGTTGAAATACTGCAGAGAGAAGGAAAACTTGAAACAAACCCTATACCAACCCGTCTGGCCAGCGTGGTATAGTAGGCCAAAACCTCCTTCCTAAGGAGAGGCCTATGTCCAGCAGTGGACTAGTAAAGGCTGTTGATGATGATGATGATGACTGGAAAGGTTTCAAAGAAAACAATGAGAGCCATGTTTAATATTCCACCGTACATAAACAATCGATATGTAAACCTAGATTTGAATTTGCGAACAGTGAAAGAAGAAATAGAGTCATACAGCAATAATTATCAAAATAGACTGGACCAACATGTTAATCAACTGGCTGCTGAATTGAGGGGGGAGGGCAGTGTGAGATTCTCTCGACTGAAGAGAAATAGTATAGATTTAGCTATGAGATTTATATGGGTATGGGATTTAGCTATGAGATTTGCGGACAGAAGATGAGTATGGCATCAATGGGTGCTCAGCTCAGCTGAAGATAATAATCCCGATGAAAATCTGACACCATATTAGATTATTGTTCCTTGGAAACAGATTGCTAAGTAGCAGGTGTGTATTGTGATCGGCTCCACACCATCCGAACTACCGGGCACAATACAACAGAAGGCAAACCAAAATATTCTATCCTTGGAAAGAGTGTGAATTTAATAACAAACAAAACACTCTAAACTGGGCAAAAGGGTGAATATAATAACAAACAAAACACTCTACACTGGGCAAAAGGGTGAATATAATAACAAACAAAATATTCTACAATGGTCAAAAGTGTGAATATAATAACAAACAAGATATTAATTAATATTATTTAACGGGATTCATGTCAAAATAACAACACGTCGATAATTAACTTTTCTGTAATGGTGCGAAATGCACCGTTACAACATGTTGTTATTACTTTTGTGCGATACCTACAAGGAATGACCTTTACCTTTGACAGCTGATCGCATAAAATGTTTAATTTGCCAATAGAAAATTCCAATTATTATTATTATTATTATATATTTTGATTTTGTTAATCTCCCTGAAAGGGGTATAATTATCTTATATCACGGGCCATAGCCAAGTGTAATCAGAATTTAGGTAATGGTGTATGTGGATTAAACTGAAGATGTGGTGAGAAATTTCCGTGTAAGTCTTCAGGTGTTCAATAAAACCGCTTTCTGGAGTAGGTGTAGGGAATGTAGTGGCATTTCTAAAATGTCTAAGATACGTTGAAGGCTTTTAGATATTATTCCGGTTGACGATATGACCATTGGAACTATATGGATGTTTACTGCTCGCCACTGTCGTTTCAATTCTTTTGCTAGATCCTGATACTTGGTTAGTTTTTCAGCTATTGTAGATTGGACGTTATGGGTGTTCGGTACTGCTATGTCTATGAGATATATAATTTTGTTTACTTTGTCGTAAAGTGTTATGTCTGGTCTATTGAAATGAACGGTCTTGTCCGTTGAGATGGTTCTGTCCCAGTATATTTTAAGGTTATTATTTTCTAGTACTGTCTCGGGCTGGTATTTGTAATAAGGTATCTTTTTGTCTATAAAGTGATGTTTGTGAGCAAGATGTTGGAGTTCTATGGCGGCTACTTGGTCATGTCGATGTTTGTAATCGGTTTGAACAAGAGATTTGCAAGCTGAGGTTATATGTTGAATGGTTTCGGGGCAGGCATGGCAGCGTCTGAGGGCAGATTTTGTGCGCGTATTATATGCTTTTGGTAGTTTCGCGTATCAATGACTTGATCTTGGATTGCTGTCACGAATGCTTCTGTCTCAGGGAACAGGTCTCCAAGCCGCAGCCATTCGTTCGACGTTAGGTTGCTGCAGGTCGTGGCGATGTCTTCCGGTCCATGGCGCTGTATGGTGCACCGGTGTGTGTTGCGGCTCTGACCGCCCCGAATAGGGCGCGCCTCTGGCGCCCCCAGAGGATATTGGCGGTCAGAGCCATACGCGGATACCGCACGGTGTCCACCGAGGCGGCTTGCGCCTTGGCCGGAACACCCCCGTGGGATTTGGAGGCGGAAGTGCTCGCCGAAGTGTATCGGCGAGTGGCTGACTTCCGGGTGGAGAGCGGATTTCGCCCTCCGCCCGAAGACGTGCGCGAGTGGCGCGAAGCCGCTCGCCGAGCCACCATGGTGAGATGGTCGTGCCGGCTGGAGACTCGACGCGCTGGCTTCGCCGCCGTGGAGGCAATCCAGCCGGTCATCGCCGAGTGGGCAGGGCGGCAGCACGGGACCCTTACCTTCCGGCTGACGCAGGTGCTTTCCGGGCACGGTTGCGTCGGAAGGTACCTGCACTCGGTCGCTAGGAGGGAATCGAGTCCCGCCTGCCACCACTGCGACTGCAGTGAGGACTGCCCCGCATGGGCGACGCAGCGCCGGGCCCTCACTGCAGTCATCGGAGCGGATCTCTCGCTACCGGCCGTAGTTCGCTCCATGGCCGGTAGCGACAGTTGTTTTACCCCGGTCGCAACCTTCTGCGAGGAGGTAATCTCGCAGAAGGGGGCGGCGGCGAAGGCCCGGTAGGACGACCTCCACTCGGACCTGATCCGCCGACGGCGAACCGGGCGACGGAGGCGCGCTCACCTGCGCCTCATGCCGCCCTGAGTGTGGCCGCGGGTGGACGGGATGGGTTCTCCCCTCCACCCGCATTAGTTTGGCCAGCCGCGAGGGGGCGGCTTCCGCGTGTGCCGGACGTCACCTAAAGAGAGGCGCTGGGAGGGGTTCAGAAGCCGATAACTACCTGGACCCCTCCTAAACTGGAAGCGCAAAGAGGGCACACCGTGTGGTTTTAGTCGGTTCGAGTCCGACACACCGCCCCGCCGAATGAGAGCCCCGGCGGGGTGTAGGGATTTCTGCTGCCATATGGTAACCTTTACCTTGATTTCAATAATACGTTCACTGCATTGTGGATTTTGATCTGCTAAATAAAGTGAGGTGAAGCGTCTGTCTGCATGCGTTACAACTTCGTGTAGTGTAGAGTGTTGTGATTGTTGCTGAAAGTACTGTCTGAGTGATGTGATTTGTCTGTTGTGTAAATTGGAAACATCTATTATACCTCGTCCGCCTTCCTCTCGCGGGAGGGTTAATCGTTGTATGCAGCATCCAGGGTGGTGTTTTCTGTGAGCTGTTAATGTTGTGTTTATAGTGCGTTGAAGTTTCGTGAGTTCAGTTTTGGACCATCTTATTATACCGAAAGAGTAGATTAGAACGGGGATTGCTTAGCTATTGATCGCTTTAACTAGGTTACGTGAATTGAGTTGAGAACGGAGTATAATATTAAGCCTATGTTTGAATTTCTGTTTAAGAGTGTCTTTTGTTTCGTTCTGATTAATTTGTCTGTCTTGCTGAAATCCTAAATATTTGTATGAATTGTGTGGTTCTAGTTGTTCAATTGTTTCTCCTGTCTGTAGCATGTAGGTGCTCGAAGTTAATTATTATTATTATATGGTTACTGGGCAAGTTGACCTAGACACTTTAGGGGGTTGAAGTAGCCATAACTTCGGATAGATTTCACTATGAAAAACCATATCCCAAACTTAACCATTTTCAAGATATTGGACTGTTAAGGTTTTTAAAAAAATTGCCAAATATTTGCCCCGAGGCTAGTATGGGAACAAAATTGCATATTAAAAAATACCTTTGTAATTGTTTTTTCCATAGCAAGGGCTTGCTTAAATGCATAAATTAATGTAAGACTATTGTTTTCCTTAGGTGCTTCCAAACCACATATGAATGTTGTTCCTCCACGTATAATCTGATAATTAATAATCTCTTGCATGTGTTTAATTTCTTCATGGTACATTTTCATTAAGAATCCACCGGCACCAAATTGTGATTTAGAAGGGTGCAGAAAAGTAACAGATAATTTTAAATAATCTTGGGTTGCTTGTTGCTCAGCCTGAATTTGTTTGTTTCAGTTCATCAATTCATCATCATCAAACAGTTCATCAATTTTAATATTGTAATTATACTGATAATATAATATTCTTCTGTCACAGATATTCTTAGTAATGTTTTTAAATTGATATCTTAACTTTATCCACAACATATTTTGAACAAAAGTTTTACATGAAATTTTCAAAATGAAGATAAAAGATTGATAATTAAATAGTTCCAGTAGGCCAAGTAAAACTTTTGGTAATATATGAATTAAAAGAGTTTGCGTTAATTTGATTACTTTATTCAATGCTAAATAAACGAAAACAAACATCTACTTTAATCAGGAATAATAACCAATTGAACTAAACCTCTACCTTTGGAAAGGATAATAATCTAACCCAGAATTATATTTAAATTTATATTTAAATCGGTTTACTTGGGTTTTTCCGACATCGATCATCTTCTGAACCTCTTTTCGGTATGCTGGAGGTAATAATTCTTCTTCTAACGTACAGGTTTTGTCAAAGGCCTCTTGAGATTTAAAAATTCTTTGCCTTATTACATCTACATCTCTGCTATATTCTTCACGTAAATCAGCGACGGCTTTAGTTCCTGTATCCATTTTAATAACAAAATAATTCGCTTCTCTGTGCACTAGTCCATGAGCAGAAGTTTTATAAGGCATAGCTCTAAATCCCAAATTTTCTATACTCCTAATAATACCTCCTCGGTCAAAAATAGCATGCGATATACGTTTTAACGAAGTTTTTAGCTCCGTCTTTGGCATAGCACGTAACATTAGAGCTAGTTCGTAAGTAGGCATTTTGAAAATTAGGACCTTAAAACTTTAAGGTTGTCTGGACATTACAACTTTACATACAAGTTACTATTTTCAACTATTTTCTTATCAGATGCCAGAGGTTAGTTTTTTTTAAACAAGACCATAGATTAGCAATAGGAACTTGACTAGTGTAGTGGTAGCCACGGCGTTGACACTTCATACATTGGCTTTTGACTCTAGGAGCTTGGGTATTCATAACGTAACCCCAGCAGAGGCCGCTAGTATGGGCCGATGACAGAACTGTCATGTGTATATGTCACAAATTTAAATGTCAAATAGTCTGTTACAGTTTTGAAGTTGATCGAAAGGTTTTGCGTTGATTAATTGCCGTAGCTTATTCTCTCAGTATTTAAAACTGTGATTACTAATATAAGTGCATTTGTTGTATAGAATATTTCAAAAATGAAATAAATTTCATGCTGTATATCGTGTCAGAAGACGAAATACGATGTTACTTTGTTTCGATTCCCTCGAAATGAAACATTACAGCAAATATGGCTTAAACAAGTAGCACCTCATTATCAACAAGCCAAGCAGCTAACTCCGCAACAATTGATAGAAAGAAAAATTTGTATAAGGCACTGAACAAAAGTTTCTTATTGGAAATAAAAGGCTATATAATGCTTGCTCTACATTAATGTCTGAAGAAGAAATAACAAAAAGAATACCAACAAATCCTGTGAATATAGAAGGTTAGTGAGTGGTTAAAATAATTGGTCATTGTATTTAAATTAATATGATGTGTTAAAGTTTGTGTGTAAAAGTAGTTTATAATTTACCAAGAGCTCTAGTTATGTTACAGAATGATTTTTGTTATATACCTCGCTGTTTTTAAATTTCAGTTGAAAGTGATCACACATATGCCAAATTAACTACTACATTAGATCACAATTATTGTAAGGGGCCCTTAATGAATACGACTTGTGCACAGCCAAAAAAAGTTCCTTTTGAAACAAATTAAAGGTTGGGCTCAGTTGATCAAATTGAAGCCCTCAACATCGATGGAAAATATCACAACAAGAGGTAAGATAAATTAACATATTTTTAGAATCACATGCTTTGTTATCTATTTAGTAAAACAACTTTGTTCAGTATTAAGGCAGCTTTTGAACTAGAAAGTTTCCTACTACTACTACAAATAACTACATAACTGTATATGTGATACAAGTATACACTCCATTCAAGAGTACAACTGAAAACCCTATGTGGTTTTTTCCAAAGCCATATCATAATACAAAAATGTATTATTGACTAGTTTAAAACTATTATATAGCTATTAAAGCAAGTATTGAACAATTTTGGACAAAAATAATCCTTTAAGTTTCAGGTGTAAAAGTAATAGTAAATGTTTTTTGCAGTTAAGCAGCAACAATAAAACACTACAGTTTTTATTGCTGTAGTAGTCCAAACAATAATTTTGTTTTTTTTGTAGGTCATCAAGCAGATGGAAGCCTGGTTAGCAGCACTGTAAGAAACACAGCGGATGCAGTTGAATTCTTTGACAAATTGTTTGATAGTTGCATTGGATCAAGAGGAGGCCAAGCTCCCGGAAATTGAGGGGCCCTGTGAAACTTAATTCACCACATGCAGTATTTTGGGCTGATGCAATTAAAACTATTAAAATTTATATATATATTAATCATGCTAGCAGAACACAAAAAAATTAAAAATGTTCCCACATTGGATAATGTGATGACAACCTTAGAAAGCCATTTAAGGTTAAAAGATGTCTTGTTTTCTAAAAAAGTTTTGTTCTATCATACAAGTAATTTCAACCAAGATCCCCTGAAAAACTTTTTTGGTAAAATAAGATCTCACAATTATGAAATAATAATCCAGATACATACACATTCGAAAACTCTTTCAAATCCTTGATTATGACCAATATGCTAAGTATTCATTCTAATTATGCAAATTGTGAGGATGATGTAGGGGCAACAATATTAAATCTAAAGTAATTGTTGTCCCCATGTCATTCATACCAAGCAACCACGATTGTAGAAAAAGAGCCAAATATTGTACAGAAGAATGCTGCAATATCAACTTCTTCTACTTTCATATAGGTTGCATAATCAATAATGTAAGGGGTTTAAATGTATTAAATGCAAAAAAAAAACAATGATTACAAAGGAGTTGACAAATGTGCATGAATTAACTTTGTATAGAGAACGAAAAAGTTTAAAAAACAAAAACTTAAAGTATCCCTGTACCCAATTATTGTAGCATTTTCTCAATTAATCAATGCAATAAACTAATACTTGGAACATAACTGCAATAAAAAATACGTATACAAGAATGTTAAACCAAAAATATTTAGAAGAAATAAATTTGGAATGGTTGGGCTGTCCTTCCCATAAAGATCTATTAAAAGAACATTTTATTAAGATCATAACACGATTACAAATTTTTAATTGGTGCCGAGGCATCAACTTAATTTTGGGTGGAACAGTTCAAAGAAAGGTAAAATAGGCAAATTTAAGTACAGTTCAAAAATTAGACTACAACAAGTTTATGAAAAGCAGGAAATATAAGATTAAAAACTAAAAGTTGTTTCAATTTTTGTACCTTTTTAAAAATGATAAGAATAAAAAATAAGACTAATTTCAAAATGAGGGAAACCGACTTTTCGCATCACTATTTTATCGATTTCGATACGACGATTTTGATGGTATGCACTGGCCTACGTTCGGCTCACTAGCGCCCCTAGCGGATCATCGTCATGAAGACTCAAACTCATATGAAATGACGTTTGTTCAGGAGGTGTCTTATCTGTACTATGTACATATCTCTTAATCTGTGGTGGTAGCTTCTTGAATCTTGACTTGATGTTGATATTTCTCAAATGGGTTCTCCTTAATTGGAGTTTTAAATGTAACTTTTTTTTAATTTACTATTTTATATGTTAAATATATATATACAAATAGTTAATTGGATGAACAACATTTAAAAAATATTGCTCTCGTTAAATTAATTGGTTAGGTACTTTTAATTTTACCATATTCTATCAAATTGCAACGAATATATTACATATTATACAAATATGCATGTCTTTATATAGCTAAACTGGACGGAATCCAAACATGTGTTATTTACTCGTGATAGAAACGTTTTGAATAATTAATGAGAAATGTGTAATAATATGCCTCACATGATAGTTCAATTTAAGGAGGGAGAAAGTCTATGTTCGTCTGCACTAGCCCACATCACATTTCCACTACGAAATAGCCTGTGCCAAATTAATCCGAAGCATTCTTGTCTTCTATGTAATTCACAATTTAGTTCTGACATAGTTGCTGGAGGTAGGAGCCTAGAGGTAGTTACAACATGTTTATTTCTATTTCTGGTATTTGTAACGGTACGCCGTGCCAAGCCATATTAAGAAAGGCAAGCTATATGAAGCAAACTCAAGCCATATCAAGTCAAGCCAAGCCAATGCTGCGCCACGACAGTAGTCTTTGTTTAGTACACGTACGATGTACTGAAAGGTACTAGTACTGGGTATTGTACTAAAAGTAAAGTTTCCGAAAGGCAGCTGTTAATCGGTCAATTTGCACTATTAGTACACAGTGTCAACATCACGGCAGTACTAAAACTACCGTTCGTTGTGCGACGTACAATTACTGCTCCGCTTTATTGTTTCGTACCTATTGGTAAACAGTGTGAGAGTAAAAGGGACAGCGATACAGGATGTACTACAATACGTAAGTTGTTAAGTATGAAGGATTATCAAATAGTATCTTATAAGTTTAATGTGAAGTAATCTAAAAATAATAAAAAAATATATTTAAAAGTCAAATTGTTAGGGTTTATGGGATTCAGAAAGGGATAACACATTAAAAATAATCAAGAACTTGAACTTTGTAATTATTCCTATACTGAAGAAAAGTAACTGCCAAATACAAAGCCATCTACATTAAAAAAAAAAGAAAAAGCGCGGTTGCCTATAAAACTCTATAACACTTTTTTTTCAATTACTTGGTATTCCGTTTCATTGCTGTTAGTAATATCAATACAAACGCTTAAGTTTTCTAATTCAACTAAAACTGTACTAATAGTACTATTGCGGCGTGCTAGTACGTTGTACGAATTGTACTAGTACGGTGCGAACCTGCAGATGTCCGGTTAAGCACAAGACTACCAGTTTAGTGCCGAAACTGTCAGCCAAGCCCGCCATTAATCGTCGGCGACGTCACATCCAACTGTCTAACCATGGTTATAAATTCCTGTCCCGCTCATTTGGTAGATTCATTCCGTTGTGTACACACGAATAAGTAGGAACTCTTGCCGAATTATATACGTATACAAATTATAATTATAATCATAAAATAAAAAAATAATTAATAAGGGAAATCGTTTCGTTTATTATTGTCGCTTGTTACATATTTAAAGCATGTACATCACTTCTTTTCAAGGAGTTATGTTTGTTTTTATGAACATATATTTTCTGTAGATGTATTAACTTATTTTTAATTTCAGCTGAAATTGTCAGCAAGTTATGAAAGACAAAGTTTGTGTTGATCTCACTTTATTCAAGTCAACTAATACTAAATATAAATAAGTATGCATTATATTGCCTTCCAGCTTTTATAGACAGTCAGAAGTCATTAAGTTTTGAAAGAGTAAGGATAGTTATATGGACCAAGTCATAGTAATATAGAGCATGTGCATTATTACACAATGGTGTCAGTTTTGTGATATGCATAGCCATTTCATGTATTGATTGAATTTGTTCTTTTAAGAAGACTGACAAAAAATCAGTACATTGATAGTCATTCACATCTTCCGCCACTGTTATTAGCTCTTCTATTTTCTGATGAACAAATTATTATTATGTAAAGTGGTTGTAAGGTAGTAAGGTGAAAGATATGTAGTATCAAACAAATATATATATATATATATATTAGGTCTTTACCTATGAAATTGCCGTTTTGTATGCAATAATTGAAAGTACTTATTTTTTCAAACTTTTTTATTTCTGTTATTCGAAGTAATCACCCATGCAATCGACGCATCTTTGCCAACGCATTGGCAGTTTATTGATGCCCTTCTTGTAAAAATCAGCTGGACGGGAGGCAACAAACTCTTCAAAGGCATTTTGTACTGCCTCTCGGGAATTGAATTTTTTACCCACTAAAAAGTTGTCTAAATTTTGGAAAAAGTAATAGTCGGTAGTTGCAAGGTCTGGTGAGTATGGCGGATGAGGGAGAGCTTCCAATCCCAGCTCTTGCAGCTTGGAGACTGTCTGTTGCGCAGTATGGGGTCGCGCGTTATCGTGAAGGAGCAGTGGGGACGACCGATTGACCAAAGGGACCACCAGACCTTTTTGGTATAAGAATTTACCCAATTTTGCTTGTGCCCAATAATTAACACTGAGGTTATGCCGTTTTTATCAAATTTGGCTCATGTCAATGAAATGTCTCAGAAATAAAATAACAGGTCTTCTAAGTCTGCAGTAAGCATAAATCTGTAGAAATCCGTCATGTGAATATTGCGGGCTTACCGCAATATAATATTCACATCACACTTTTCATTGTGAGAGTCTAAGTTTTAGGGTAACAATATTGCTTGAAGTTGTTGGGTTCAATCTAAATCGTTGAACTATCTCATTGTCTTCTTCATCATCTTCATCAGTGAAACATGATCTACCCAGATCAGATCGTCGCCTTGAAACAGAGCCGGTCACTCTAATTTGTCGATAGTTTCCGTCCAACATAGTATTCATCGTGCGTGCTATGTATTCATCCGCCCGCCATCATTGAGCCCATGCGGATACGCATTGGCAGTATCCGTAAAAAATCAAGATATGAACATTTTCCTCGTTCGTATAGGTCATCATCTTCAACAGTATCAGAAGCACAAATCAAAGTCCACTTAGCAATAGTTAATCACGATACTATCGGCTTGTACGCTAATTCTTAACACCCCCGGTCTTTCATCTAATCTGATACTATCTTAGACTATTTTACCTTGTTAGATAGCTGAAAATACGCACATGTTTTTTAAGATTTTCTTATGTTACTTGTCAAGGATTTTATTTTATTTATTTATTTTTCCTATTATTAACCATCTACTTTGGCCCAGTTTGTTAAGTTTACTACGGTTTTAGTAATTAAAATTATAGAACAATTTATCAACTACACAAAAACAGTAAAAAAAGCTTAAAATAAAGTATATAACTTCTTAAAAAATTGCTAACAGGCAAAATTTCGGCATTTTCATAAAAAAACTTAAAAGTCCTATATCTTGAATATGTTTATTTTTGGGCAATGGTATTTCATAGTGAAATCTATCAGAAATGATGGCAACTGCAACCCCTTACAGTATTAATGTCGACTTACCAAGTAACCCTGTATATTGACTTGCCACTATCACTGTTTATTTTAAGAAATTTCTGCCTCAAGGATTCATAAAATTTTTTGTCGCATTTCCTTTATTCCTTTTGATTTACAAAATCCTTTTTGATTCTGAGTCTGATTACACTGGATTCACCTGAATGAAAATAAAAGAAACTCAGCGTCTTAAAAGGAAAAAAGGAACCCTTATAAGATCACTTGGTTATCCGTTAGTCTACCTCTATCTATCAAGTCAACACCATTTTTCTCAGGTTTTAGGTATGAAGTTAAAATTAACATCATACGTTGAATCTGTAGTTGTTTACGCAGATTGTTTTGCTTGAAACTCAGCAGAACCAAAACTGAAAACGTGTGCCAAATTTGGCGACCTCTTTACTAACATCTAAGTAGTAGTAGTGTAGGTTCTTAGTGTACCTTGACTTTTGCTGCAAAGCTTTAGAAAAATAGACGGAAGTGTTCAGCGGTGAGTTAATATAAGTTGAATAATATGCTTTGTTTTATATTAAATTAAAGGTACAAGTGTGAATAAAAAAGGATCTTTGGCAGTGATGCGGACTTGCATGAATGTTTATTTACTAAAAGAACGAATGTGATACACCTGCATGCATCAATGCGAGTAAATGTGCGAGGGTTGAGATTGAAATAGATGCGTGAAGGACTAGGAGAAATGAGGTGAGCTGGAAATACACTAACAGAAGCCTGAAAGTAGCGTCCGTGAGTTAAGAAAGAAAGGACTAAGGCCTTAGTCCTTTCTGACGTTTGAAGCACACTAATTGCGGCAGATAGGTGTTGTTATTGAAAGTTGAGGAATAGAACAGTTAAGGATGATCCAATTAAAGTTGGATATGGGTGGATGATATGCGCTTTTATAAAAGGAAGGTGAATTTACTTTTAATCCATAGAGAGATGTAACAAATAATTAGTTTATATTTCTATCAAAGTTGCTATTTGGTTGGAATTAATGGAGTACAAATTGTGTATCGATTAAAATACACAAAATTGACCTTTAAAAATTGATTTTCAAACTCGTATCGAACAATCGTACTTCATATAAATGAAATGAAATTTTGTATCTGCATTAAACATAGACAAAACTGGAAAAGTGGAAACGAATCAAATTGAATCAATCATGGCGACAGCGTGCGCTGTATGTAATTTGGTGAAACAGTAATTTGACATATCAAGTGGTATTCGTATAATCCCAAAAATCATGGGATCATTTGCAAAGTTTGTATCGGATTACTGTAAAACTTGGGAAAGATCCGGCAAGGAACAATTGTAAGCTTTCTTCACATGTTTGTTGTACACAATTTTATGGTCAAAATAAAACCAAATATTGATAATGTTGTTCTAAAGTGACGAAGGTTTAGTTGTTTTTTATCACTTCTCACTACAAGATGTTTTATTCCTCACTTATTGACACAGTATGCCGATTTATTTATTTTATTTTATAAACCACTCATGGTTTTAAAAATTCCGAAGTTTGTTAGGGTTATCCAAATACATCGGGTTGTTGTCGATATTAATGGTGTTTCATAAAGCATTAGTAAAATAAGTCAATGTACCTGTTTACATTGATTTATTTTGAATTGAAATTGATTTTGCATATTGAAAATGCTATATAAAATATTTATTCAGTATAAAATACATTCTGTATAAATTTACCTTTTTTTTTAAATGTATCTTTTATTTTTCATTCTAACTTTTAGTTTCATGTATGAGTAATACACATTTCTAAAATAATAATAGAATATAAAAACTTCAAGGTTTATCCATCATTCTTATATTTCAGCATCAAACATGTAACTCAATTTGTCAAAGATTCAGAAAGAAGTCCACTCTTTTCAAAATCTGGTAAACTCTCTGGTTTATCCCAGACTCTGTATGACTTATTGCTGTGTGGACTCAGGGGTAATCTCAAGAAAGATGCTGTGTTATCTGTTCTCAGGGATATTAGTGTAAGTTGCGCAATTCTCCATATTAAAATTATTTTAAAATTCACTATAATAATAATATATTCTTTAATAATAAGTATTGTGACTGAAAGTTGAAGTGGTATGCTGCTAGTCTTAGAAACACTTACTACACTTAGGTATGTTTATTTAGGGAATCTACTTAATCAAATTATGCAAGTGTTAGGTTCACATATAAATTAATAAATCAGCAAAATCTTGATGACCTTAAAAGTTGTAATAAATAAAATGATACAGTAAATGTTATGTATTGTTTCCGTTTATTCAGAATATTTTTTAAAGTAAACCTTTTCATCAAGCAAGAGTTCATAGTTCATAGTTCATTTATTCACAAACAATAATATAATTGTGTTTGAATGTATAAGAATTCGCCGTAATACAAAAATATTTAAAAATTAAAACAAAAATATAAATAACATAATAATAAAAAAAAAAACAAATAAGTTTGATAGATTTTACAATGTCATGCAGAATACAAAAAAACAAATGATAAATTATATTAAGGCATTTAATGATTCAAGAATATTATTCACAATATTTATTATTATTACATAAGTTATTAAGTATTTAATTGCATATATTTTGATTGATAAATTCATTGATGGAATAATAGTTATTTTCCAACAGGAAGGCTCCAAGTTTTCGTTTAAATAAAAAAGTCCTATAAATTACGCTTTTTATGCTTTCCGGTAAACAGTTAAAAAGTTGTATTTTTTCCTACAAAGAAAAATAATGTCATTCTGTATTACTAACTACTACCTCATAACGATCCCATTTATATTATGAATGTAAAGTTTGTGACAGTGGATGTATGGTTGTTTGTTACTCAATTACGCCAGAATGGCCGAATGAATCTGAATGAGAGGCAAATTTTTACTAAGGATAAGTTGATTGATGCAATAAACATTAACTCCTCATGTGCCGACATGAGGAGTTAATACTGGCGAAGCCACAGGTAAAAGCTGCTTCTTACATAAACATTACTAAAAAATTTGTTAACTTAAAACAATTTATACACTATTTTCTCTTATTTTTTTCCATACTTTTAGATATCCCTATCCAATCATATTTCCAGTTGAAAAAAAATTTCATCAACAGCCTTAATAGTCCACTCTTGGACATAGGTCTCTCCTTAGAAAGGAGGTTTGACCTACTATACCACGCTGGCTAGACGGGTTGGTATAAGGTTTGTGTCAAGTTTTCCTTCTTTTTGCAGTGCTGGTGGCCTGCGTTGAAATTAAAATTAATATTATTTAGAGAGCTAAGAAGTTGTTTTTGTTATAAACCTATTGTAGTTAGTGATTAACAAAAAGATTAACATAGCGAAACTGTATGTCCAGAATTGATAAAATATTGCAATTGACAAAATATTGAAAATATTTTGATGACTGTTTCTTTGACATATTTTTTTTAAAACAATTATCTTCCAATTTTAATATTACAGTGCATATATTATTCATATATTAATTGTTGTATGTATGGATAAAGGTTCATTATAATAGGCTCAGTGACTAAGTCCCTCACTGTTGCTTAGTTGACAAAGTGTAACTAATACCAATACCGATAGGTTACAGGCACTTGCAGTAATTTTTACTAATCAAATTTATTGTATTACAGTTATTGCATGCAGATATACCATCTATAATTCTAGATGTTGTGTGTGTCCTTGATGCTGAGACTTGTGCAGATGTTCAGAATGAAGAACGCACAAACTTTTGTTATATTGTACGAGAACTGGAATCTTTCATATCTGACAAGCTGCTCAAGGAAAGGTTGGAAATTGACACACTACAAGATGTTGGCACATTAAAGAACAAAAACTTTTATACTAAATTTATTAAAATAAAAACTAAGTTGTAGTACGTATCTTTTAAAGGTAAATTGCAAATAGTATTACACATTTTATGGCATATATATTTTTATAAAAACTTAATTTTTCAGTTATAAACAACGTAAGTTCAACTTATTTAGAGAAGAGAGTGAAGGGTATGCTAAGTTGATTGTAGAATTAAACCAGGAAATAAGTGAAAATACAGAATGGAAAACATTATTGGAAATCATTCAGTCACTGATAGGTACGTAACATTTTTATAACTTAAATGAACTCCTCATTACTACCTACAGCTTTACTCTATGTGTAAGACATATGAACACAGTATATAATGATGACCCAATATTTCCAACTATGCAACTGATTTAAATGCAGTTTTCACTAATAGAGAAATGGATTCCAGGGGATGGATGGATTTATATGTAATGCATGCATATTTTAGTAAAGACATCCGAGAATTTCAATTTGTCATTAAAAACATGTTTTAAATGTGTACCTACACTGCAAACTCTAGCTAAACCTTACGAGATAGATCAAAATAAAATAATACAGAATGGGATATCTTAAAAACATCTACAATAAAGTCGTTGATAGTATGTCTATCTCCTAAGAATAACCCACAGTCACCATTTTTATCTTTTACATACTACAATAAATAATGGGTAATTTAGGAAGCTATTTTGAACAATGTATATATTTAATACTATTATTTATAAAAATAAATACGTTAGATACATTGTGCATTTAATGTACATCAAAATTGCCTATTATGGGTACAGCACATCATTAAAGTGAACATCTTAGTAGATAGTATCAGTGATTTACCTCGCGGGGAGAAAGCGGCCGGGGCCGCGTTATTCCGTACGTCGGTCCCGGGTTGCAACGGCCGGCAGGAACGGAGCGGGTCTATGAATATTGCTTAAAAAGATGTATTGTAATATAGTCTTCTCATAATAATAGTTTAATTAATTACTCTACACTGTAATCACATTAGTAGTAGTATCTACATTGCACCTGTGGAAGCCGGGGCGAATCGCTAGTATTTATTGAATACTGAATAATATTATAAGAACACTAGGTTGAAGACAACATCACAGTGGGTGGAGCTACTTTGCACAGTATCTACTTGTTGGTCTACTGGTTGGTGGGTACTGATTCCCATCCAAAACAAATATTGTGTGATGAGCATGATCATTTGTACCATACCATAGCACAGTTTCTGCCTAATTTGGAATCAGAAGGCAGCGTGTGAGATGTGTGAAATATATTATTATTATTGAAGCATGCATTCAGAAGGTAGAATTATGAATAGTTTGTATAATTTTCACTTAAAGTTACTACTTACTTAACATACTAAAGAGTACTTACTCTTTGTATTATCTTGCAGTATTTGAAAATTATATGAATTTTATAAAGACCTTAATAACCTTCATTATTTCTTTTCCAGGTTGTTTCAACTTAGACCCCAATAGAGCCTTGGATATAATACTAGAATCTTTTGAGGCACGACCACATTTGGATCAATTATTTATTCCACTAATAAAAAACTACATGGGTGACCCTCAAGTAATCTCAGAGGTCCTAGGTTTCAAGTTAGGAAACATGGAAGTACTTGATAATTATAAAGAACCACCCCCCATAATGACTGTGATAGCTTTACTTTTACAACATCAAGTTATATCCCTCGATGACATATATCCATGGGTATGTAGCCTATTTTTGGTTTTATAATTTGTTATAAATATGACCAAAGAATTTATTGTCATAAGAACCAAGTCACTTATGTGAGAACACTAGACAGCATTTAGTGTATATTATTATGTTATATTCTTTAAAATAAGTCATATAAATAATAATTCATTTAATTAAAAAATAATAATTACTAATAGTATATGTATCTTTTTTATTAAAATATATTCTAATGGAATTTATTTAAGTATCCTGGTTATATGATATTCTATTTATGATATATTTATCATAAAATCACATTTTTAAATTCTGTGCATCTACCACTTTTAGCTCTGCATCGCCCTAAGGTCGACTGGGAGAAAATGCCTACGGCATAAGTCCGTCTTTGCCACATTTATGCATATAGTATAAATAAAATAAATATTAGTGTCTTTTTTTTTAGATGGTAGTTTGTTGTAAAGTTTATGTTTAACCAAATTGCTGTGAGAAGAAAATTGAGACTAGGCTGGCAAATACAGTTTCTAAACGACTGTTTATTTAATTAAAAGTGCTTTAAAATAATCCTGGCTTGCTTATTACATGTTAATATAATAAATTGATTTGTGTTGTTTTCATGAATTTAGCTACGACCAGATGATACGATAATGGCCAAAGAAGCAGAAAAAGAACTAAAAGCTGTTCAGGATTACATTCGTAAATTAAGTATAGTGTCAACCAAAGGACCTCAAACAAATGGTTCCACAGAATTTGTTGAGGAAAAAGCTGACCCACAGGTAGGCAAAAATATTAAGGTACTTTATGATAAGGCATAATGTATTATTGGTTGTAATGTATAATAACTAATTTACAATTTCGCTATTTATTTTTTTTATATTTTGACATTTCTTGTTCTATATTCATTTTACGTGTGGTGACGGACTAAGAATACGGAATGTCACCACCCCAATTCATCCCGTGGGTGTCGACTAAGGGAGCTACTACTAACTACGTAGGACAACAGCACTGCAAAGAGAAGAAAAACTTGTAACAAGCCCTATACCAACCTGTCTGGCCAGCATGGTATAGTAGGCCAAAACCTCCTTTCCAAGGAGAGGCCTATATCCAGCAGTGGACTATTATAATGCTGTAGATGAATTCTTTTTTTATAATGCTCATTTTAATGTTTTACATAACCGATCGTCAATTGCTGTTACTTTGAATACTGTATGCCCAAATGGCTGGCCTTAGATGACCATCAGGTGACTCGGCTGCTTGTTTGCCCCCTATTCCATAGAAAAAAACCTTAATATTTTGTAGCCATCTTATATACATATGTACCATAATAAAATACTTTGACTTTGATGGTTTGCCAACATTTATATTTTTTTACATTACATTACAATTTTTTTCGTCCCTTCCTTTGATTAGGCATTTAAATATTACAAGTGTGGATGTGTTTTTGTACTCCTATGCCTCCATTTAAATAATATCCATTTATTTCTATTGTCGTTTTTTTTTATCTACATACATTTCCCTTTCGATGTACTCCCAATTTTCTCTTCTTTAATGCCCAATTACACGGTTGAAGGCAATGCAAAAGGCTTGCTATTAGGCCTGCAAGTACATAATGGGACAAGTTACAATTGGTGGTTGATGGGGGTTTAATACGCCTCGTCCTTTCGTAATACATTTGTATGTATTGTGTTGTATATATTATTGCTGCCCAGTCTGCCCTAATGAAAATGGGCATTCCAGTTTCTGATTAGTGTCCACATCTATAATGTCACTGCGATCACAATCACAAACTTGTTACATATACATATTAACATTACAAACTTGTTACATACTTTGGCATGTGGTCACAAGTCGGCACTTGCTATACAAATGTTTTTTTTTTTTCAATAAACAGCACATTAACATTAAAAATTCGTTACATACTTTGATATGTCGTGACAAGTCGCCACTTGCCTTACCAATTGTTCTTTTTTCTACAATAAACAGGAGTACTGGAGTAATCAAAAGCTGGTTCTATGTGAAGCACTACTGAAGGTGACTGCATGGCGCGATTTTGCAGCCCTATCGGCACGGTTACCTACTGCAGTCATGCCTGTACGACCTGCAAAAGCTCTGTGTGGGATGTTGCATGCACTTGTCGAACCTCTATATAGAACGTAAGTATGTTTTAATTATGTGTGAGTAGTTCGTCATATCACAAAATATTACAAGAAAGGGATCTTTAAACTTCATTCACAGTAACAGTTTTCGTGTAAAGTAAATCCTAACTTAGGATTATTGTATAGTATAATAATAACCATTGAAAAAAAAAAGTATATGAGAAATACATACAGTGGTCAGCAACCCTGACTGCTTACTTTGTAGGTTCGATTTTCGCCTAGACAAAACAATTATGTGAGAAGCATGGAATTTTTTTCTGTGCCTGGGTGTAATTTATCTTTAGTACATTATGTATTTGGGAATATCCTCGTTATCGCGTCGTGTGTTCTCAATACTGACCTGCTGAGAGTTTTAACTTCGCTGCATTCTTTCATGGTTTTTTCCGGCATTTTGACCTGAATTGACTGGCCTATATTTGGTCCAGAAAAACTAGTGATCGCCAGGGATAGAAAAAACTGACGTGAGTTTAAGTAGACCATAAAAGTAACCACTATTTATTTCTTATTACTCAATAAGAAATAAATAGGGGTTACTTTTTTCACAAAAGTAGTACTCACTCCTTTTGTGATTGAGCTCTTGTACGACTTTGTCACTAATGTGATCTAATTTTATTTTATGGTAAGTAGAAGTCTTTTAATTAATGCTTGTTTTTTTTTATTATATTGCAGCAATTGCAGAGTAGCTCCAAAGATCATAGGCAAACCAATCCCACCTCTGAAATCAAGTTTAGCACCTATGGCATGCAAAACATTTCAGGACATGAAGGAAACTGTTATTCCTGCTTTAATATTGCTAGGACCATCATTACACTATGATCCTATATTAATGTACAAAGTAAGTGTAAAAAATTTCAAAACTAATGAATTAAGAACTTAGTAATAAAAAGCTGATAAATGTGACATACTCCGCTTATTATCATATTGATTATTACACTAATCCATTGAATACTAAATAATTTAATGCCTATTTTCTACCTGACATCCTTTGGATCCTACAACCAAAAAATAATTTAAAATGATTTATATACCAACAAAATAGGAAAACTGAAAAGGAAGATAAAAAACATATTAGCTGACATTGTACATGTTCATGTCATAAATGTGACATGTTCAACAAGATAATTGATTCAATGATATTAGATTTCAATTTTAACTTAACTTTATAGATAATTCGAATACTGAGGACAGCACGATCTCAAAAAGAAGATCCTTTGCATCATGAAACTCTGACAGTATTAGACGCGGCCATATTGCCAGCTCTCACTTTGATGGATGGCAACTGTTGTATGGCTGAGGAAGTATATACACTATTAAAACTATATCCATATCAATGCAGGTAAGGTTAAGACATTCTTTTTAAAATTAAGTAGTAATATTTGTTTTTCTTATACAGAGAGTTTCATTTCCTTTCACAAATACTTAAGCCACATATTCTACCCTTAATTTCTAGGCGATTTGCAAAATATGAACAAAATATATCCAGTAGTTTAGCCACAGGACTCATTTTTGTGTTTCGTAAATTGCAACATCATGTGTACATGCAGTCATAATACATTGACCTCAGGCGGCGATCAGTAGGTATACGCGGCGCGGTAATCACACGTTGCCGCTTTTACTACACCCGAATCGAACGAAATATGTTGATTATTACGTCATCACGATGCAACACGCGTTTTTAATTAGTTCGGTCGGCCCTTGGCCACCGGCGAGCTTATGCTATTCCGTATCCTTGTAGATGCGCTCACGACAAATAACCGTAATAATAATATTGTTGTTGTTTATGAGATACATATTTGTTTAGAGAAGTTTTCTTGTGGTAATAATTGTTTAGTCTTATTGCTTTCGTCATAATACACGGCAATGGTGTGAACAATTAATGTTATCGTGTGCGCAAGACTTCGTAATGTAAGGAGTCCTGCTAATTTTATTTTGAAAAGTCACTATTAGGTTCTGTGTGTAGTGTAGTGTGAAACTGAGTGCATTATCAGTCTTTTAATTTTATTGGGTTATCGATATCAACATCCATAATGCCGTGAGTGACCTTCACAGCCGCGGAATATCCTGCTATGATGTTAATTTATGGAAAACTCTATCAAAACGCATCTTTTGCTTTACGGACACGTATGGAGTCAATCGTGTATGTCCTACAGACTGCCGAATTTTTGTAAGGGCGGTACAAAGATTACGAGACAACCAAGGTAACTACTTTTTCAAGGAGTGACGCGTACTGCTGGGTCGGAAGCTAGTCGAGCATTCACGAAATAAACACGTGAATAAAATCGCATTCTTTATAAATAGATTTTTAAAAGCAAGTGAAGTGATTGGTAGGTAGGTAATAAGAATGTAAAGTTCGCCGGCTCGCGGCGGCGGCGGCGTCGTTTTGATGTCGCCGACATTGCGACGCTGCCGTGTAGGTACAGTTCACCGACTCATGTTATCAATGGTGTTCTAATTCGGAAATTATTTTATTGTATTTAGTTTGTTCTAAATTTGCATTTCTGTATTTTCGTACTAATTTTTTATTTTTTTATTTTAACCGACGTATATTGAACCGTGTTATCTGTTATTTCATTTTTTGTGATATCTATACCGCCACAGTGTATATATTTTTTACTTTTAGATACTGCCTATATTCTCGATGGAAAAACGAAGCTGCCGAACGAATACCGTCGTTAATGCGTGTGCGCGGTAATTCCTTACAAAGAATAAAGCACATAATGAAACGCGTTTCTAAGGAAAATATAAAACCACAAGGTCGCCTTATAGGAAAATTGTCGCACGCTGCACCTACCTTAATATTTGACTACATGCTATTACAAGTATGTATTTGTGATTCATAATTTAGTTTGTTAAATATAGTTTTTTTTTTGTAAAACTGACGATAGCCATATTGACAAACCACTGTTGTTTAAAAGCTTACATTTAAAACCAGTTAAATATATTTAAAACCAGTAAAATATCATCCACCACTACATAAAAAAAAAAAATGTTGGGAGGTGGGTTGGATGACTAACATAACATATCTAGCAGAAATTTGATATCCTGATATCTAGGTAGTACAGGATTCAACCACAATTCCTGTTTTCCTATTTAATATTTATTAAAGAAGAATTTCATCAGAAGTAGTTCAAGGAAGTTGGAAATATTATTAGTAGGAGAGCCCTAGAAGGGATTTCGGGATTTACTCGAGCATGTCAAATTAACATAGGAGGAATACCTTACACCCAGTTGAGTACCTCCACCATACATGAGCCCTACATATAGGGGGGATCGTCTAGGGCAGCCATTCAGTTTAGTTAAAAAAAAATACGATGGCCATAAATAACCGAGCGTGTAAGATTAAGGTTAGTTAAGTCAATTACATGCACATTAGTGCAGTAATAAAAAGCATATAAAGTAGTGAGAGGGTCACAAAGTTCGAAAAAAACACATGACCTTGACATTTCCTTTTTTTTTAAGCAAGCAATGGAAGCAATCTACTTTAAATGTCTACATCATTTTTATTTGTCACATTTAAAAAAAAAACAAAATCCAAATATTTCAAACCGTCAGATAATAAATAAATACTCTGTAAAATTATCGTCGGATTTTTGGCTAATATAACAGGAACATCAAGTTGAACCGTCTGTATAAAATCTAGCACGGTCGGGTATGTCGAAATGGCGATTTTTCGAATTTGCAGTTTGCATTTTCGATAATTCGCTACCAGCTTGTGTCACTTTAAAATCGTCAGACCTTTGAATGGGAGCATTTTTGGCGTCCAGAAAACATAATCCCAAAATATCTGATGCGCCCGAATATTTTTTTTCCATTTCTCCCCTTATTTTTTGAAAAGCTGTAGAAGCCTTGCCCACCTATGAAAGTGGAAAGATTATAAAACTTTTATTCATTCTATTACCTAATCTTTCAAATGCAATAGGTTCCCATGACGCTCGAGTAAATCCCGATTAAGCATCATGAGCTCCCTTACTAAATAAAACTACTTCCTATAGCAAAATGTAAGACAAAAACAAAGAAGGCACTACGAACCTGCTCTATGATTGCACTAGATCCTCAAACAGATTTTTGTAAATAGCTGATTATTAATGCCTTCTATGCAGACTAATCTCTTAGCTTTAGTTATTTGTGCTTTGTAAACATTTTAATTGGACAAGGTTGACAATTTTATTGTATAAGCTGCTAAATTTTAATTTCATCAATAACATAAACATAGGCATCTCCAAGTTAACAATAAGAGTGTTTGCAGATTCAAACATACGATAACTTGATCGGGCCAGTTGTTGAATCACTAAAGTATTTGACCTCACTCTCGTTGGATGTCCTTGGCTACTGTCTCCTCGAGGCCTTGTGCAGCGGACGATCGATTGGTGGAGCAGCGCATCCGCCGTGGCTGCAGGCGCTTGCTGCTTTTGCGGGTGCTGCCTTTAAAAAACACAATATTGAGCTAACAGCGCTATTACAGTTCGTAGCCAACAGACTTAAGGCGCAACAAAGGTATATTATTATAATATTTCAAAAAAGCTAAATGCATGCATTTATGCTTTTCATGCCACATTTGAAGTGAATCCAATAATAGTATGTGCAATTATTTTCAGCCAAGACTTGCTCATTTTGAAGGAGATTGTTCAAAAAATGGCTGGCATAGAAGCTGCCGAAGAATTTACCAGTGATCAATTAGATGCAATGGCTGGAGGTGAACTTCTTAAAGGAGAGGTATAATCGCTTTGCAGTTTATCAATGAAATGCGCGTAAATAATATTTATATAATTGCATTACATGGAGATCTTATCTTTATAAGTTCTAAAGTTGAAATTTAAATTCATCAGTATGTTTAATGAACTTAGCTAGTGAATTTGAAACAGTCGATAACAACAGCATATACCTAATATACTTTAAAACATTGTAAATTACTCGTCCTTCTCCTTCATGTCCTTTGATTATTACGAAGAGGCAAGATATCCATTATTTAATTTAATGTAAAGCTTAAAGAACATAATATCTGTTTCGCACGAAAGTTTGCAGTCAACTAGTCAATGTAAACTTGACTTTATAGTTTTTTGAAACCTATTTATATAAAAAGGGGGTGGTCAGTGAATAAGAATGAGTCACTATTTTCTTAACGAGAATGGAGTATAGTATCCGAGATAGAAGGGCTGTAACATTTAAGCACAAATGATATCTGCTTATTGTAAAGGTAAAACTAGTATGTGAAATATACTTTTATTGCTGCAGGCTGGTTACTTTTCTCAAGTGCGTAATACGAAAAGATCGTCGGCCAGATTAAAAGAAGCCATTGTCGGAAACAATTTAGATATAGCTCTGTGTATTCTATCGGCACAACAACGCCACTGCTGCGTTTGGAAAGGTGAGCATACCAATTATAATATTTTATTATTATTTATTTATATATTATTATTATCAATTGAAAAAGAATTTAAAACTTTAATCTTTTCATACTAGATAATTTTCATTTAGAGTTTATATTAAACCTCCTTTCTAAAGAGAGGCCTATGTCCAGCAGTGGACTATTAAAGGCTGTTGATGATGATGATGATGATGATTAAATTATCATTCAAGATAAAAACACCTGGTCTCCCGGTTGTAAATTAAAAACTAGCCGTATTTTAATAACTGCTTTTGATTGCTAACCAATTAACAAATAGATTGACAACCAATTACTTAGTGTGCACTTTGTCTTCATCAAAATTCTAATAATTCAATATTCAGTACCTTGCAGATTTATGACAATTAGTGAATATTTAGAACTCATATGTGGTCAGAGGAGTCAGACACACAAATTCTAGCTCTTAAAAAAAATGTTTTAAATTTGAAATTTTGTTTTAAAAACAATTCAGTGTTTTTCGTTTCAACAAAATGTACTAAAACTATTAGATTTAAATAAATAAATGTAAATCAATAATAAATAAAGCTAAATTAAGAAGACGAAATGTTTTACTTCTAAGATAGTTGCTGATAATTAGAAAAAATATGTGTAGTTGAAGGACAAAAAATTTCGATAATTATAAATGAACGGATATTATAAAGGCGAGGCTAATGTATTTTTTGTTTAAAATGTATTCTTGGTACAATACAGTATTGGTACAATACGATCCTATTTGTAGAATATCCGGCTAATATCAAATTTGCTTTGACATTCAGTGCCAAAGCAATAAAACTTATGTTTTGAATATGTTTTAACAGGTATTAGTATAATAATGACTGCACGGATGGCGTAGTGGTTTAAGAGGTCGCTACGCCGCTTCCTACTACGCCGAGTGTTGTGGGTTCAAACCCCACATGGGACGACACTTTGTGTAATCCACAATTTGTTGTTCTGAGTCTGGGTGTTCTTTGTGTCCGATTCATGTATGTTTGTAAAGTCCCCCGCGACACAGGATATATTCCTAATGCGGGAGTTGTCTTTTTTAAAATAAAAAATAAAATACGATCCTATTTATAGGTTTTAACTCGCATTCGTATTGAATATCAAATCAAACTTGAAATTATCCAGATATCAGAAGACAGTGACAGCAGTCATAACATGATATTTAATACGTTTAGACTGTCCTAACTGCGTCTCAATAATGATATCCTAGAATTTATAAACTGTAGTTATAACATTTTATCTAATAGAATACAAAGAAGATTCTCCTAGTGGTGAGCCAGTAGGATCTCAGCTAAAAGTGGTCGGCAGATTGGGAGATCAGTGTCAGGATGCATTGGTACAACTTGGAACTTTTCTAGCCTCATCTCATGCACCTGATGAATATGCAGCCAGATTGCCCAGCTTACAGGTAAAATTCTTTACTGTGTTTGTATTTAAATCTGCCAGAAACTGCATTTTGTCATTCAGTGATAATAATAGTTTGTTAAGTCAATATTATTTGCCGCTTATATTCGTCGCTATGAATCTTGCGTGGGTTTTTTTTTGTTTAGCCTTATATTTAAGAAGTAATTTTCATACAAATGTAATATGTGACTTTGATTTTAAGGAATTGTTGCGAGATTATCATGTTGATGCTGATGTAGCATTCTTCCTTCATCGTCCTGTATTATCACAAAAGATTGCTGCTAAAGTAGAAGCTTTGAGAAAATCTTCGGATAGCAAATCAGATTCAACTGAAAAGAGCATCGAAAGATATACTTTGGCTGCAAAGGAAGCGTTAGAACCGGTAGTTCAGTCGGTTATACCTATATTGCCAAGTAAAGTTTGGGAAGACATTTCGCCCGAGTTTTATGTCACCTTCTGGTAAGTTAATTATGACCATGACCTTTATATATGAACATTGATTATTATTTTTGTTTTTATTTGTTTTTGTTTGACCTCAACCTCAACTCCAACTTTAGAATGTAGTGTGCATTTAAACACAAGTATACGCCTCCTTTCTAAGGAGAGGCTTATGTCCAGCAGTGGACTATTGAAGGCTGTTGATGATGATAGGCATAATGCACAAAGGCATGTATCCACACTTGCACGTTATTTGCTCATAATTCTAATTTTATGTATATAACTTGAAAATAGTGTAGTTATTTAATTATTTAAAGTATATAGTAATATACTTTAAATAATTAAATAACTAAATTTAGCAGTAGCTAACAGTATAGGTACATATTTATGTATATGAACGTTTTGTCTGATAGGTTCATTTACTGCACTAATTTATCGCTCTAAAATCTTGTAAATCAGGCCCGAATAAAAAGAGATTTACGTAAGTTAAGTTGTAATTGTAATTGTAGGTCCTTATCAATGTACGATCTTCGGGTGCCCGAAGAGAGTTATGACAAAGAAATCGATCGTCTAAAACTAGCTGCAGCTAATGCCACCAAGGACAGTTCACAAGGCACAAAAGGAAAAAAGGAACAGGAACGTTTTAATGCTCTAATAGACAAACTTCAGGTCAGTTTTCTTTTGGAAATTATACATAGGTATCGTGTAATATTTAAATATTAGGAAACGTTTCGATGTAGTCCTCTTAAAGGTTATAATGAAGGTTGTAGTTTTATTTTTGAAGTAAGTAGAATAATGTCGTTGCAGGAAGAGCGGCGGCGTCAGCAGGAACACGTGGGGCGCGTGCTGGCGCGGCTGCAGCGCGAGTGCAGCGGCTGGTTCCCGGCACGCGCCGCCAAGTCCGCCAAGAACGAGACCGTCACGCGCCTGATGCAGCTGTGCCTGTTCCCGCGCACCGTATTCACGGCCGCCGACGCCCTCTACTGCGCCCAGTTCGTGCACACAGTACACTCGCTGCGTACGCCTAACTTCTCTACGCTCTTGTGCTACGATAGGGTTAGTTGTTGCGTGTTTACTTTTTTGTCAGTACATAAATGACCATCACCGGCAATGACAGTGACCGGTGACTATCAACGTTATACAGCCACCAGTATGCAGCCCGAACCTTAACCCGATTAAATATGCTCGAGACGAGCTTAGACAATGAAAACCTCTCTGAACACCCTTCGAGACTCGAAAGTTCTTTTCATAGGAGAATTGCAGAGTATGCGCCAATATCGTATAAGAAACTCGGTGTATAGCATGCCAAACTATGTATCGTGTATCGCAGTAAAGGCAACACGTGGCGGTAAAATTAAACTAAATTAATTTCAATTAAGAAGTATTTTATTGTCTTACATACAAATCAGTTCATTAAACATGGTCATTAGATTTTCAGATGTCTTTATATGACGCGAATTCATTTATTTAACCCGGATCTTGCTCCCGAGTGCATTTGTGCAAATATGTGTAAGGTTTCAAAAATACAAATATATGGATTTTATGGCCACCTAAAAACTTACAAGTTAAATACTCTGTTACTCATTACATTTTTACATTACCTCAGCCTATGCTTGTCCACTGCTGGACATAGGCCTCTCCCAATGATTTCCAGCGGATACGGTTGATTGCGGTTACTCGCTGTGTTCGAATCATTCTACGATTGTGTATGACATAATCATAGGAAGAATTAGGGTACAACAAAGTCAATTGACTGCACGGATGGCGTAGTGGTTTAAGCGGTCGCCACGCCGCTTCCTACTGCGCCGAATGTTGTGGGTTCAAACCCCACATGGAAGGACACTGTGTGATCCACAAATTGTTGTTCCGAGTCTGGGTGTTCTTTGTGTCCGTTTCATATATGTTTGTAAAGTCCCCCGCAACACAGGAATGTATTCCTACTGTAGGAGTTGTCTTTTTTTAGAATAAAAATAAAATAAAAATGTAAACAACATCATTGTACACCACAAAAGATGTGTAGAGTGCACAGACAAACAAAATTGAAGACATGATTACGTTAGTGATAGAATAATAATAATACGAAGTGCTACAGTTCCTTTCCGGCTGAGAAACTTGACTGCACGGATGGCGTAGTGGTTTAAGCGGTCACCTCGGTTCGATCCCCATATGGGACATCACTTTGTGTAATCATCAAATTGTTGCCCTGAGTCCCGATGTTCTTTGTGTCTGTTTCATGTATGTTTATAAAGTCCCAGGCGACACAGGATAACATTCCTGGTGCGGGAGATGTCTTTTAAATACTATCAATAATCAGTTTCCGCTTCCTATCCTCTTATTAACTGAGCCGCTTTTCTCTTCCCTCTTATTAATGTTAAAAATAACACAATAATGTTATATTATGTAGTTATTTTGCGACATCACATACTCGGTGATGTCGTGCACGGAGGGCGAGGCGGCGCGCTACGGCGCCTTCCTGTGCAAGGTGCTGGGCACCGCCATGCGCTGGCACGGCGACAAGGACGCCTTCCATCGGGAGTGCGCGCACTATCCAGGATTTGTTACCAAGTATAGAGTCTCCAACCAGTTTACGGAGGCTAACGACCACGTCGGATATGAGAATTACAGGTAAATTATTCTTATTTAGGGTTATGAATAAGAACGGAGACAATTTTTGTTGCCTGATGGACTGAGTTTTTAATATAAAAAGTAAAGTAATGGAAGACATCTTGAAATTAACGTAATGAAACTTGAACACAGATGCCACTAAATATTAGCAAGGGTGTCCAAAAGTTTTTATTCTTGAAAATTCCGACAGCGGATAATGACAGTCATATTTTATAGATAAAATTCCTAAAAACTATTTTTTTTATAAAAACACAATTAATGTCTGCACTTATTGAGGGTTAATTAGAATATTTGTTGTAGAAATAATCTATGTTACTATGGATTATAATGGATTATTTTTTGCTAGTTTTCAACTAGATACTACATCCCTGGTTTTTCATCTAAGTTTTATTTATGAATTCTGATGCTACCCTAGACTATTATACCTTGTTAGATAGCTGTGCATACGTACATGATTTTTAACCAATCTGCAGTTTAAATGTAATTTTTTTTATAATATTTGTCAAAGAAATCTTATTTTACAAATTTATTATTAACCATCTATTTCGGCCCAGTTTGTTAACTATAAACAAGTTAACAACTACACAAAAACAGTAAAAACGCATAAAATATAGGATATAGCTTCTAAAAATAATTGTATTAGGCAAAATTTCGGCGATTTTTATAACAAAACTTTAAAGTCCAATATCTTGAAAAGGGTTTTTTTTGGGATGTGGTATTTCATAGTGAAATCTATCAGAAATGATGGCAACTACAACCCCTCTAACTATTTGATCGATTTACCCAGTAACCCTGTATATTTAGTGCTATGTAATAACAGTGGGTATGTATATTTTTCAGACACGTCTGTCATAAATGGCATTATAAGATTACAAAGGCTATGGTGGTTTGCTTGGATTCTGGTGATTACGTACAAATACGTAACGCTCTTATTGTGCTTATTAGAGTGATGCCACACTTCCCTGTGCTGGCAAAACTGGCGCAAATCATCGAGCGAAAAATAGAAAAAGTAAGTTTGTAACTTAATCAAGTATGAATTTATTTGTATACATTTAGTGGAATGGAAGGATGTAGTTTATGGTTGATATTTTGTTTTTTTTCTTAATTTGAGTGGATCTTCGGACGTAGTAATTATGTTGCCAAAGTTAAGATATTACTTAATATTCCTACTGGTCATTTCGTTAAAGAATTTCCGTATCTCAATTATTATAGATTCAAAACATTCATTTCTTTTTTTAGGTTAAAGAGGACGAAAAAAATGTGAGGCAAGATCTTTTCGTCCTCGCAACTGGTTATAGCGGTCAGTTGCGAAACAAAGGTCCTAATATGATGCGAGAAAGCGATTTCCATCAGGTAAGCAAAAGGTTGAAGTTTAACAAACGCCTTTTTAAAATACTGGGATCTTTCTCGTTTAATAAAAGTTTGCAAAGGGAAAAGACCACTTTTGGTATCACTGCCATGGTAGTTGTACCTCAAGTTCAAGAGTTTAGCAATTTCTGTTTATATTTTATAAGATTTAATCTGATAATAAAAAATTGGTATTTCGAAGAGGAAAGTCAAGAGCATTAATAGATTATAGTTCGTTTTTCTTCAGTTTCCTTTTGTTACAGTAATGTAGGAAGTAGTCCACGTATACTTTAGAGGTAATTCGGTTGATATACTTCGATTGATTTTACTACATAAGTATTGACATTACTATTTAGTTTCTGTATTTCTGTGCATTTGTGAAGTACTGATTAAATCATCATTCACAACAAATGTTTAAATTATACTAAAATGATTTTATTAGGGAACTACATAATTTGACATTTGACATGACAACTTTGTTGTTGCTTATTTATATCGTAACCAAGAAGAAGTGTTTGAAGTACCTAAATTCGTACATAATTTCTTCAAAAAGTGATTGTGACATACGACTTCACACCACATAATGGAAAGATTTTTTCGTCGATGTGTTGACTGTGCACTTTTACTGCGGCATCAACATTGACAGTCATTGCTAGACATAACTGGTGTGATTTATAATAATCTGGCTACTTGGATCTCACCTACACTGAATTTGAAAATATTGGGGTGGTCGTAGTTGATTTATTTTTGATAAATAGAGGGCCACATAGGTTTTTGGTAATTATGCTAAAAGTTCAACATACGATGTATTAGCCAAGTATTTATAATCGAAAATATGTTGTTTGACTTTTGAACCTTCGAATTTTACCAGCGATTTCCAACGAAATGTGGTGAGTTATGAAATATAGTACCCAAAGTTGCTTAATGCTTGAACAAACCTCTTTGAAGTAGAAAATTGAGAATATGGGTTATTTCAAAAACAATATTATCTTCTAATAATTTAATTTGTAAAATATTATATTTGTAGGTGGGTGATAAACACAAAGTGGCAAGTGCAGCTGCAGCCCCGGCCGTTATTGTAAAAGATGACTCTTCTGCTAACAAACAGGAACAAGAATCATCATCGCCTCTACAATCTGTTGGTACGGTCTTGTGTATTAAACCGTTTCCTTTAACTCTAAAGGAGCTGAAACATCTAACATTAGGCTGGAGTGTCTATGCATATATAAATAAATCATAGAATCCATATGTTGCTTTATATTGTTTTTTATTTCTTAAATTACTTAGTACATTGATAATAGAAAAATAAAATACAATGCATCCTACTAAACTTTTGTCTTTCGACCTATTGATTATTCAATTCATTAATATTTTAGATGTGGACAAAAAAGAGTCGCGAAGCAGTGAGAGACGTCGAGAAGATACCGATCGCGAAAAGGAATTAAAACGCGAATCTCGATCGTATGTATTATTACAAGTTATTTATTTTTAATAAATATCCGACTAATAGCATTACTTTCATTCTTGTTGTTTTTGTTGCAGCTCTCTGAAAGAAAGAAGTAAGGAAGAAGTAAGGAGTAAAGAAAGATCGCCAAGAGAACGATCACATCGGGTAAAATATTGAAAATTATAATGCTTATTAATATTTGGCTTTAGATTGACTATTATTTTAACTCTGTTAATGAAAAAGCACTGAAAAGTAATATTTTTAGGAGGAACGTTACTTGGAAACAGTGTCCCCACCGCATGATCACCGCAGTTTATCCGACGACATAGACCGAGGTAACAACAATTTAATTCGCATTACTTTTGTTAACACAAAAATTGTAAAGTATTTAGACATGGGTTGTTTTCTTATAGATGCCAAGCGTCGTAAAGTAGAAAACATCGGCAACGGCAAGGTGAGTATCGTTGTAATAAATCGGCCTTGCATCGCGCTCGCGCCGGACTGAGGATTGGGCTGAACAACGACCACGATCAACGCGCGGTGTAACTATATATAAAACAAATCAGTGTTCAAGATCACCCGAACTTTCCCAAGCAGTGCTAAAACTATAGACACAGTGTGTAAATAAGTGTAAAAATGCCGAAAAATATTACATCTAAAATAACCATCTTTCAATGGAAAAAAGTAAATAAACACAATAACATCTTAATATGAATATAATAACAATTTAATATAGATAAAATCTTTGCATACGCTAGAAGAATAATATATCTGTCAACAATGAAAGACCTTTTATCTACCAAAATAACAGATCCGTCTAACCAATAACAAACTATGAAACTCATTGAAATTGCAAATCAAGGATTTAACAAGGCAGAAGATTTAAACCATAAGAAGAAACGTTCAGAAGACACAGCAAGAACAATATCCTTATTTTTTATTTAATACGAAGCCGTAATAATTTATAGTATTTTCGTTGAAGAAGAGCAATGTATGGAGATATAATAATAAAACTATCATATTTTAATGTCGAACCATAAATTTTATCAAGATTTTCATGAAGAATTAGAAGATATAGAAGTTATGAAGAGATCAAGAGACAAGAAGAAAACATAAATGCCTAAATACAACTACCGTCTAAAATTACCTGTCAAATATTGCTGGCAAATGTGTCGTGTGTGTCGTGTCCATTCAGCCCAGTCCGATATAAGTACGGTAAGGTTTTTTTGAACTTATTTATAGTGTACACGTCGAAAGGTTCTGTGAATATATTATGCTATAATTGGCTTGAAATAAACGATATGACAATGAAGGAAAACAAATACACAAGTGGAATAGATGAATGATGACACAAAAGAAAGAAATGAAATAAGATTTGACATCTTATAATAGTATCAAGCAATATTATCTAGAAACTGAAAAAGACGCATGTAATGTCATAATCACATTAGTACATCGTTTTGGATATGCTGAACCTTATAACTCATGACTGAGAAATGTTATTCTCAAGGAAGAAGAATCCGATCCAATCAAGTCAATGGAGCAATCATCAATCAAGCAAAAGTAATTATGATCCTGAAGAAAATATTGGAAACTATACAGCCTAAAATGCCAGTATTTGTTCCGTTGTGAACCTAGATAACAATGTATACTAAAAAGACACCAATGAAGGTACGAAATAAAGATCAAGATAAAAACTATATTCACAGTCCCTTTTGATTTTGCTTTTTTTGGAAATTTAAAGTCAAAGAGAGTTAATATATATATATATATATATATATATATATATATATATATATATACATATACATATATATATATAATGGAATGGGTAATTGTTGGGTGGGTGTATTTTTAGTATCTGTATGTATGCTAATAAGTATTTTCTGGAAAAGCAGGGTAGCAAAGAAATAGAGGAACGTTCACCTGAGAAAGAGAAGAGAAAGGCTAAACAGAGAGGTGACGAGCGTAAAGAGCGTAAGATGAATCGTAAGAGGGTAAGTGTTAAGGGTGCAAAAATACACTCAGTTTCCTTTTGTCTATAACTAATCTATTGTAAAAACATTTAATTTCAGTTCAAGCAATGGTAAATTGATAATTCAGAAGTTTTTTTTTTCTACGTTTCATTGCTAAATAATAAAAAAAGTTTTCACAACAAGCTAATAACAGAGTTAACACTCATCATTTATTAACTTTTCAAATTCACTATAGTACTGTTATCTTTTGTATTACTTTGGAGTAATACAAAAGATAACAGTACACACACACACACACACACACACACACACACACACACACACACATACATACACACACTTAGCTCGTTGTTATTTTCTATAATCGTTTATAACAATATAAAATAGAATTATCCTAAACATTTGTCAGTTATTGATACGCCATTCTCTATTATATTATATAATATAGATACAATAATTATCATCTGTCGAATTTTAATTGCTTTTACTTAAGTGTACTACCTAGTTAATATTCTTATTCACCTCAGACAAAGTCACGATGGAGGACAAGTATTTAAAACATACTCTATTTACTACAATAGTCCGCCAAATAATAAAGTCCTACCTAAAAATTTAATTATTATTTAAGTTTTTGAATGCTGTGAATGTTAATAATATGACAAAATATTTATTTAGGATAGAGCAGAAGAATCTGCAATCCTGGAGCAAAAGAGGCGCCGCGATGAGCAGAAAGGTAAGAAAATATATAGGTAAAGAAAATACTACTTTGTGAAGAAAGTACCGGGTAAAGATCAATAATCCACAAAATATTTGTTATTCATCCAAATTTATTTTATCACGTTCAAAGTATGCTCCTTCCGAAACGATACACTTACGCCAACGAATAATCCAATCGTCAAGACATTTTTTAAACGCTGTTGCCGGAATTGAGTTCAGTTCTCGCCGCGAATTCTCCTTTATGTCTTCTACCGATTGAAAACGGGTGCTACGAAGTGGTAATTTGAGTTTAAGGAAAATAAAGAAGTCGGGAAGCCATATCTGGTGAATATGGTGGTTGCTCGATGGTAGTTGTTGAGTGTTTGGTCAAAAATTCGTTCACAATGATGGCCTTGTGTGAAGGTGCGTTATCGTGGTGCAAAATCCAAGAATTTTCTTTTCGCAAATCTGGCCTTTTTCGTCTAATTTCTTCTTAAATGCCGTATAACGCGAAAATAATTTTCTTTATTTATCGTTTGACCTACCGGCAAGAATTCTGAATGCACAACACCGCGATAGTCAAAGAAAACAGTCAACATGACTTTGACTTTTGATCGACTTTGGCGTGTTCTTTTCGGTTTCGGTTCAGTTAGAAGGTGCCACTCGAAGCTTGTTGACTAGTAAACTGTCAAACTCGTAAACCCACGTCTCGTCACCAGTAACAATGCGTTTCATGAATGTTGGGTCGGAATTGACTCGTTCTGGCATGTCCTCAGCGACTCCATGCGATTAAGTTTTTGGAGAAAATTCAGGTCTTTTGGGACTAGCCGAAAATTCAGGTCTTTTGGTATGAAACATGTTACCGACATGTTTCATACCCAAATGATTAGTTAAAATGGTACGGATCGACTCGTGAGATACAGAAAGTTCCGCTGCTATCTCTCTCAAAGTTGAATTAGGATTTTCAGTCACTATTTCCTACACTTTTGCGATGTTAACTTCAGATGCAGACGTTGATGGCCTACCAGAGCGAGGCAAATCTTCCATCACATCTCGACCGCTTTTGAACGCTTTGTACCACTCATAAGCACGTGTTTTTGATAAAGTCGACTCCGAACACGAAATTCTATTGGCGATGCAAAATTTAAGACAAACTCTTTGTTCGATGTTTTTGTTCATTATGAAATTCGCAATACACACTAGATATAATATAACTAAAAACAGCACTGTATTTAATATAAATAACAGATGCAACTCAAACGCCGCGCCAAAATAGAAAACAGTTGTGCCAATCTAACAACAAGAAAAAAAAAACAAAAATTTGAATTTGGAACCATAAACAAATCATCCAATCCCGATACTTTTTTGACTGAATGTATAGTGGTACCATATCTATAGTTAAACCGCCGTAAGCTTGGCCCTCCTGATGGTTTGGTGGCCGGTGATGCGCTCGGCTATACATGACACGATGTACTAACTCGATATCTTCAGATTTATTTGTTTGAGATTTAATCTACACACGATGTAATAAAAATCGAATTTATTTCTATGTATTATAATGTCAGTGTATTGTAAGTTTTTATGATTAATTGTAAAATTTAAAACTGTAAATTAATTTGAATAAAATCACCTTATCTTCATCATGTAAATTATATTCAGATACAATTTAAAAATTAAGTAAAATAATAAATATTCTTTATTAGAACTTTAACACTAGAACCTCTGTCAGCCGAACTTCAAGCTTTTTGTGACGCAGAGTCGACAGATTATCCATGTTGCAAAATAATACCGTGTGGCAGTCTTAAGAAAAATAACACGTACAGCCTTGCTTTCACGTTAGTCACTGCCGGCGGACAACGACGCACTAGCTAATTGGTTGAATGGCAAGCTTACGGCGGTTTAACTATAAACATCGGACCTGGCATCACATTTGAAGACTATATTTTTACAATTAAGCTTATTTAATATTATTATTTTATAATTATACATTCACTGCGGCTATGAAATCTTTCGTTTTACCTATTGGTACAATATCACACATCCCAAAACATTTTGAAAACTATTAAAGTTGTATTTCAAAACTTGCCTTATCAGTAACACTAGATCGATAACTTAAATTTTGTACTTTTGTAATAAAAGATGTAAACGCCTTTGATAAAAAGCGTTAATCCTGGTAAATATTTCTTGCTTATTGACCATCTTACACTGAACGCCATAGCGGTTTGACAACTGACGTGTTTAGTATTTCACTATTGACAATGTTCATACATCTGTGATTAAAGGAAATATACATCAGGTTGAGAGTTCACTTATGCTTTAAAAGAAAACCTAAACGGAGACGAACCGTAATCACAAACCATTAAATTTCCACGAGATACGAGAAAAATATTAACGGTAGGAAGGTTCAGATGATGTGACCAGTATTTTGATAAGAATCGGAAATTTAATCCTATTTACTATTAAAAAAATCTTAAGAAAACCAATAGACTAGTTCATATTTTTGATATATAAAACTAACTGAAACGTATACAACTGACAAACAAAAAAATGAACATTTATTTTTTCAGCAGTAATTAAGATTGGCAGTCATCAAAATGGATCACAAGAAGATCACCACTACGAAAAATATCATAAACGGGTAAGATTGAAAAAGAAAGTAATCCTAATTCTGAAATTTTTAAATCTAAATATTTTGACCATGGTGTTTGAAATGCAAAATATAAATGAAAAATTGACACTTTTTTTTATTTGGGACGATATGGGAAATCCGAAACCATTGCGTCAACAGCAATCCGGAGACGGCGAACCCAGATACAGGGATATCTATATATTCTTTCAGAGTTTTTGTAGTAGAAGTATGGTTACGGTTGTTGCCAAATAAAGGTTGCCAAATCAGAAATAAGTATCGGATAGATTACAGATACTTTAAACTCTTCCGTTTTTTAATTCTTCTCAATGCACTCTTCTAAATAACGGGACATGCTTATAACATTTTAGGTTCTTGAAGATTTTTACGTTTCTTGAGAATATTTTTTCTTTCGGTATATTCTCTTAGAGATTTTTTATATATTGTATATTGAATCGGATCGCAAGCAAGAGTCGGTAGCTTACATACAATTCGTATTAGACATCTTTCTTTCACTATTGATCATAAGAAGAGTCTTAATTCGAGCACCGTGGTCTCACTTTTATTTGCTCGCAATGGTTGCGGCGTGTGTATCCGTATTTACGGTATGGGTATATTGTAGCGGATTTTAGCCGAAGAATGATCATTACAATAACTTTCAAACTGTACGATAGTATTTTTTCCAGACAAATGCAGCAACTTAATAGTGGTGATATGTCAATATTTTGCAATGAACGACTCACTTTCTCCTGAGACGGTGGTGTTCCGCGCGTACATGGCTCTCTAAGTCGGAAGGAGGGCAATGCCTTCTGCACTAGAATGGTGTGTACGACTATAGCGGCCAAGCTCTGCCGTTGTTCTCGGGAACTGCCTTCCTTGGCTAAACCCAAGCACAACAGACCCACATAAGACGGAACACCGTGTGGTTTCAGTCGGCTAGGTTACCACATACCTCTTTACTGTAAGCCGCGGTGAGGTGATGACCCGTAGGGGTTACCACACGATTAGAAAAAAAAGCGACCAACTTTGTTTTTACGCGGATGCTATAAAGTTTTTGTATATATTTTTTCTTATATAGTTTACTTTTTACAGGAAAAATCGCCTTTCAGAGACCGTTCACATGAAGAATCAAGAGACAAGCAATATCCTTTTTTAAAGAAATATTCATAATATATTATTTATGTTTAATAATTTCAATGCATACTGTTCATAAAGTTATAACAATTTTTATCATATCGACAATTGCATAAATGTTAGAAATCAAAAAGTCAGTAAGTTATTAAAAACCCAAGGGATCCGAAACTACAGATTTTAGCGAGAAAAACAAACACTTCTATTTAGTTTAATACAACAGAAGACAATAGTGAAAACGCCAATGGAAACATAATTATTAGACTTGCAACGAATATTCGGTTACTATTCGGTATTCGGCCTATTCGGCTGCTTTTATTATATTCGGCCGAATACCGAATATCTACATATTATTCGGCCGAATACCGAATACTTAAATAATATATTTTGTCATTGAGAAATAATGGGTAAAATGAAAAATTAAAATCGATTGATTACGTATATATTCATATTTTCATTTCTGTTATAATCATTTAAGCAGTCATTGGTGCATAACACAGGTACATAATCATCTTCTGAATAGGAAAAATGGAGGATTCTATGTATTTGAATTATTGTGGTAATCAAAATTTAGAAGGGTAAGGTTCTCATTTCTTTTATAATCATTTATTAAGTAGTCATTGGTACATAAAACAGGTACATAATTTAATTCACGTCTGTACAAGTTTTTGGCGCTAAAATCCAGCCGAATACTTTTGCCTAATATTCGGCTATTCGGTCAGGGGCCTCGCCGAATATTCGGTATTCAGTATACTGCCGAATATACTATTCGTTGCAAGTCTAATAATTATTATTATACGCCGAAAAAATGAAATCATTAGGTATTGTCCGAAGCTAGAAAGAAGTCTGCTATACATGAATAGTTCAAAGTTATTATTATACATTAAATAATTTATATAAAAGGTTTTGATTGTGGCTAACCTATATATTTTCCTGTCATTACTTCTGTTTTTTTTTTATTCGGTGATTGTATCTAACGATCATTAGTTTACCTATTCATTATCGATGTAAATTGGTGAGAATAATGAAAGTAGTTATTTCCTTAACAGTTTATATACTAGGCGCTCAAACGAATCTAAGATAAGAAGATAGATGAAGATAGAAGAAATAGATAAACCATCGTACCTAAGCATTAAGATGTGGGTATTAATGACTAATAAACTTTAAACCATAACCAATAGTTTTATTTATTCGCAACAGTACATAACCTCTTTAAAATTACAGATATTGAGTCACAAGTCGCTCAAACCAGGGGATTTGATCCGCAAGTCACGATTTATATTACCAGTTCAGAAGGGTGGGGGGCCAACCAAAGTACATAAAACAATAATTCTGTTACATATTTCACAAAACTTTTCACAAAATTTCAATTGAAAATACAAGACAAAGACAAAACCCCTTTCTAAGGGGAGGCCTATGTCCAGCTGTGACCTATTAAATGCTGTTGATGATAATGTGATTAAATAAAATACGCATAGCCTTCATATTATTATGATAATAGGTTATAGGAACCAATCAGACGCCTTCTCGACGAAGTAATATTTGGATTGTACATTTCTCACAGGTTTAGTTTCTTTTTAACATAGATGGTATAAAGATTTAAATATAGATAATAATAATAATAATATTCTACCACATACACACAACGCCATCTAGTCCCAAACTAAGCAGAGCTTGTATTATGGGTACTAGACAACTGACATAAATACATATATACTTTTTTTTTTTGTAAATACATACATATTATACATAGAAACACCCAGACCAAATCAAACATCAAATGTTTATGCACACAAATGTTTGACTTGAGCGGGAATCGAACCCGCGACCTTTGGAATAGCAGTCCGTTACACAAACCACTACGCCATCCAGTCGTCAGATGGTATAAAGATTTTAATTAGGTACCTAAATATGCTATTGTCTCATTCTTGAACATACCTAAGAGACTGCTTAAATTTGTGTTATCTATCTATCTATATATCTACCTACGTAGCGTAATTAAGGGGAAAACAAGCGATCGCTTATGTCTTACTCTACACTGGGCCTCCATTATTAGGATCGCTAGATCCAAACTTAGCAGTGCTTGTACTATTGGGTTTATTCTTTTTTGTAGGACAAACGAGCAGATGGGTGACCTGATAGTAATTGACTACCGTCGCCCATGGACACCTGCAGTTCCTGAGACAAGTGCGTTATCGCCCTTTTATTGAGGAGGTTAGGCCTCCGGTATCTTCACTAAGAAAGTAAAAAGGACAACAATTGCTTAACTCTGTTTCTCAGTGAGACCATGGTATCACTGAGGTTGAGTCATCCGATGTATTGAAGTATGGCTCTCCATTCACAAAACACCACCACCTATATATTATAAATGAAAACATTCAACGGAGGATCCAGGATTCATATGCGGATGGGGCGAGTTTGTATGATTCCTAGTAGGTAGTCAAATTGGAGTCCTTACACAAAGTTGACTCACCTCGCTGGGTTCTAAAGATCTCAATGTCAAGACTATTTAATAACACGTATTCTTGCGTGGGCCATAATCTATACATCTTCCTTTACTTATATGTTAGTATGGCATCCGGTTACTAAATAATTAAAATTGTATTGAGATATTCAAACTAGCAAACTACATAGTCAAGATCAAGACAGTATTAAATAGGTCATTGAACTTCTTAGTGGCCTTAACAGAACAGTTTTTACAGACATCGGGACTGAGAACTAAAATATTATATAATATATATAATTAATAATAAATATTATACGTTAATTAGGCCTTATGTTACGTACAACACGTACGTAACATAAGGCCTAATTAACGTATAATATTTAAAACGGGTACCTACGCAGTGCCGTAACTAGAGGTGTCCGAGCGGTGCTTAGGCACAGGGCGTAGAGCAGGGGGTTGAACGGGGGCTCAGAAATAACCAAAGCAGCGTTGAACGGATTTAGACCTATCTTACTATTTCTAATGCGCCCCGCATTTACAACAGCTTGCACCGGGTGCATAAAACGCTAGTAAGTACGAAATAGGTAGCTGTGTACGTCTTAGCACTTACTACTACTAGGAATAATAATTATGCATGTTGTTGAAGAATACCTACCTACCTAGTTAAGAAATCTGTCGGGTTTGACCTAGTTATAGGCATAAAAGGCTTTCAAAAAACTAAAGCACTAAAAAAGAAATAATACATTTGGCATATAATAGATAGTTAAGTACTTATTTTTAGTTTAACTACCTTTTATTCTGTTATCTAAATAATTAACAAGATTCTACTACTTTAATGTTGAAAAATCAGAAACTAACCTTAACCTTAATGTTGACAAATCTAGGTTATGTTTTAAATGTGTGATGTGTGTATGTGACTTAGTAATGCACTAAGTTATGGTTACCATTAAAATATTTTTAATTTTTACTTGGTTTAAAATTAACTACCTTTTTTAAAAACAGCATAAATGAGAATAAAAGAAAATAGTTTTTTTAATTCGAATATAGTATACGTTGATATAATTACCATCAATTTTGGGGATGATTGTCACATGTCTAATAAATTATGGTTATATTTATAAGGATTTTTACTTACATTGTAAACGATTAATGTATTTAAGTAATACATTATTTACAATGTTTCTGATTTCTGAACGCACTATAGCTCTTACACGGTTTCTCTTAGTAATCTGTGGTACAGATAAACATTATAGTTGGATTTTTTTAATATAATATAATAATATAAATGGCTATTACGGTTAAAATATAATTTGTTTAACTTAACAGTAGCAGTAATAAACGGATATTTGATCATTTTGTTTTAAAATGATTGCTCGTTTTCGTGGATGTAAATGAGTTAGATTAATAGGTGATCACACTACTAACTTGTAATGGCGGCCATCTTGTTGACTGCGTGTCTCCATTTGTGAAACCGAGACAGGTAAGTTTTATATCTATTTTCAGATGTTTTAATTTTATAATCGTATAATGCCTTCATTTTAGCAGTCATTTTTGCATTCTCGTTAAATGTATAATATACTTGTAGATAAATGTCATGATAACGTAACCTATTGGTTCGTCTCGTCCTTTGCCTCTAGTCGGTAATATTAACAATAAATTTAAACAGAGAAACAAGTGTTACTTGAAGCAATAAATTACATTAAATCAGACTTGTAAACCTAAATTAAGGTTTTTAAAAGAAACCAGGAGGGATCAGATCTGTTCATCTTCTAATTTTGGGTTTGTTTCGCAAATGCTAGTATTCCTAAGGCTGATATCGTAAGTATTAATTGGAAGTGTGAAAACAAAACAATCGAAAAAATTTATGGACATCAACAGTAACAATTTTGCGTGATCGATATTATTTGGCATGGCCCAATAATTAAAATGTTCATGCCGAACCAGATCACGAATTTTATGAAGAACAATTTGTTATTGTGCTGGAAGACTGCATCTGCTTTCAGTAAAGTGAACTTAACAGCTTCCGTTTCCATAGTAGATATAGAAATAAAATACCATCATCTTATTTTGTAAACTAAGCTAACTCTCAAGATCTCAAGTGCAAATCTGAGAACACAACATGGTAAACTTACAAATAGGTAGGTAAAATGATAGGTAACATACACGTGTTTTAAATTTACTTGACCAATAAATGGTATGATCTGAGATTGCTTTTCTGGAAAAAAGTGTAACTCTTTTTAATGAAAAACAAGAAGTGGAAACGTAATTTTGCCGTGATGAATGGTTTTGACACCTATTTCTACTTAAGTAAGTGTAAATACTCATCAGTATCGTACTTAAGTAGCAAAGACCAAGTGATTATCTATAAAATGTCTTTACATTGCTGCTTACATTCTGGTAAGTATAGATCTGATCTATACGGGAGAGTAGGTAGGATTCGTGCAGCGGGAGAATTCGTAGAAATTATAAATCCAATTAAAACTAATACCACTACCAAACTAATACCACTACAAAACTACTACCAAAAAAAACTCGCCCATATATATAAATCAACCTCGGATGGAACAGCAACGTGGCCACGTGATTGTTTTCTTTGCATATAGGGTAAGCCGGGATAAAAGCTCTCATTGGTTAACGCAGCTCACAAAGTCTTACTTGGAAGAGAAAAGTGCGTGTGTTAATTTGAGGTCCTGCTGATTTTTGGATAAACGTTTTTATCGGTTTAAAAATTTAATATTTTTCTGTAATTACTATTAATAATTGAATTATTATAGATAACCCGCATATAAATAATAAAGACGTGGCGTTTATACAGTTGTACCTATGCAAGGAATGTTAATTATTTATTTATTCTCTATCTTAAAATCATTTTACGTCACCAAATACATTCGTACCTACTGAGTGGTTCTGCACAATCATAGATACCGAATGTATGAACACTAAATTATATATTTTTATATGGATCAAAAAGAAAAGTAGTGATAAAAAAACGTAAAAAAGCGTGTGGTGCTAGATGTCAATTGATGTAAATATTTTATTGACAAATATTGGTAAAAGAAAAGTTATTGTAGGTATTAACTTTATAAGTATTTAATGGTCATGATTATCTCATTAAAGACTAAAAGAGTAACAAGTAAGTAATAGTAGGGGAGCTCTAGAAGGGATTTCGGGATTTACTCGAGCGTGTCTGGTTAACATCCATACTACCTCACACCCAGTTCAGTACCTACACTATACATGAGCTCTACATGTACCTAATGGAATTAATGTTAATAATATAAGCTACGCTGATGACATGGTGCTGCTGAGTGCATCTGTATATGGATTCAAGAAACTGCTTACAATGTCTGAAGCGTACTCCAAGCATCGTGGATTAAAATATAGTCCAATAAAAAGAAGTCATGGTCTTTGAGGCCAGAGGAAGGAGGAGGAGTCTTTGAGGCAGTGCAGGAAAGGAGTTTCCTTTTCCTAATTTAACGCTCAATGGTACTATATTGCGAAGGGTGCATAAATTTAAGTACTTATGACATGAGCTGACCGTTGACCAAGGACAATGATGACATAGAGAGGGAACGGAGGGCGGTGTCAGTGAGGGTAAACATGATAGCTCGCAGGTTTGCACGTTGTAGTCAAACTTACAGTTTTTAGATCGTATTGCACTTCATTTTACATGTGCAGACTGTGGGCTGACTATACTCAAGCGTCGTACAGTGCCCTTCAAGTACAATATAATAACGCCTTCAGGGTGCTGATAGGGCTGCAGCGTTTCTTTAGTGCATCGGGGATGTTTGCTGAACATCGCGTAGATTGATTTAATGCTACGATGCGTAAAAGATGCCCATCTCTGGTGCGCAGGGTGCAGCGTCAACAATATCCTGAACATGATCTCTAGTTGACTGGACTGTAGTCAATCGTTGCTGCGTAATTGCGTACGGAATGCGCAGCAATGATTTTTGTGTGTCTCATAATAATATGTGTCTTTTATATATGTATGTCTTTTTTTCTTTGTTTTGTGGTTTGTTTTCTAATGCACTGTACTAACACTAAGTACTGTGTCGAAGAATATTGTTTCTAACAAAATGAACACCATGGTCTGAAATATTATTATTATATAGGGCCGAGCGTCAAGGGCAGCCCATCAGATTAGTAAAAAAATCGTTGGTCAGAAGCGTGTAAGTTGGGTTAATTATTGTGTGTGTAATACATTAGTGTGTACTTAAAATAAATCTGACGATTTGAGGGTGACATAAGGCAGTGGAAGGGTCACAAAGTTCCAAAAACAGTCATTTTTTTTTATTTTGAAGCAAATAATGCAAGAAATCTTCTTTAAATATCTACATAATGTGCGTTAATTTGTCACATTTTGTTAATAATCAAAAATAAGTAATTTTTTTATAACCGTCAGATTTAAAATACCCTGCAAAATTATCGTCAGATTTTTGGCTAGCATGACAAGAACATCAAGCTGAACCGTCTGTATAAAAACTAACACGCTCCGGTATTTCGAAATGGTCGATTTTTCGAATTTGCATTTTCGATAATTCGCTACGATCGTGGTCACTTTAAAATAGCCAGACCTTTCAACGGGAGCTTTTTTGGTATCGAAATAACATATCTCCAGAATATCTGATGAACCCGAATATTTTTTTTTCGATTTCCTTCCATTATATTTTTGAAAACCTATAGTAAGCCTGAGATGCTAAACCCCCATTTAGCATCTCAGCCCCCCTACTATAAGGCACATATGCTTCAGTACACGCCTTAGTATGTGGCACAAGACACAATGGTATTTTTTGATATGGAAAAAGTAGTTGATTCTGAAGATCCTGATCAGAAAAATCAGATTATTCAATTATTGTATTGTCATCTGTTCTTGACACGAATTTCGAATTAATCGGACCTTTGGTTAAAACAGAGTTTAAAGATACAGATAAATGTACTTACATACAGGAGAAGCTAATAAATGCATGTTTAAAAAATAGATCAAAAAGGGACTAAATAGAAGGTCGATAAATACGTAATGAAATGCTATGCAAGTTATAGATAACCCACTTAAATAAACCACTTGAAAGTCGCTAATTGAGGTTCAAAATGAAATAAATAAACAGAATCATATTACAGCTCGTATTTTTACAATATCTTTAGATCAAATTGATTTTTCATTTAACTGCTTTTTTTTTTTTGGGAAAGCTCCCTTATCTTTTTCAATCCAGATATGTAGGTAGTGGTAGAAATTATAGTACTTTTATTTTTTGAAGAGGACCTGTACAAATCTTATAAACACAGCGTATTTATAAACACACACTTTTTCAAACAATAACTTAACTACATAACTCTTTAGTCGCACTAGAAAATCGCTTCGATGTTAATCCGCTGTCTCGTGAAACAATACTCGCCCGTACTGTCGAGGTCCTCACACCGTCCCGTAGGGGATGTGTGGACGCGGTTTCGGGCGGTAGCCCCCTGACAGCGGTGTCTACCGCCACCCCTAGATAGGGGTAGGTTATGAGCTGTTGTTTGCTTCGTTTTTTTTGTTATAGAGGGGTTTCTTTAGTCTTCACGCAGCCTTGTCGGTTAATCCCGAGCCAGGTGAGACCCCAGGCACCACCTAGATACAGACTTGTATACTTAACGGACCAGTTTCTTTACTTCTAGGTCCTATTGTTGCAAGTTTTCACAGATGCGTTGTACAGGATCCTTCAGCTGCGCACAATCACGTGCTCCAGGTGGGCGTCACCATATCTTGCCTCCAATGCTTCCAGCAGTTGCTCATAAGTTACCTTCTTACCGAGGGCTTCGAGGACGGTTAAGGCCTGATCCCGGAGACGCAGTTTGAGCGCGGTCATAGCCTGTGCCTTAGTTGAGACGTTCGTGGTCATAACAGTCTTAAACTGTACCTTATAGGCTGACGATGAAGATGTTCCATCAAACGGCGGCACTTTGAACCACCGCACCAAAGAAGCAGCACTTACCGTATTCGCTGTCCCGTCTCCAACTTTGAGGTTCCTTCACGTTGGCAATCTGAGTTTTGACTTCAGTGAGACGGTTATCGTGTTGAAGAACCTGATCCTTCACTCCCTTGTATCCTTTGCCGAAGGTCGCATGAACGCATTTTAACAGGAGCATTTGTAACTCCTGGCAGTGAGCCTGGTCATCCTCGTAACGCTGCAGCTGCTCTTCCAAGCGACCGCCCTGCTCCACCTAACTAACGACTCAACACTAAAAACCATTTAGTCCTTGTGCGCAACAGTACCTCACGAAGCGATTTTGGTATCACATTTGTCACACATTTTACCCACTTTAATACCTAACCAGTTTTGTTTTTATTTGCCTAATTTAACTATATTTTATCCGTCGGTTTAAAATATTATATAAAAGTTTAAATAAATTATATATACTTGTAACAGGTTAAAATTAAACATTGGAAAATATTTCATTAGGTTTCTTTCATTTCGTGATTTCAGTTGGTGAAAAAAAAAGATTTTGGTAAAATTGAATTCTTACAACCATATGATTTCTGCAGAATTGTAATAATTTATTATGTATATAATTTATAAAGTTATATGTAATATAGTAAATAATAATAATCAATAAATGTATAATGTGATTACTATATATTTGTAACAGTAATATACATAAGTATTTTTGAAATTATATTTAAATGTATTAATCTTAATATAAAGGAAGAGCGTAAATAATAGAACTCGAATGTTTTCATTCCATAGTTTTTTGTAATTTAGAACTGTTACTTTTATTAATTTCACTCCGTGTCTGATAAAAAATTACAAGCTATTTTTGTAATGCTAATGGATAATTCACTGTTCGTTTCGTTCGTCGTCGTCGTTCAGATGACTGAATTTGAGGGCCTCATGGCTAAGTGGTAACCGAGTAGGTTAACACATTGCAAAGTTAAGCAATCCTTGCAGGTCAACCTATGGATGGGTGACCATTCTTAATACTTTGAGACCCCTGCGTGACTCGGAGAGCACGTTTAGCCGACAGTCCTGGTTGCTTTGCGAACATCTGTGGCAATCGTTATGAGTAGTTGAAGACCTAAAAAGAGTCCGACAACAGTCATTCTACAGAACTTCGATACCGCCAAGTACTTGGGATGCAGATGTGCAGTAGCTTTACGTAAAAAAATCGAAGTTCAACCGGAACGATCTAGTAGATCTAAAGCCGACCCCAACCTAGTTTGGGAAAAGGCTCGGAGGAAGAAGATATAGGAAATTCGGTGTAGATAGATACATCTTTACTGAATTATCCATTTAATATTATCCACATATTGGGCATATGACTAAGTGAATATTTAAAACATTAAGTTTACTATATAAAATGTTTTGGTTAAGTGATAAACTCGTAACACCTTATATTTTTTGTTGTAGGGCATTTTACCAATATGGAGGAAAAGAATAAAGTATTTTATTCGGCGATCATTAGAACTGGCCAACGTCATAAAAACAATTTATATGATCTACTTAAGATAATTCCAGCGGCACCTTTGGAATGCAATAATGTAAAAACATATACTTGCGATTTTAAACCGAAAACAGATAAGATATATGTTCCTAAACGAAGACCGAAGGCGAAAGTAAAGACTGTTAGAGATATAAGAACATCATTTGAAAATGAGACATACACATTTTTAACACGTGATTTAGAAATACAACAGAATTATTTACTTAAAAAAATAAGGGTTGGATCTTCTAAAAATCAAAACACACAAAACATTGCTAAAAAGATATTAAAGTCGGATTCACCGATATCTAGATCTACTTGGCAAATGTTAGTGAATCTAAATCCCGATCAGGAAAAACATCCCCAGCAGTTTGTTCTATGGAATGGAAATTTTTTGCAAGTGAATGGGAGTAAAGGAGGAAACAATAGGCTAATATGTAACTACGACTTAGCTAATATGAAAATACCGCTACAAGTTAAAAATAAAATCATTAAGAATAAGAAGAATACTAATAAGTCGTCAGGACTTTTACGAAATTCCTTAGCTATTAAATTTAAGCCTGGCCCCCTTGGAAGAAAAAAGTTTCTTGATGATTCACACCAAAAATATCAGGGTGATGTTGAATTGGTAGACCTTCCTAAAGTTGGACTTGTCGTAAAACCTACATATGGTACACCTTTAGAAGCAACGATTTCGAATTTTGTGAGTATAGTATGCAAAGATGACGGTATAATTTCTGAAAAATGGGCTGAGTTTGCAATTTCCGTATTAGGGAAAATCGAGAAATCTGACGCCAGGCTTGTTAATGGAGATTGTGTGACATTTGATTTAAAATATAAATATGATCAACATCGTATACTCATGAGGAAGGATTTGGATAATAAATATTTTACGCCAAGTGTTACTGAGACATCCACGGTTAATGAAGGTATCGGAAAAGCTCAGCCTTATATATTGTCAGAGATAGAAGATATGATGGATAAAATAATAAATGCCGTAGAAATTCATATTAATCAGTACAGTATGTTTTCTGAAGATGATGATTCAAGACAAACTGTTTTAAAGGTATCAGACCCGGTTGAAATGGTAACAGTCTCAAAAGACAAAACAAAGAGAAAGTATTCTGAACTCGATAGGCTTGATGTGACGGTTATACGTATCCCTGAAAACTTGGAAAAAGATTCGACTCAAAGTTGCGGGAATATGCATTGCACCTTAGGATGTATTTGTGATTCCATAAAAAATACGTGCTATATCAAACAACACTGTGGGCGTGAAGAATGCATGTTTAATTGTAAGTGTGATTTTTCCAAGTACAGTAATATAAACTTAGACATGAATGGTTCTGATTCGACAGAACTAATACCTGGAATAAAAAATATTGAGGATAAAATCAACACGAGATTAGCTAAAGAAGAGCAAAAATTTCATCAAACTGTCATAGTATCCGGCGAGAACAATATTTTGCTTAAATCTGAGAAAAGGAGTTGGAAGTCGTCAAAAAAATATGGTACCTTTTACAAACATATGTGCTTAAAAAATGTTAACCCCGGAAATAGAATTTTATCAATATCCGCGTTACGACTTAACTGTGAGAATGTTGAGCCCTGGTGTATGGTCCACAATTTGTACAAATGTTTTTGTAAAGGTAAAATTACGACCAGTAATACCTCAAGTATTTTTCAAACAATTACTCAGGAACCGATATATAAAGATTCCGATGTTGAATGTCCACCGAAAATACAAACACCTTTGCCGAGATCACGACGACATAATGCAGTTAATTTGGATGATCCTGGAAAGGATTTTGTATCCGGAAAAACCTCAGGTAATTTCAAAACATTATTTACGTCTGAATTTATTCTAAGTCCATTTATGTATAATATCCTATCCTACTTAATCCAAATTTTATTTCAGATGTTTCTAGTATTAACTTGGAAAGAAAACAAAAAACACGAAATATCTCGGATATTTTAAGCAATCATCAAAGATTATCTTCAACTTCTGAAATGTTTGATAGCTTTAGCAATGAAAACAAGCAAGACGTATACATATCTGATAGCAGTAATCCAGACGAAAGTTGTTCACGAGTTATTGGATACGAAGGCAGAAAATATAGCAACGAACATTATCAGGAAATTAATAATAAAATTAAAAATATGGAAAAGAATGATAAAATGCTTCAAAAAAAGATAATGAAATTTCTTAACCCTGAAGTACTGAAAGTCCATGCACTACTCGAAGAGAAACAACAAGATCAAGATACAGTAAAAGAAAAGACTTCTGTAAAGGATTTGGAAACTGACTTATACAAAGATAATACTCTCACAGAAGGTATACAAAAAGATAACATTTCAAGTGAGGAAATATCAAAAGATCAGAATCAGAATAAGTACCTTTTAGATGTTAATGGTGTTATCGGCGGGGGCGAAGATAAAACGAAAAATAAACTTAGATGCACTGAAAAGAAGTTGGTTGGATGGCTTGAAACTAATTACAAACTGTATAAAAAACGTGTTGATGAAGGTCTAATTACAACTTCCCTTGAACCTCCACGAGTAGGAAAAATAGCATTACATCCGTGGGATTTCATTTTAAGTAGATACAGAGAGCGAAAAAATTTATTCTTGATTTCAAAACAAAAACCTTACCGCATCTTTATGGGAGTACATACAAGAAATCCGTTTTTTGAGTCCTGTATTAATATCAATGAAATACGTTTTGCGGATTTACACAAGTACCCTCAAACAGTAAAAAACTTACTTACTAACGCAACACATTTAAAGGATCTATTTTGTATATTACGTGGCTTAGCACATTGCTGGGAACTAGCAGGTTCTGTTGCAAAAGTTAGCAAAAGTGATGATAATACAGATGATATCAATGATGTAATTTCTGACACAAACTCAAACTCTCCAAGCCATCTTGGCGATAGTCCTAATAAACAACAGCTGTCTATAAGAGAATACGAAGATGAAACTGTTCCAAGTTCGATTTTGAAAGATGATGATGGTAGTAATTCAGATTGTCCAACTGAGGCTGAATCTTCAAAATGGTTTATCATGACTGTAGAAAATGATTTTAGTGAAATTCGTTTTTATAAAAAAGGATTTTTCGTTAAATATGAAAGCATTGTCAAGGCAATAAATGTAGCACGCTTGTCAAAAAAAACGGTTCGATTGTCGTCTCATAAATGCGTAGATAAAATTCCGCAATTTGGTATTTATGCAATCCCAAATATTCGCGAATGTTGTGTTTTTATTGGTCCATACGAAATGGGGGATGCCTTAGGAGTAGAAACTATTAAATCTATTTCAGAAGTTGGTAGTACTACAAGAGTAAAAAAAAACCAGAGGTTTTTGGATGAATATAAAAACAGTAGACAATTTGAAGGTTATAGAAAATCCTTTGTCATTTATGCCTTCATCTGATTTAAATGAGAATAAAGCAGTACCCATAGAAAGTCACTATTCGGACGATAAAAAGTTAAATGAGAATGAACCACAGGAAATACTACATTTGAAGGAATTCGATGAAACACAACAAAAAACATTATTGAAGCTAGATTCCAAGAAAATAATCAAACCAATTAAGATCTGTAAAACTAATGGATTTTACCATTTAGCAACAGGAAATTTATTAAAGAAAGTGAATCTGCAAAGTCCACGTAAGGTGATAATTAAACCCCCCTTAAATATTAGTACAGCCACAATAACTAATAAGAGTTTGTTATTGGATAAAAGTACATTTAATGTCGAAAATAGTACGCTTCGAGTGTCTAAAGTTCTAGATGTGGAGGAGAGCCCACAGATAAAGATATCAGCCGTATATTCACAACGAGATGCTGAAAATGTAAAAAATAATAGAAATGAAAAAGGCATGTTTATTCTAAAACCTGAGGAAATTAATAGACGATTGTTTGAAAACCAAATAAACACAGAAACCACTTTATCTCAAGAAATGGCTACTGATACCAGCGGTGAGATTTCGAGCCCTAAAAGTACTGAGTATCAACTATTTCAAGACCAAAATTTCAAAATTTCTGCGACACTTACTCCGTACACCATAAACGAGGATATATGTATCATTTCGGACGACGAAGATGATTCAAACAATGAACATGAAGGGAGCGATCGATGGAAGCAAATTCGAATTATGTGTACAGATGTACCTGATATTGGCTTTATATGGGGAAGACAAAAGTGTGAATCGCATTTGTTGAGTTTCCAAGTGCCCGGGGCTGAATATTCAGAATTTTACGCTGAAGATTGTGCATTCAAGAACCTTAATAGGCAAGTATATTGTTTTGTTCTAAGATATAAATACAAATAAAATGATAGATGTTATTTTTTATGCTAGTTTGTTCGGAAACAAAAGGTTTATGTGTGATTGTGGTTTGTATAGTTTATGTGAGTCATAATTATTCGATTCATTTTTTTTATCGTAGTCATAACAAAACAAGTATTTAAATAATTTAAAAGAAAATACAGTAACAAGTGGTTTTCGTCAAATAGCTTTCTTTTATTGTTTATCAAAACTAAAAAAAAAACTATTCTCAAAAAACCAATTAATAAATTAAATTAAAAGTACGGCCGGCCGGTCTCTAATTGAGAAGTCGTGCTTCCTTTCTTGTTAGTAGTATATCCGGGCTTCAGTGATGTAACAACATGTGATTTCCGAGTCTAAGTATTAAAATCTGTACCATGTCGGCGACGAAGCTTAACGTCTTAGAAATCAAATTACCTAACCTGACACTAGTTTTTCTTAGTATCCATTATTATTGTATGGTAGCCGACTTTATTAAAGGAAAATGCATGCCATGGCTGTCCAAAACGTCCAGTTTTCGATTCTAAGGCAAATGAAATTGGAAAAATAGCGATTACTATAAGATGATGTATCACCATGTTATGGTATTCAACGGTTTTCTTGGTAACAACTAGAATTAGTTCGATGTCTGTGTTTAAGTATAACTTTTTTGTATATTATCGCTAATTAGATTATTTATAATAAACCTTTGGTATTGTTTGGTTCACATGCGCATAAGGAGAAGATCTGGATTATTAATTTCTATTATCCTAAAATACTACAAGTCCCAATAATATACATTAAAATTGCAATAGATGTCTATTGCAAAGACGTCTCGTATCTAAGTCCGGAGCCAGGCGTAAATTTCGTTAATTATTTCCTCTCTGTCGATAACTCTTAAAATGCTTCAGAGAGTTGTATCCTGGAGCGTGGTGATCGTCAGCTGCGGCTCCGTGGGTAGGTTGAGCAGTGGTAGCCGCCCAAGCCCCGTAATAAACAAAAAATACTAACTTCCTCCCGATTGAAAATTTATCAAATTATAGTTAGCCCAATATCTTGAAGAAAAAAAAGTGACAGCTAATCATGAAGTGGTGGATTTTACGTCTGCTGGTCACACGAACATGTAAGAAATATACGTATATAAACGAGTATATGTACGTAAATATACGAGTTATCGACTGAGAGAAACCAGTAGTCCGAAAGCCAGCAACAGATTTTGATGACCATCAAAATCTGTTGCTGGCTTTCGGACTATTATTATTGGTACGTATTGTTAGTTCTTGGTCATTTAAATGAAGTCTTCATTTCAATTATGGATAAGACTCATTATACGATATTGAAGAAACGACTAGAAGCAAAGTTGTTTCTACCAAAGTACCACTGTGAATTAAAAGTTACGAATTTATATCACGTAGGATAACAGCACTGCAAAGAGAAGGAAAACTTGACGCAAACCCTATACCAACCCTTCTGGCCCGCGTGGTATACTAGGTCAAAATACTAGGTCCTTTCTAGGTACCCATGTCCAGCTGTGGACCATGAAAGGCTGTTCATAATGATGATGATGATATTCTTATTATATTGATTTGGTCTTCGACTAAACTGTTTATAAAGCCATAATAATATGTTGTATTCATTATTTTCAGTGAACTTTATAAAATAATCGGCCTATCGAAATCATTTGACTTTCATTGGCAAGTCATCGATTCATCGGATGACATCGATACGAAAGTAACCCAAGTGAATTTTAAACGTTTGAAGGAAGTAAGTAGTCAGTGGTTTAGGTTAAGGTTAAAACGATATCAGAATCAATAAATCATATATCAAAAAGGTATCAATATTTCATAACTTACTAAAGAAAACGATCCTTAAAATTAGATAAAGATATGTTTTTTTATAGCAACGATTTAAAAAAAAGAGGGGCTTTCAACGCGACTGAATATTTTTGTGTGTATATTATGAGAAACATTAGCTATTTATGTTTATTGGATTGTTTGTACTCAACATTTTTGTCCCATTTAAATTTAATAAAAATAAACATCTTTAAGAGTGGAAAAGTAAGAAGTTAAGAAGACAGCTTGAAGTGTATGCAAAGTGAAACTTTGAAGACTGTAGTTCTTTTTTGAAATTAAACTTTGAGAGTTGACATCCTTTGCATTTTCAGATACTTACGAATCAGTGTTCAGAAACCCAGTCGTTTACACTAACAAGCAACAATTTAAGGACTTATTCGAAGAACACTGGCTCTAGATCGTGTGCTTCACTCGTTGTGGGATCCGAATTGATGGTAACTATTTCGCCTTGCTCTTGCCTTGGACACTCTCCTTTATTTTATTACTAGTATATATATAATATTGAAACGAATAATTATATACTTACACAATTAATTATAATATGTATTTCCAGTATTTCAATATAAATAAAATAATGTAGGTAACATATACAAGTGTGTGTAAGATTATGAATTTACTTAGCATAATTCAGAGACAAGACAGTCTCCTAAGAAACCTTACTTATTTCTTTTGTAAAACAAAGAAAGTGCTTGCGTTAATAAGAATCATCTGCTCGCTACTTTAGACTCTTTTTTGACAATTGCTCCAAATTGCTTTGCAAGACCCTTTCTTATAGGTTTAAAGTTAAGTTTTAGTAAAGTTCTGTTTTCATTTCATTACCAAGGAATGTTATGTATTGATGTATTTAACTATATATAATCAATATGCTATCGAAAATTCTTTTTCATATTACAGACTAAATCATCAGAGACAGGTGTTGAGCAAAGCAAAGAAAAGGTTGTTTTAGCGGAAGAAGACGGTTTGTTACCAGATACGGATCATTTAATATTAAAAAATTCAAATTAAAAATATTTAGCAGTAGGTAATAAACTTTTTTAATGACCCTACAAACCGAGTTTGAGTAACTGGGTTTTTTAAGAGCATTTTTGGATACATATTTTTTCAAAACAACTAGTTCAAAGTAACAAGTTCTATCGTGATACCTGACAATTTAACGTGTCCGAATTTTTATATGAACGAAAATGTTATAAAATTTAAATTTAAAAAAGTAAGTATCTTCTCTTTCTTGACTAGCAATAACCATTTTAGTCCTTTTTTACACTCTTGAAGATAAAGTTAAATGAAGTTGCCAGTTATTCTAAGATCCTACTGCCTAACATAGTGGATCTATCTGTACTCGGTGTTCACAAATGAACATATTAGTGTTCTCATTGTACCTAATGTTAAATACTTATAGACACTTTCCAGATTTCATATGTGACCGTCACTGTTGCATTGAATCGACTTACGTTTCCATATTGTGACTGTGATGAGAGGTGTGAGGTTATCGTTATCTGTATTTAATGTACAATACAAAGATAGTGTTAGCGAGGTACATATGTCTTCTAGGGGCCTAGTGTGATTGTATATCACATGAACTCGCTCTAGTCGGTGGGCACGTTCGGCGTTTGGATTGGTGAAGAGTTCAACGCGAGCCAATCATAACACCGAACACAGTCACTGTGACGATCGAGCTCAAGTAATCGTTATAGTAGGGGAGCTCATTGTGCTAAATGTGGATTTACTCGAGCGTCATGGGGATCTATTGCATTTGAAAGGTTAGGTAATAGAATGAATAAAAGTTATAAAATGTAATCACTCTCAACGGTGGGAAAAGCTTCTACAGGTTTGCAAAAATGTAAGGGGAGGACATCGAAAAAAAAATTTGCCGGCATCAGATATTTTGGGGATATGTTATTTGTACGCCAAAAAAAATGCTCCCATTGAAAGGTCAGACGATGTTACAGTGACACAAGCTCGTAGCGAATTATCGAAAATGTGAACTGCAAAATTTCAATTCAATTCAGCTTGATGTTTCTCTCATACTAGCCAAAGATCTGGCGATAATTATGCATTATGTATTTTAAATTTGACGTTAGCAATATTTTTATTTTTGTTTTTTTTTTTTATAAAATATGGCAAATAAAGGCACGAAAATTTATGTAGACATAAGATTTCTTGCATTGTTTGCTTCAAAATAAAAAAGGTCATGAGTTGTTTTTGAAACTTTGTGACCTTCCCACTGCTTTATGTCACGCTCAAATCGTCAATTTTTTTGAAATACACACTAATGTGTATGTAATTGACTCAACTTACCTTAATCTTATACGCTCGAGTATTTCTGGCCATCGATTTTTTTTCAATAATCTGATGAGCGTCTAGTGCCCATCAGATTATTGAATCCTTATGTATAGGGCTTATGTATGGTGGAGGTACTCCACTGGGTGTAAGATATTCCTCCTATCTTAATCTAACACGCTTGAGTAAATCCCGAAACCCCTTCTAGGGCACCCCTTACTATTACTCTAAACATAATGATGACCTCGATGTATCTTTTGCAAATGCATTTATTTGCTTTAACTGTGATAATTTTAATTTAGCATTATTAGGATATCGACAAAGCGATTTTAAAATTGAATATATTATTAAGTTTTTACCATATGACTACTACCTTTTTAGCTGTGTAATTATCTCAGTATCTTGACAGATACATACCTGCCAACATAATTTATACAAAGTAAATACTTTGTGGCTGATCATTAATTACGTGAGGTGATTTTGGCGATTTTTATATCCACCGCCTCCCTGGTGTAATATTATAAGATTTGACTCGACCCCATCCCCCCCCCTGTTGATATGATATACAATATTACGTCAGATTTTTTAAATTTGTGCTTGTAGTGTAAATTAATAGATTACGTTTAATTTATTTTAAATTGGTATATTACTACTTACGTTGGAGTTATTAAAACAACAAACATAATTTATTCTATTCTTTTTATTTTAAACTTGTGAGGACTAGAATTTAAAACTCACATAAAAATTGTCTTAAATCACAGTGAGAAAAATAAACTACGAAGAATTCAAATGGTCCACGAAGACTCGTTTGGTTTTAAAAATGATCACAATCGAAGTGCTACTGCGTTGCTTTTTGACGTTTGCGTTTTCCTTGGTTTGAACATTGTTATTTAATAGGCATAAAATGATTACATGATATTTGCCGACACCAAACTCTCTCCTTGAGTCTTGAGTTTAGGTGAGATTCCTCTCGATCTCCACCCTCCCCTTAATCCCTCACGTAATTAATAAATGTGTACGTACCCTTTTGTTTTAAATATTGTTTAATTAGTTCTAAGGTTAGCCATTTATACTTTTCGTCGAGATGAGTCTTGTGTATAAACTTCTGTGCGAAATTAAAGAAAATAAGTAAATCATTTAAACGTTTTTATTTTGGCAAAAAATAGTGTTACCTAAAATATCGGCAGTTATATTTTCATATACTTCCCTTATCTACAACATTATATAAATATTTATAATTGTATTACACTTTGAAGTTTTATTGAAATTTAAAACTATGATAGGAACCTGTCCGCATGAAGTAAAATACATACAAATGCGCTTCAAAATATTAAGACAACATAATTATTTTCTCTTCATTTACAAACTACCAAAATTAATGTTCAGCTAAACAAAGAGTGCATTCGAATAAAATTAAACTGGTAGAAGGTACTTATTTAATCCAAAATAACTTCTTTTACATGCGATGAAATTCCAAAACTGGCCGTTTCGGTAATTTACAAACTCCCAAGTTACCTACATTCTAATTTCCAAAGACAATGCATGGATTAAAAATATTAATCAGATTAAAGTTTTATGACTATAAATGACATTTGGTTACATGGTGTATTTTTTAAGGTCTATATTGTAACAATCCTGAAATTAATCCTTGGACAAAGCAGTAGGTGTAAGGACGCTCTGGGACATGTTAGGTTTACATAACAACGTCGTCGTTTAATATTTTTCGAATGCATTTATATACGAGAATACTGCACAGTTGTCACCTTGTATGTCTGTATCTTTTTTTGTCTGTGCAGAAATCCCCTCGGATACCACCCACCGGTGGTTATGTCGGACTCGAACTGACCAAAAACCGAACGCCGTCTGGGGTACCAAGGTAAGGGCGCGCGCGCTCGCGACGCGTCTCGCCACCACCCTGGCCTGCTTCTGCCAGAGTGACAGATGGCCTCACCTACCACCCCCAGGCCTTCGCTTATGGAGGACGGAGGTCATTCTGCGACCTCCGGTGCCTGAGTCGTCGCCGGTACCTGGCCCGTTGCCGGGCCTGGCGCACCGGGAGAGTTATAAACGTCTCCCGGTCCCGTTCCGCCATCTCCTTTGCAAGCATAACTTGCTTGCAGAAGGAAGCGGCGGAGTTCCACGAACTCTCGCTCCGTACCATGGCGGCAATCATGTTACCGAACGAGAAAATTCCCACTCCGATGACCGGCCATCGCAGTGGCCTCTCACTCAGGCGTTGGCTCCTTGCGGATCTGACACAGGTGATCTCCGAAGAATTCTTTCCCGGTGAACCTGCGTTAACCTGTATGAGAGGGTTCCGTGATGCCTCTCTAGCCAATCCTCCATAACGGGTCTTACCGCCGCGATAACGACGTGTCCATGTATGTCTGTACCTATATCTTTTAGTTTCATAATTATTACGGTGCAGTTACAGAGGGTAACTAAAATTAAATTAAAATTAAAAAAATATGAAATCGAGTAATTTACTACGATACTCAAAATATGCAGGAGTAACTCTATGATTAAAATAAATTAATACAGTTACCGAAACACCAAAAAAAACAATTCAATATTATGAGTAGGTATCGTAGTAAAAATATCAGAAAATTTTAATTACCTTCTGAAACTGAACCATTGAATTGTTAGCGTAACATATTGCCTAAGTCTCGGTTATAGTGTTTCGGTAACTGTGAATTGTTATCGTAACGTATTGCCTAAGTCTCGGTTATAGTGTTTCGGTAACTGTGAATTGTTAGCGTAACGTATTGCCTAAGTCTCGGTTATAGTGTTTCGGTAACTGTGAATTGTTAGCGTAACGTATTGCCTAAGTCTCGGTTATAGTGTTTCGGTAACTGTGAATTGTTAGCGTAACGTATTGCCTAAGTCTCGGTTATAGTGTTTCGGTAACTGTGAATTGTTATCGTAACGTATTGCCTAAGTCTCGGTTATAGTGTTTCGGTAACTGTGAATTGTTATCGTAACGTATTGCCTAAGTCTCGGTTATAGTGTTTCGGTAACTGTGAATTGTTAGCGTAACGTATTGCCTAAGTCTCGGTTATAGTGTTTCGGTAACTGTGAATTGTTAGTGTAACGTATTGCCTAAGTCTCGGTTATAGTCTTTCGGTAACTGTGAATTGTTAGTGTAACGTATTGCCTAAGTCTCGGTTATAGTGTTTCGGTAACTGTGAATTGTTAGCGTAACGTATTGCCTAAGTCTCGGTTATAGTGTTTCGGTAACTGTGAATTGTTAGCGTAACGTATTGCCTAAGTCTCGGTTATAATGTTCCTTAACTGTGAATTGTTAACGTAACGTATTGCCTACGTCTCGGTTATAGTATTTTTATCAACTGTCTAGTTATCATAGCACCGGCTCTGTTATTTTTCTTGTCGCAGACAGGTAAGTTGACTGCACAAAATAGATATTTGACTGTTTATAGTTCGAATAATCGAAAACAATTAATGCCTACATTGAGTGGGCAACAGGGGCTTGCGCTCCTTGTTGGCAAAAATGCAGGGCTTTACTTGCTATTCACAGACATTTTAATAAAACGTTCGTACGTTTTAGATGACTTTAATTAATAGTAAATAAATGAATAAACGAAATATAATAACTTACTATTAAAAAATAGCACCACACAAACATTATGTTTGCCAGGCGTTTACCGACAAGCAAGCGGCGCTGTACCTAACCAACCAACTCATGCCGTCGCGTCCCGCAGGACATTTGTTCGCATGTGTGTAGTAATTTTGGTGTCCGTGCACAGTTCGCAAACGCACATACCCATTTATTTTATTTCCCCGCCTCCAGCCGCAGGCTACTGAAGTTAGTTCGGCAGTTGTCGGGAGTAATCGGAAATGTTCGTTGCCGCCATGTTCGCGGTGGCCATTTTTTTTTCATGTGATAAGCGTTGTTTACTAATTTGTTTCCGCCAGTATAATTTTCGTTTTATTTTTCATTTTAACATTTGAAAGTGTGTACATTTAACAGTTTATTACTGATTTCCTTTGATTTTTAAAAAATGTTATTTGATTGTGAGGTATGTGTGGAAAATGTGTGTATATTAAAAATTAAAAGTTCTCACAATTGTCATTCAGTGAAAAGATTAAAATTGTGTCTAAAGGTAGGTGTGTACCCGAGTTACAACAATTAAACCAGCAAAAAGGAAATGTAACTCGCAAGTTTCATGTTAAAAGTTATGAAACGTATGGCTGTGTGGTTGTGTGTGTACACACGATTAAATTATATTGTTTTCCTACTCCGCCGCATACCTAGTGTCATATTCCTGTGCAGGCCGCTGGTGGGCAACTTCTCAAAAAAATTGTGAAAAAAGTAGTAAAACATTGTTCGTTTTCATTTACAAAGTACCTGTTAAGTACAAAGGGTACCGTTGCACTTGGAACAAGAAAGAGGTTTGTAGTTGTATAATGTGTAATTAAGTGCTTCCATAATAATATTTGGACATACATTTATTTATTTACATTTTTGGTAGCTAATATTTTATTGCTTTGTAATGGAATCTTCTCCCCAAATTTTAGGTAACTTTTAATATAAATATTTTATAAATTATCTCAATACAAAACAATGGATCGAAATATATTTTACAATTTTATTTCGACCGTAAATACCTATATATTGCGGTTAACAAGGACGCGGGTAGTCGGAAAATACTAACCTATTACTTTAGACAAATATAGCTAATATTGTTTTAACAGGCTTACAAATGGTACACACATATTTAACGACGACACGCTTGTGTTGCTTCACTAGAACTACTAGCTAAGTTTGAACAGGAGGGGGAGAACGGTGCGGTGCAAAACTTGTACAGCTAAGCTACAGGGCGCGGCACTAGTTTCTGTCGGTGGTGGAGGAACGGCGGACGTTGTTGCGCTGCGGGATGACGAACTCAGTGTGACGTGGCGTCGTGAAAGGGTTGCTCGACGCGAACGGTGCACCCACCGAGCCTTGGCGCTGCGGCGCCGCACGCCGCCCCGCGCCTCTGCGACAAGCGGCATCGTCATCGCGGACCTACGACTCGACCATTATTAGTCAGACTCGGCGCTCACCTGGGGGACCCACCCACGTCGGCCGCAGCGGATTGCTGGCGCGGCGGGAGAGCGGGTGGTGGACCAGGTGCCCGCGCTCCTGCCACCGTCCCCGCGACCGCACCCGATGCTCCAACTCGAGGTGGAATCTGCGAATGTAAATATTTTTAGTCGTTGGCGCGCTGTCACAACCATTTATTCTACGAATAATATATCCCAACTGTTAGTGTTACACTGCATGATTTTTAAATACCGCTCACCCTGGTACCGGTGGTTTAGTGTCATGCCAATTGACAAAAATAATGTGCATGTACATACTGCAAGCACGCTATTTTGTGTACTCACAACGGGTGGGTCGGGTGGTCGAGCGGGTGCTGTGTGCGAATGCGCACGCGCGAGTCGCTGGTGTTGCGCCATGGTGGGAGCTGCAGTGGGAGGCAGTGCAGGGGGTGGGGGACGACGCGGGGGCAAACTGTCAGCACGTTGCGGTCGCTCGCTCGGTCGTTCGGGTGGTGGTCCGCTCAGTACACCAATAACCGGAGCGCGCCGTTCGGCCGACTCCCTGGCATCGCCCCCCTCAAGTCTGCTAGGCGGAGGCTTAGTCTCCTGTTTTCGACTCTTCGGGGATCGCTTTTCAACCTGTTTGACGATTGTAAAACTGTAGTACTCTTCTTATTTAATTAGCAATAAATACAAGGTTGTGATAGTTGTTGTAATATGTTTCAAATAAACTAGTTAAAAAGGCTTAAATAACAACTATCATCATGTAAAGTATTTGAAAAAAAAAATTAAGCAAGAGCAAAGACACTTCTTATAATATTGTATTAAATAAAAATATGTCTCATAAAATTAACAGATGTTGCCTAGGGTTGAGGGTAAGTAAATATGACCTGTTCTGTTGTATCAATTTTACAAGCTGCGTCCCGCAGTGCTACCCGCGGTTGTTGTTGTACATCCCGCGAGACCACTACATTTTTTCGGGATAAAAATATTTATGCCTATTCCACACTATAATCTATCTGTGTTTGTATCTGTATCTGTCAAATTTCATCCAGATTCGTTTAGCCGTTTTTGTGTGAAAGAGTAACAAACATCCATACAAACTTTCGCCTTAGATATTACATATTTATAATATGTAATAGAAACGAAATAAATGCCTCCTCGAACCGTATTTTAGTAACTTGTAACGGGGCTTTACTAAAATTTCTGACATATAAAACTGCAGTAACATTCTTTAAATCTTAGTTTTAGTCTGTAGTTTTATTCCTCATTTAAAAAGTTATTTATATTTGAGATATTTACTACCCTATACAAACTTCCACCCCTCTTTTTACCCCTACAGGGATGACTAAAGGGGGTCAAAAATGTATATATAATAACGAAAACTTAAATGATAAATTTCTTAGTCTTACTTTAAAATTTCCACCCCTCTGATGATGATTTCGCAGATAAGAAATAAGAACTATTCTATATCCTTCCCCATAACTCAAACTGTCTTCATACGAAATTTTAATTTAAATCGCAACGCTTATTGATTCCCCATACAAACTTCCACCCCATTTTCACCCCCTTAAAGAGTGATTTCTGGGATTAAAATGTCCTTTACCGGGACTCAAAATATCTCTGTACCAAAGTTCATCTAAATCGGTTCAGCGGTTTAATCGTGAAGAGGTAACAGACAGACAGACACACACTTTCGCATTTATAATATTAGTATGGATACTAGCATGCCTTTTAAGTTCTGTCGTTTCCATATTTCCCGGTAATTTTGAATTTGGAACTGTGCTATATTCGAATGTATTTAAATTTTGAATCTCAAAACAGTTGAAAGTATCAATGCTATTGTTTAATCACAGCGTCGATTGGAATCTGTCGGTTACGTACGAAAATGAATGTTTCTAAGGAAAATGTTCGTGCAATAATTTTCTACAATTTTAGAAGAGGCCTGACACGGCTTCAGTGTTTTGAAGAGCTAACATCTGTGTTCAGTGATGAAGCCCCATGTCTGCGGACTGTCGAACGCTGGTATTTAGAATTCCAGCGTGGACACACTAGTGTTAGTGACAAATTTCGCGTAGAACGCCCAAAATCCGCCTTCACTGAAGATAACATCATTGCTGTGAGACAACTAATTCTCGAAGATCATCATGTGACGTATCGAGAGATAGAGGCTCTATGAGGCATCTCAGGGACAACCATTCAGAAGATCTTGCATGAAGCGCTTGGTGTGAGAAAGCTAGTTTGCCGTTGGATACCGCATCTGCTTTCCGACGATCACAAGGCGGCCCGCGTCAGATGGTGTAAGAAAACTCTGCAAAGGTTCAACCGAGGAGAGTCAAAATCACGTCTACGACATCATCAGTGGTGACGAATCTTGGATCTATGCTTACGATCCTAATTCCAAACAACAATCTACAATCTGGGTCTTTCAAGACGAGCCAAAGCCGACTAAAGTTGTTCGTTCTCGAAGCACTTCAAAGAAGATGGTGGCGACGTTCGTTGGAAAAACCGGCCATGTTGCGACTATTGCACTTGAAGATCGTAGAACGGTTAACGCAGAGTGGTATACCTCAGTTTGTTTACCACAAGTCATCGCCGAACTTCGAAAATCTAACTCAAAGCGACGCATCATCCTGCACTACGACAACGCAAGCTAACACAGCGCTTGTCAAACGATTGAGTATTTGAAGCAGGAAAAATTAGAAATTCTTGATTTCTATCATACAGTCCTGACCTAAGTCCTAACGATTTCTTTACATTTCCTAAAATTAAGAAAAGTCTTCGTGGTCAAAGGTTCCAGTCCGGTGAAGAAGCAGTCGACGCTTTCAAGTCAGCCATTTTGAACACCCCCACTTTAGAGTGGAATTAATGTTATAATAACTGGTTTGAGCGAATGGAAAAGTGTATTAAGCTACGTGATGAATACTTTGAAAAACAATAAAAAGTACCATAAGGTTCTAGTTGTGTTTTTTTCTCCAAACGACAAAACTTAAAAGGCATGCCTCGTAATGGGGTACAATAATCAGTTTGTTCAGTTTGTTGTGTAGTTCACTAGTAAATCAATACCATAGGGCTTGTTTTCTTGCGCTGATTGTCAGTTAAGGGCGAGATGGGAGAAGCTCGCGGTGACGGTGTGGCGGGTGGAATTAACGCATCTCCAGGAGCTGGAGGAACTCGAGCCGCCTGCTCCAGAATAGCTTTCTTTTGCTCCTGTCCTGCCGCGAAATATGAAAATACGCACAGCACCGCGTAGCAAATTTGATCCGCCTGCAACGTTTTATAATTGATTTTCAAAATTTTCATTATGAGAAAAGAAACAAACTCAGTGTAATAAATTTCAATTACATTCATGAAGACATGGTGTACAATAAAAAGCAAAAATATTAAAAGCGAAATAAAAAAAGTGCCAAATACGTACAAACACTAAGATGATTGTGAGTTATGAAACAGAGGGTGTGTAATGTAATTCGTGTTCATTGGCCTCGATAAAGTACCGGGAAAGCCACAAGGAGAAGTAGCGATGGAGATGTAGTACTACCTTCTCTGCCTATAACGTAAAAACATGTAAAGTAAAAAATAAATATTGAAGTAGCAAACAAAACAAGGCACGATTATACGAGTATAATAGAGTTACAATGTGCTCACCATTACAGATTTGTATTTCCTTTGTATGATTTGTCTCGTTTTTGGGTCTAAAACATAAAAAAAATATGTTTTGAACACAACAGTTGTTTTTCTTTTATCAATTAATAATCGACTTATACCTATATAATAATCGAATTATATGATAGCCTATGCTATTGAACTTACTAAATTCTTCTAAAACGAAGATACCGCCATTCTGCGTGAAACACTTCCTTATGTGGTCCAGTCGCACGAAAAACTGTAATACAAATATACTTAATGATAATTTGAATTAAATTTGTTGCAAATTTGGTGCAGGCGTGCGCACATCTAAGTAGCATGAAATATACGTAATTAGATAAAGGCAGAAATTATTATTATTATTTATTTTGTATACAAGTTCTCATGATTTGTGGTTTGTGGTGGACGCATCGAATTATTAAGAAGTATTTGCGTACTTCAATCCGACTGCTTATGACTATAACTTTTTAATCAGTGGGCAATATAATATTGTTTATAACTTGCTAACTCCTTCCCGTCTAGATTTAAGTACTTAAAAATTACCAATAGGGTCTTTAAGTGATGACCAACGTAAGTAGATCTGACCATCAGTGGAATTGTTTTATTTTATCAAATGCGTTTGTGAATGCAGGCATATAACAGTCTGAGCGAGCGTTTTAGTTAACATTTATTACGATGGCCTAGAGTTATCTGATTTAAGAAGGAGAACATATGTACAATCTAGGGAAGTCTTGGACTCGGGAACAAAAAATATAAAACATTAATTATTTCATTCTCAGATTAAATAGCACTGATGACTAAATACGATTGTTTCACATTCTGCGTTCAAATGTATCGGGGAGAGTATAAAATTATTCGTTTATTTCGATATTCTATTAATAGCCATACAGTATGCAGTAAAATAATTCCATATTAAGTAGAAATAACTACAGCCTTCTTTAACTAAATTTTACAACTAAAAACACCAATTACTACAAGCTTGTTAGCTAAACAAAAACAAAAAATCCTTTGCAGTTCTAAGGCTCGTACACAAATTGGCTAAATTAAGTTTTAAGGATCGTCATTCCATCACAAGAATAGACTTGTAACATAGATCTGTACTTCATAGTAAGCCTTTCGATGTATTATTATTTATGAAATATACAAATTATTATTTTTTGTTTAACCTTTAAGAAAACTATTACAAATCTAAATTGCTGTTCTATCATTATGACGCCTCCTTTTTATTAGGTACTTATCATATTATTCTTAATATACCTATTTACGTATATTACTAAATCAATCCTCCTCAAATAAATTCTCCAAAGAAAGTACGGTATAAAACAAAACATGCAAACATGCTATATGAGTAACGCGATGCAAGAATTGGTGTCGGTGCACTAACTTTATGAGATACTTTTTAGAAACTAACAGTTAGTGTACCGCCAAGATGTTACGCATGCCATCCATTTCCTTTAATTCCTTTATACTAATTTGTCAGGGATTTCTCAATCTGCAACATTATGACAACTTAGTATTACCAGAATCAAAGTGGCGTAATTTTGCTGCTGATTGAAACAGAGCAGAGCTTGGTGAGGAGCTAGGCGGGCTGGGAGTGCACTGTGCGAGGTCAGATGCGGTGCGGCTAGGGCGGGAGGGACAAAGGAGGGTGCAGAGTGAGAGACCGCGCGGCAGGCCAGGGCGGCACCGGAACTTGTGAGATGGCGAATGCTCTACGACTGACCTCGTGACTCGCGTCCGTTAAGCTTTAACGCTGACGTGACGCTCGCTCGCGGGTTCCGGGTGATAAGGGACGAACGAACTAAATCTCTGCACAATGTGCGAGAGCGAAAAATCGAGACCGCTCGCCGGACGATCCACGATACGAATGCAAGCTGTCGGGTGCGTTAATATAAACAGATAATAAACAAAGGGCGTCTATGTGCATGCACGACTGCGCGCATCGGCGCTCGCCGCACTCGGGAGAACTAATACAACGCTAACAACGGCTAAAAACAATCTGTAAGCCTCAAAACTACTAGTAAAGCCCTACGACCTCGAACGATCATCGCTAAATGCGAGTCTCACGGTGACCGTGACTAGATCTTTAAGGTCGTAAAAGTCGTATCGATCATCGTAAGAGCCAGCCATTACTATTGAATGAACCACTGTGTACCTCGAAATCCTTTTGCGCAGCGGCGCGTGTTCGGCGTGTCCAGAAAGAGTAGAACAGACAAAAAGATGTAATTAGTTGAGGGCGGCCGAGCGCGTGTCAAGGACCATCTCAAAAGTTCCTAGCGGAGTGACTCGCCGCCGCTCGCTCGAGCATGTGCGGCGAGCATGCGTGGCGAGCATGCGCGGCGAGCACGCTCGAGCACACGCACTCCAGCGATATACGGCATTGTACGGGTATTGCAGACAAATAGCACATGCACAAGTCGTATGGAGTATAAGAACGTATATCAGATGGACAACGGTTAGTCTTAAAATGTAAAAAAATATAATCTAAACTATTACATCGAATAGTAGATAAGGATATTTAAGGGCAAAAATACTGGGTCTCAAATTAGACCTAAGCTGTTTTTGACAATAATACGGAATTAGTAAATGCAAAATCACCTGAATTTCAAAATAAATAAGTCAAATATACATAAATATGATATTAAAAAATTATATTTAGATAAAAAATTGAAGAGAAATCCAAATAGGAAAGTTTGAGTGGTCCTTGCGTCCGGAATAATTTATGTGAATGACATCGTATCAGTTAACATTAAAATGGGGCATCGACTCTGATTTGATTAGTAATGATTTATTCTTCTGTGCTTATGTATTAGAAGGTATAAATGTCTTCGATGGACTAAGAAGCTTCGTAAAATTACGATAATATAACAACGCGCTAACGGCACCGATACAATATTGAAACAATGAAGCAATGCCAGCGCGGACGCCGTTATCAGTATATAGACCATCGTACAGCGGAATTGTACGACAATCTATATTAATACATCACTCAATCGTATCGAGACTTTTCCCAAGCGAGTACACTGACATAACTTACCTGAGTAGTATAGTACTGGTATATAATATAGTACTAGTGTGATAATACCAAAACTTCCAGTACAGAAATTGTTTTCAAAAGTGGCAACAGTGCTATCTTCGAGTTTTGGTACATCATTATAATGGGTTATTATATAAGTAACATGAATAAGCTGGAATGACAAAAGAAGGAACACAAATAAAGCGATGGGACATACCTTGCTATGGTGAAACAGAAGTCCGACGCCTTCCATGCACACCTTTGGAATTCGCACAAATTCACTTAGTTAGATCAAGTCAAGTTTTCTATTTAAATACTTACTAACTTATAAGGTCCGTTTTAAGTAATTGAGATTTCTAAAATAAGAGCTTAAAGAAAAAACTGTTCAAAACAGAGTAGGTAAATGTGTAACATGCACAAAAAAAGATCATCTTTCTTTTTCGGATTTTGTCTGAAATGTATTTTTGTTAACCCAAAGACACTTATTTTAATCTGTAATAAGTATCTTAGTTATTTGCTGTCACTAAAAAGTTTCTGTAAAGTTAAAAAATAACTGATGGAAGTTACTTGTCATATGTGTTTGAAATAGGCGAAAACTTAACGGGGGACCAGATATAAACGAATCACCTGAATAAGACCGCCTTCCCCGGTAGAACAGTCTTGTATGGGGAACTCCCCGCCGAGCTCAGCCGCATCCTGCCGACGCCCGCTTTTCTCCATCGCTTCCTTTATACAGTAGTACAGCGCTTTGCACTGGAAATCACACAATTTTACACACAGTTACACTTATCATACTATAATTTAACATTACAAAAGTTGTCAGAAACGAAAATATTCCTTTTGCCTTTCAATTTATTATTTTATATTTCTGTTTTGTAGTTTTAGTTTTAGTAGCTATAGCCTAAGGTTTTATCTGCGTATAATAAAAAAAAATGATTATGATATATAATAGATACTTCAAGTCTCTCTGATAGTTCAAACTCAAACTTTCTTTATTTCATAAAATTTCCAAAATTGTTTGAAATCGTCTTCCATGTAGACTCTAAAGTCATAGATCAACATACACAAAAGCAACAATCTCTGTTTTGTCAAATAGTAACCAAATAAATTTAACAAAAATCAAACCCATACAAAATCTATGATATGCCTGTGCCGATCTACAACCGCCCGTTTCCAAGGGGTTGAGCCTTGAGTTTGTTTGCCCTTTCTTCTCGAAAGGGCAAACAAACTCAGTGCCACTCTTTTGCAATTCACAGGTAGATACAATGGCACTATTTTTATTGATATTTTTACTTAAGCAAAGTTTGTTATTAGTCTGTAAGCCTTCTTGAAATGAAATAAATAAATTAAATATACCACAACATTGTTTTGATGTGTGCTAGTATGTCCGTTATTAAGGGCTAAAAGGTGAAAAGACAATGAAGAAAAAACAAGATTAAGAAAAAAAAACGAATACAAGAGAAAATGAAGTGAAACATAAAAAATAGAAAAAATAATAATAATAAAAACATACTGGCCACACCACATTTTTACTTTCATTTTTACCATATGTTGTAGTGTCCACAAGGTCCAGCCCGACATCCCTAATTATCCCAGTAGTTTTCACTGGCTTGACGTTTGGCATAGTGAAACGTATACACTTAGTTTTTTGTTCATTGAATAGTAAATTGTGGACGTCAAATCAATGAACCACTTTCGAAATGGCGCTGTTTACAAATGTGAAATCAGAAAGCGTCCGTTTTAGTCTAAATAATAGTGATGTATCATCTGCAAACAACACAATCTCGAGATTGTCCTTGACAAAGTGAGGTAAGTCGTTAATATATACAAAAAACAAAAAAGGGCCGAGAATAGAACCCTGTGGAACGCCCATTTCTACCACAGAGCCTGGAGACCGCTCACCATTAATATCAACTTTTTGAATCCTATTACACAGATATGAGGCAAGTAGTTCCAGGGCTTTATTTTTCATACCATAGTGCTGTAATTTCCTGATCAGCGTTTCATGAACAACACAATCGAAAGCCTTAGATAAATCGCAAAAGATATCTAGAGAATCGTAGGCATCCTCCCAAGCATCAAATATATGTTTTACTAGCTCAACACTGGCATCAGTTGTGGAGTGAATTATTATTATTAAAAAAACTTTGCAATTGATCATACATAATTTTTTCAACAATTTTACTAAATACTGGTAGTACTGAGATAGGTCTAAAGTTAGTTGGGTCAGATGTACTATCAGATTTGAATAAGGGAATAATTTTACTAGACTTCATAAGATCAGGAAATACACCACTATCAATACATTGATTAAATGTAAATGACAATTGATTAGCCACAAGAGATACAATTGTCTTAGTAATTAAAACAGAATTTCCCCATAGGTCGGTTGTTTTTTTAACATTAATAGTGTTAAAGGCTTTAATAATTTCCAAGGGGGACACATATTCGGGCACGCCGTCATCGCGGCGGTAAGACCCGTTATGGAGGATTGGCTCGAGAGGCGTCACGGGACCCTCTCATACCGACTGACGCAGGTGATCACTGGGAAAGGATGTTTCGGGGATCACCTGTGTCTGATCCGCAAGGAGCCAACGCCTGAGTGAAACCACTGCGATGGCCAGACCGTGGACACGGCTCTCCACACGCTGGCAGAGTGCCCGGCGTGGGTTGAGCAGAGGCGAGACCTCGTGGCGGCCATCGGAGTGGGAGTTCTCTCGCTCGATAGCCTGATTGCGGCTATCGTGCGGAGCGAGAGTGTGCGGGCGTGGAACTCTGCCGTCTCCTTCTGCGAGCAAGTTATGCTCGCGAAGGAGACGGCGGAGCGGGACCGGGAGAGGTTTAGGACTCTCCCGACCCGCCAGGCCCGGGAACGGGCCAGGTACCGCCGGCGGCTCAGGCGCCGGAGGTCGCAGAACGACCTCCGTCCTCCATAAGCGCAGGCCTGGGGGTGACAGGTGAGGCCATCTGTCACCCTAGCAGAAGCAGGCCGGGGTGGCGGCGAGCGCGTTGCGAAGCGCGCTCGCTTCCAGGGAGCACAGGGAACATGGGGTTCCCACACTTTCGTCTACTCGTCTGTAGATGACCCGAGGTATGTCGGGGTACCAGGGACTTCCTTTCTAGGGTATACCTGGTTCCCCGGCTATTAGTACCCGAGACGGCGTGCGGTTTTAGTCGCTTCGAGTCCGACATGCCACCGACAGGTGGTATCCGAGGGGATTGCCGCACGGAAAAAAAAAGGGGGACACATATTGGAACTTAAATTCACTATCAATTCTTCTAACATTCTCTTTTAAAATTGATTCTGCAAGGTATGGTGAGGAGTTCAAAGATTTAGTAGTTGATACAGGAATTTTAGTAAGTACGAGTGGACGGCGAGGCCGTAGCGGAGGAGGAGATCGCGGATCTGCTGCTCAAGGTTCGGGAGCCGGTGGGGGGAAATGCCCCCCAGGCTCCCGTGTCCGTGCAGGAGAGGGCGAAAGCGGCGGTGGCCGTCATCCATAAGGTGGCCACCAAGTCCGTAAACCTCAAGGGCTCGTTTGTGAGGGCCCTTAAGGACTCCTCCTCCGCTTTGTCGGAGGTCGTGGAGGGCCTAGTGGGCGATGTCTCTCGCCTGCAGTTGGCCAACGAGAGGCTGACGGAGCAGGTGAACGAGCTGAGCGCTCAGTTCGCCCGCTTCCAGAAGCCCCGTCCGCGTCCCAGCCTGCCCCTACCACCAACTCAGGGGCATTTGACTCCCAACTGCGTGAAATCCTCATCGCAGTTGGGAATATGCTGGACGGACGCCTGGCTGGCCTGGAGGCGAGACTGCCCCCTGCGCCGGTTGTGCGCCCCCCGCTCGCGTCGGCACAGCGGCCTAAGGCCGCCGCTCCGACCGCGCTCCCCGTGGTGGGAGGCCGCGTCTCTTACGTCTGCCCCGACTCCATCGGCTCCCCAAAAGCCGAGGAGGGGGCCAAGGCACCGGCCCAGGCGCCGGCCAAGGCACCGAACCAGGCGCCGGCATAGGCACCTCCCCAGGCGCCGGCCAAGGCGCAGGCCAAAGTGCCGGCCAAGACGGGGTCTAAAACGGCGCCGAGGAGTGGAGTGGCATTCCCTCCGCTCCCCACTCCGACACCCCTGCCGGGCCCCTCCGCACCTGCCCCCTCCAACGAGGGTTGGCAGGAGGCGAGGGGCTCCAAGAAGTCCCGAAGGCGGGCCAGAAGGGCTGCCCAAAAAGCAGCCCAAGCCCAGCCTTCGCCACCGGTGGCAACGGCCTCTACAAAGAGGCCGCGGAAGCTGCAGCCGCCCAAAACCGCGGCTGTAGTGGTGACCGTGTCCCCGGGGGCGGCTGACGGCGGGCTGTCCTACGCGGCCGTCTTTAAAAAGGCCCGGGACAGCCTCGCCAACGATTTTGGGACGGTGGGGGTCAGGATGCGCCTCGCCCAGACGGGAGCTCGAGTGCTCGAGTTCCCTGGGGCTGAAGGCGCTAAGACGGCAGACACGTTTGCTGAGAGGCTGCGGGATATATTCGCCACCACAGATGGTGTCAAGATCGCCAGGCCTACCAAGTGCGCGGAGCTGCGCATCTCGGGCCTGGACGACTCTGTGACGGCCGAAGATGTCCGCACTGTAATCCGGGAGAAGACGGGGTGCAGCGCGGACAACGTCAGGGTCGGCACCATCCGCCCCGGTCCAGGGGGGCTTGGCGCCGTGTGGGTAGCGTCGGCCAAAGTATTGGCCGACGCCGGCAGGCTGCTCATCGGTTTCGTGAGCGCTAGGATCACAGTCCTGGCGGCGAGACCGATGAGGTGTTTTAAATGCCTGGCCACGGGACACACAATTACGCATGTCTGCGATGCGGCCATGCCCCGCATTCGAGGTCGTCGGCCTCCAAGGAAGGAGGTCTACTGGTGGTCCCAGGAGCTGGCGGACCTCCGTGCGGCCTGTACACGTGCCCGGAGGTCCTACACGCGTAGTCGGCGGCGTCACCGTGGAGACGGTGAGGAGGACCGGCTTCATGAGGAGTACCGAGAGGCGCGGAAAACTCTAAAGCTGGCCATTAGCCGCGCCAAAGAGATAAAGAGAAAGGAGATGCTGGAGGGTCTCGATCGTGACCCCTGGGGTCGCCCTTATCGCGCGGTGCGACAAAAGCTCCGCGCGTCGGGCCCCCCCCTTACGGAGACTCTCCAGCCCAGCTTCCTGCGAGAAGTGGTTGAGGGCCTTTTCCCGCAACGAGCGGAACACACTCCCCCGGCGATGGCCTCCTTGGCCGGAGACGACGGGGAGCACGAGGAGGATGATGTTCCGCCCGTCCGGGATTCGGAGGTAGGGGCGGCTGTTCTACGGATCCGTTTCAAGAACACCGCCCCTGGGCCAGACGTGGTACCGGCCCGAGTGCTGGCCCTAGCCCTCGACCACATGGCAGACCCCTTCAGGGATTTGTTCGACGCTAGCTTGGCGTCGGGACGTTTCCCTGAGTGCTGGAAGAGCGGGAAGCTGGTCCTATTAAGGAAGCCGGGACGGCCTGCCGATTCGGTCGCGGCCTACAGGCCCATCGTGCTGCTGGACGAGGCGGGTAAATTGTTTGAGAGGGTTCTCTCTGCCCGCATCGTCCGGCACCTCTACGAGGTGGGCCCCGATCTGTCGGACGCCCAATTTGGTTTTCGGGCGGGGCGTTCGACAGTCGACGATGGGTTGCGCCTGAGGGCCGTGTCCGAAGAGGCCGTGAGCTGTGGCGGCGTGCTGTTGGCGGTGTCATTGGACATCGCCAACGCATTCAATAGTCTGCCATTCAGCTGCATCAGGGAAGCACTCCACTATCATGGGGTGCCAAAGTACCTAAGGCGGCTATAGGCAGACTATTTAGAGGAGCGTACCGTCGTGTAGGAGGACCGAGAGGGTAATTTGAGGTGTCGGCCCATGTCGTGCGGTGTTCCACAGGGGTCTGTTCTTGGACCCCTCTTGTGGAACATAGGGTACGACTGGGCCCTTCGAGCCGATTTCCCCCCCGGGCTGGGTGTAATTTGTTACGCAGATGATACTCTGGTGACAGCCCGGGGGGCGAACTTCCAAGAGGCGGCGCGCCTGGCCACAAGGGGAGTCTCCCTGGTGGTCGGGCGCATTGAGGCGCTGGGCTTACGGGTGGCCCTAGATAAGACGGAGGCCCTGTTATTTCATGGGCCCCGTCGTGGTCCACCCCCTGGCGCCTCAATCGTGGTCAACTCGGTCCTCGTACCGGTTCGGGCCCAGATGAAATATCTGGGCCCGATCCTCGACGGGAGGTGGCTCTTCGACGAGCACTTCCGACAGCTTGCTCCAAAGCTGGCTGCGCTGCGTCTGCCCTAGGGCGACTTTTGCCCAATTTGGGAGGACCCAGCGTCGCAACAAGACGGCTGTACACGGGGGTTGTCCGGTCAATGGTACTATACGGTGCACCGGTGTGGGTGGCGGCTCTGACCGCCCAGAATAGGGTACGCCTCTGGCGCCCTCAGAGGGTAATGGCGGTCAGAGCCATACGCGGTTACCGCACCGTGTCGACGGAGGTGGCGTGCGCGTTGGCCGGAACTCCCCCGTGGGATTTGGAGGCGGAAGTGCTCGCCGAAGTTTATCGGCGAGTGGCTGACTCCCGGGCGGAGAGCGGATTTCGCCCTCCGCCCGAGGATGTGCGCGAGTGGCGCGAAGCCGCTCGCCGAGCCACGATGGCTCGTTGGTCGTTCCGGCTGGAGACTCCACGCGCTGGCTTCGCCGCCGTGGAGGCTCTTCAGCCGGTCATCGCCGAGTGGGTAGGGCGGCAGCACGGGACCCTTACCTTCCGGCTGACGCAGGTGCTTTCCGGGCACGGTTGCTTCGGAAAGTACCTGCACTCGGTCGCTAGGAGGGAACTGAGTCCCGCCTGCCACCACTGCGACTGCAGTAAGGACTCGGCCCAGCACACGCTGGCGGTCTGCCCCGCATGGGCGACGCAGCGCCGGGCCCTCACTGCAGTCATCGGAGTGGATCTCTCGCTACTGGCCGTAGTACGCTCCATGGCCGGTAGCGACAGTTGTTTTACCGCGGTCGCAACCTTCTGCGAGGAAGTAATCTCGCAGAAGGAGGCGGCGGAGAAGGCCCGGGAGGACGACTTCCACTCGGACCCGATCCGCCGCCGGCGAACCGGGCGGCGGAGGCGCGCTTATCACCGCCTCATGCCGCCCTGAGTGTGGCCGCGGGTGGACGGGGTGGGTTTCCCCTCCACCCGCATTAGTTTGGCCAGCCGCGAGGGGGCGGCGTCCGCGTGTGCCGGACGTCGCCTAAAGAGAGGAAAATTTTGAGACGGAGCCCGCACCAGGAGCGGGCTGGCGCTAGGAGGGGTCCGGATGTCTTAATAACAGTTGTTTTCGGATCCCTCCTGTTACAGGCGCAGAGTGGCACACCGTGTGGTTTTAGTCGGTCCGAGTCCGACACACCACCCCGCCGCAAACCCCGGTGGGGTGACGGTCCGAGGGGATTTTCACACGTTAAAAAAAAAAAAAGGAATGTTAGTAAAAAAAATCTCAAATGCAGCAGCAACCTCAGCATTTGATGTGATAAATTTATTGTTTATGTTTAAATTAAATTCATTATCACGGTAATGATCTTTGCCAGTTTAACTATTAATAATTTTCCAAGTGGTTTTAATCTTATCATTACTACTTTTAATCTTTGAACTAATAAAACGAGACTTAGCCAGAATACAAAGTTTCCTAAACAGCTTCGAATATTCTTTAACATAATTATGAAACTGTTCACTTTTATTATAATTCCTCTCATCGTATAGCTCGTATAATCTTTTCCTACTTTTGAGTAAGCCAGGGGTAGCCCATTCACTAAATGTGGCGTTACCTTTAACCACTAGCGTTTTTTGGTGTAAAAATGGTGTTAAATGTTGAAGAAAAAGTTTCAAAAAAAAACTATTATAATAAGTATTAGGGTTATTCTCTACACAGAGTACTGAATTATTAAAAGCAGCTTTAAGTTTATCCTTAAAGTTTTCACACTTTGCGGTTTTAGGTATCACCACAATTCTTGTTTCTGACACTTTTTTCTTTTCCAGATATAAGCGTGTTTAAACAAATGAAAAATCCCTGCATTTTTATTATATTAGTATAAGTCATTTACCGACCTTAGAACTGTGTTTCTAATAAAATTTTTCATTTTTTTATATCTTGTATTATCTATCTTCTACTTGAATGTAATTTTTCAGATACCGATTAGAATACGCCTTAAAGTTGCGAATAGAGAATTAAATTAGCAACTTGAGCGAAATATGTATAATGTACAATATTTATTTATTTATGCTGCCTGCAAATACATTGCATGATTCGGCCTTAATGTCATAGGCATTTTCTTCCAGTCAACCATTGGTATGAATGAATCGCCAGCCATCATGAACCTTACAAAATATCACGGACAACTCTCAAGCAAATGTTGCTTTCGTCCTTCTGACGCTATGTCACCTAAGACATTTTATGATAATAAGCTTAACTCAAAGATAATTCTTAAAATGTGGCTTAACTAATTAATAAATTTTCATTAAGAATGTCAAATGAGTACATATGTGGCTGAAAAAAAAAAAGGAAAACCTTTTTCGTGTAGTATTTATGCAGTTGTGTTTGGCCTCCATTCTTCCTCCAAAGGCACAAGACTCTTATCTTTGGACTGTATGTCATGTTGACCAACCGCTCGTACCACCATCGTTCCACAATTGTACCTGAAATTTATGAATATAACTTCACACAAATTGCAAGTTTGTCTTAATTTTGGAAATTATAAACATGTTGAATAGTATTCTGTATCAAAAGTCGAATTTAATGTTTTTTTTAATAGCAAATTTTGCTTGAATCCTGTTTTATGTCTCATACCTATTTAAATAGTTTATAAATAGATTAGAATATTAAAGGAAATAGAAAACTTGACGATTAAAACCTTGCGTGGACCGCAGGATGAGTCCATCGTCACGAACTTCCATGAAGCGCAGGTCGCCGGCCGCGTCACCCTCGTGCACTGTGAAAGATGCACGACGCAGTAACCGCGATCCCAAAGGTTTCAGTTCAATATCGTTGCCATGCTGAATGAAAAACATCGACATTAGTATAGGTCATCAATAATCATAACTTACATTACAAGCTTTACTAGACTTTAGCAGCTAAGGGAAATCTATAGTGTATTGATGAGCTATACACTCTTGGGATCTAGGTTAGGTATGCACTAATGACAGACGTCCTATCTGCCGTCAATTTTTTGTGAACATGTTATACCACATATTAAATAATTGTATTAGATGCATATTTACATTATATTCTACTCACCAAAGTGTGTACTACATCGAGAAGATGGTTTACTTCTTGACTGTACACAAGCCCAATATGACTTTTAGCGAGTAACCGTCTTACTTTGTTGCGGACAATATCAGCTTCCACCCCAAACACTACCATTGCAGCCGTCAAATTGTATAAAGCTGTTGATAACAAGCGATCCTCCTCGTGTTCCAGCCGCTTTCGTTCTGTCTCGCTCAGACATTTGTATCTCTCCATCATTTCATTCGCACCCTGGTCCATTCCAATCATATCCCGCTCTTGACTAACAGCATCCAAGAATGCATCTTCCCAAAACTGCATTTGGTCCCATAAATTTGATCTTTCTTTACCTGAAAATGTGTGTGTGTTATACAACTATGCTGAATTAAAAAATGCATTGGAAGTATTAACTTTTTCATTGTTTATGGATTTACTTACATTTCTAAAGCTACTTTAGTTATTTTTTTAACTTGAGACATTATGAGGTGTCGATTTGAATAACCGATAATAAATAAAATACAAGGAGTACGGGACATCGTACCGAACACTGAAATACTGTATTCAGACCATGATTCTGAGCCGAAAATCACTGAAATTTCTGCCGGAAAATTCATCATGTTTTTTTAATTTTCCATTTTTCTGGTTAAAAATGATGACAAATGATATCAAAGTGAGTTTACCGAAGACAGAACATTTTACCGAAAACAATTTAATAAATACTAAAAAACTGCAATGTAATTAATCAAACAGCCGAACTCCCCTCCGGCCGCGTTTTTGTGTTAGTGTGTGTAGACTGTTTGCACGGAATACACATGTAGTTATTACTTTTGTGCGATACCTACGGAAAATAACCTGAACCTTTGACAGCTGATTGCATAAAAAGTTTAATTTGCCGGCAGAAAATTCCAATGATTTTCGATTCAGAATGATGGTCTGAATACTTACACTATTTCAGCTTTCGTTACGACGTCCCTTATACCGTGTACCTATATATAAATTGAGTTACGAGTGCGAGGTAATCTACTATTAAAAATAACATGTTGATTAATCAAATCACTTGTAGTTTCACTGGGATTTTTTTCGTTACGTTCACAATTTGTCACATGATTACCAATAAGGCCCTGATAGAGGTATGTCCTGGTTGTATCGGGCGAAGTAATGGGTGAAGTAACGGGTATTCCAACAGGCGGCCGGTATCCACTCAGTGATGACTTGGACGAGAAGACGCTCGCTGCTCGCGGTTTGCCCGGAGCGGGACCGCTACGACCCACCTGCGTATTGCCAATTACAGGAAACACTTCAAAAATAAATTTAACCAAACCAGACATCGGACATTGCAGTAACAGGCTTTTTGCTAATCTAGTGTTAGCTCATGCTTTATGGATGTAATGTGCAGAAAAATTCTGTTGCAACAAATGAGTCATAGATAGTTGAAACGTTGCACTCCAAATAAATAATAACGCACTGTGGCTACGTTTAAGTGCTATTATTTTTTTAGAATAATATTGTCAGATGAAATCGTTCTTCCTTATATCTTTGTAACTACTGATGATATAAATAAAATTAATATGGATTATTTATGCTGTATTTGGAAATATTAAAACAGCTAGCTGACCCGTGCAACTTCATCTGCTTCTCTCAAATGCAATTAATTTTTTCCGTCTCCACAACATTTTTAAATCCAAACCCGTTCCGTTCCTGATGTTACCCTGAGCATACAAACTCACAAACTATACCTCTTTAAAATATTAGTATTAGTATAGATCTTTAACAGTCTACTGTATAATTAACACATTCACTTTTCATTTCAAACGTTTTTTTTAATTTCTTTCATAAAAACCTGTCCTGATTATAACGAACACATTTTTTTTATCCAATGTGGTGGAGTCGTTCGGAAGTTATGCGCGTACATACTTTTCTGTAAGTCAAGGGCAAGTCTGGGGCAAGTAATACTCAGAAGATATCTCACAGGAAGTCTTAAATAGTGATGGATACAAACATGCATGCACTAAATACGGCAGCGATATATAGCCTCAGTTTAAATTTCGAATAAGTAAAAGATTTTTAATTGATTGGCTAATTTAATCGCAGAGAAGCTTGTAAAGCGGACGCTACAAATCGTACTAGGACTTACATTGAGGAACATGACGTCAGTATCAGATAGGTTGGACTTAAAGGAGGCGCGGTGGTCGTAGATATTGGCTCGGTTGGTGGTGATCGAACCGCTCTCGTCGGCCGAGCAGTCCGACGAGGGCGCCGCCTGCCACGACACAAACAACCCGCCTGTACCCTGTCTCATGTCACTTAGCACGCAACATAATATTCGACACGAAAGCCGAATAATATATTTAATTAAAAAGGATACAAAGAACTTATGCATGTATCAATAACATTGTGATAAAGATTTTTTTCCAAATTATAAACTGAAAGAGCTGTTTTTTATTCCAGTCATTTGCGTTACATGAAACAGTCTACATTTGATCTCAGAAATCCACAAAGCACAGGTACTTAAATCTACTCCATTTACTTTATGTAAGAACCGCATGCTAAAATCAAATGTTAGAGTAAATATACAAGTGTTTTATTTACTACAACAACAAAAACTGTACACCGGTGTATAGGCAGTATACATGTATTATGTATACAAATTAATATGGACAAAGAAAAAATTAACCGAAGGTTGCTTTAATCGTATTTAGAGAAAAAAAAGCCGTGTGGTGTCGTGGGACACCCGATAGGAACGAAGTTGTGACGATCGAGTAAAACTGATTTGACACGATTTTAATTACAACGCCATCTATGAAAGCGGCTATTACCTACATATTAAAAACAATTAAAACAATTTATACATTGGTAAAATCTCTTTGCGAAATGATTTCCTATCTATTCGATAGATGGCGCTGAATGTCTGACAAGATGACACGAAAATAAAGAGCAAAAAGCCAACATCACGTGGTATTCCCAGGCGGTCACCCATCCAAGTACTAACCACGCCCGATGTTGCTTAACTTCGGTGATCGGACGAGAACCGGTGTATTCAACATGGTATGGACGTTGGCGAACGTTAAAGCAAATTTAATGTATGGTATCCACAGTTAGACGTCAATTTATATTAATAAAAAAGTGTCGTTCCAAATTTTCGTACGATTTTTTTCCGTCTAGCCCCCTTTCACACCGCGCGATAAGGAACTTCGTTCCAAAAAAGTGTCGTTCCAAATTTTCGTACGAATTTTTTCCGTCTAGCCCCCTTTCACAACGCGCGATAAGGAACTTCGTTCCAAAAATCTGGGCTGTCTTATTTTCTGTTATAAAATTTTATCAATAATTTAGTGATGAATCTATGTCATAGACACAAAAAAAAAATTGCCCCTTTTTACATTTTTTTTTATAAAAAAGACAACGCCCGCATTAGGAATATATCCCTGTGTCGCGGGGGACTTTACAAACATACATGAAACGGACACAAAGAACACCCAGACTCAAAACAACAATTTGTGGATCACACAAAGTGTTGTCCCATGTGGGGTTTGAACCCACAATTATTTCTGTAGAGTTGTTTAATACTGATAAAATTATAGTAACGTATTTATTGGCAAAAAATACTATTTATGCTATTTCTTGAAATTTGAAATAAATCAAACACGAAGTATAACATCCCAAATAAAAAAGAACATTTGAAATCGATACATAAATGATGTAGTTCTAAGGTAACAAAAAAAAAAAGAATTAAAAACCTCCTGCTTTGAAGTCAGTTAAAGAATTAATTCTTGTTGTTAAAGTTAGGGTTTTGGATTCATTCACGCGCTATATATTCTATTTTGATATTTTAATTATTCTTTTTCCTTAAGATTGAATTAGATTTTTGTAATTTTTACATTTTTTGATTTTTATAGTGTGACTTGAGTGACTTTTGAAAGTAATTATACTTTCAAAAGTCACTCAAGAATTGAAAATCCATAGATTTACTTTTTTGGTGTGTCTCTATGTTGTTTCTTTAGGTAGATATATACACCTTTGCAGAGTATGACCGTTTACGCGATGAGCGGAAAGTAAAACATCTGTATTTTCATACCAAAATATTTAAGGAAGTACTGTTAGAGAACATAGAATAAAATGGCGATTATAATACAATGACGAAATAATTTTGAGCGATAGGAAGCAGTTAAGCCTGTTCACAACCAATCCATGAAAGTGTTCCTATGCATAGATAGTTCAAGATTATATAAGAGACAGATTCAGGTTGAGAATCCCTTACGATTTTGGAATAATTATCTTAAAAATGAATTAAACACTTCGTTAGTAGTAGTTCAAATTGCGTCCGTTACCCTGACGTACTTAAATTTGGTGAGCTTTATGATCACAGAAAAAATCACGCCGGCAATTGCTTACACACTTAGATTCAATTCACATTTTACATATTATATAGTAGGCTCACACACTCCTCGGTCAATTCGTCACAAAGGATTAAGTAAATATCTAAACATGAATCCTATTCACCATCGCTAAATACAGCCTTACACTTCATTTAAAGGTAGCATTTCGATTTGTAGAGAGTGGTAAGATATTTGATTTTGAATATTTGTTTGTTTTTTTATGGAATGGGGCGAACGAGCAGACGGGTCGCCTGATAGAAACCATGAACGCCTGCAACTCAGGAGTCACAAGCGCGATGCCAGCCTTTGAGGAAGGAGTACGCTCTTTTGTTGAAGGTTTGAACGTCGAATTGGTAAGAAATACCGCAGCAAATAGCTTGTTCCACAGGTGTACGGATATAGTTAGTAACAAGTTTGCTCATAACTTTGCGTCGCGTGCTCCATCCATATTTCTTTTGTTATTTTATTAGTAATTCAGTTTGAGACTTCTGATTGATACATAATGATTGAACGCTCAGTAATGAACAGCATTATATCTGCATTTGTCTCAAAAAACGTAAAACTTTACGAAACTATTGCAAGATAGTCCATTTGCCACGTGCTTTACCTTGAAGACTTAAAAAATAACTATGACCAAAATATGAACCCCCGCTTCGAGATCTAATAAAGTATAGACAGATATATTTCTCACAATGAAATGAAAGTTGTAAACAGACTATACACAGATACCATGCTCAAGAATTATTTTTCAGTTCTGATACCAACAAGAGTTATAGCTCAGAGCGACAGGACCATGCAACACTTATCCACATGGAGTAAAATATCCTAAATGTATAAAAATACTTACATCTGATTCGAAAGAGGTTAATTTACTAAAAAGTAAATTCCTCTTTTGGTTCAACATATCTTTAAACATTTCTGTAGTGCTCTGTGCTTCAGAGGAATCCATTTCTGGATAGTTTACTACTGGTAAATCTGAAACAAAAATTGTATGTGATCGATGCAGCCAAATTGAGAAGAAATGGTTTCTATCAATTTCTAGTTTTCGATTTTGCTCCCTGTCCCTGTTCGGGGGACATGTTCAGGGTCTTGATAGGTAACGTATAAATAAAAATAGGCAAAATTTAAGAGGGCATATTAAATGTATTGTGTTATATGTTACCCGGGTACATTTGAGTACAAAATTGTAGTCAAATTTAACTTCATCAAAGACAGGCTTAAAAGTAAGTAGTGCGTGATTGCTATGAATCTTGTAGTAGGCGTTATTTTGCAACATGCGCCCGGGTGTTAGAAGCTTCCCTTTCAATAAAACTTCACTTGGAAGCTTCAGGTAATGGGCAAGTTTTTGAAAAGGCCTTTCTGACCACTCCAGCACTCTGTCTTATGTCAGGAACTCTTGTGATGCTATCTGAGACAGGATGAACGGCGACGACTCAGCTCAAGCGCCACTTCACAGGTGGTAAATTGTCCTCCTTGAGAGTGACCATTTCAAGGGTTCATTGGTCGTCCAGCCACGTATTCCTTGGACGATCTAGACCAGAAGTGCTTCGCTAGTGCAGCGAGTGGTCGTCCGATAGGAAAGTGTTCGGGCGTAAGCGAGGTCAAATTGGAGTGAGTGGTCTCGAATTCAAGATAGCCTTTCATAGGTCAAATGACGTTTGCCCAGCACTCTGACTAAACGATATTTAGTTGATTTAACAGAGGTCACCTTGTCGCGAATTTCAAGGGGTTTCTGAATTTCAGGGGCTTCAGTCAATAAATCATTAACATAGAAATCCCGTGTGATTATTTCAGTAATTTTTTCGTCGCCACAAACGCAACCTATCTGCTGGAGACACCTGGTTGCTAGGAAGGGAACACTCTCAGTACCGTAGGTCGCCGTGTTAAATTGAAATACATTAATAAGATCATTACAATCAAACCGCCATAATATCTGCTGCAAGTGACGATCCTAGGGATGTATAACCACGGTTCTAAACATCTTCTCCACATCAGCGGCTAAGACGTATCTGTGTTGTCTGAAGCGGATAAGAATCGAGAAAATGCCATCCTGCACTTGCGGGCCTACCATATGGATATCGTTTAAAGACACGCCTGATGTGGTAGGGCTGCTTGCATTGAAAACGACTCTCAACTTAGTCGTCGAGCTGCTTTCATGCAAAACACCGTGATGGAGTATAAATTGTGTACTTGGCTTAACTTCTGTACATTCCGTCATGTGTCCCAGTAAGAGATACTCTTTCAAAAACTCAAGTACATCTTACCTAACTCAGGATTATTTTTATTTTTGCGTTCCAACGAAAGTAAGCAATGTTTCTCGATGATAAGTATCACCCAATAATGAAGGACTTACTTTGAGTGGAATCCTAACGCAGAAACATCTGTCTTTAAGACGAATATTATTTTTAACAAAGTTCTTTTCACACAACCTCTCTTCTGTAGAAAAAGGTATGTAGAGAGGTTATGACTTAGGGCTAACTTCTTCCAGCTGCCAAAAACGTGTAAGTTGGTTTTAAATGTCATCACTATCAGAAGAATTACATAATTTAGTTTGAGTGAAGTTACATTTAATTCGATTATTAAGGTAGGTAAGGAGGTATTTAAAACAAATCCACTGTTAATCGGACCAGAAACCAACCAACCTAACTTTGTTCCAAATAAATATGCGTTACCATTGCCTAACTTAATCATTTGTGACCTGAAAATGTCACAAAATAAATATGCACCGATAATTAGTCGACTTCAGAAGGCGAATGAAAGTAAGGGTTCTCTAAAACCAAATCTGAAGGTATATTAATGCTATTTACTATCTACGAGTATACTGCTACTCCGAACGCAATCCGTTATCGAAGGTAAATTACTAGAATGTAATGTAATATTACTTGAAAATTGTTCATTCAACGATTGAATACGTAAATAACACATCTTTCCGATTTGTGTTGATACATTATTTATACCTAATACTGATTTATTAATTAATTGAACCGGTAACTTTAATTTTTGAAGCATTTTCTCAGTAATAATGCACGATGTACTGCCACTATCAAGTACAGCTCAATCGATATGCTCACGATTATATACATCGTATATTTTAAGTTTTATTTTAATCAATGCCGTAGCTAGTAAACATTGGTCCTTTGCGTCCGCTCAGACGTCGATGCGGTTAGGACGAGCCACGCTCACAGACAACGTCAGGTTGGACGACGGGGATGTCGTGTTAAAAGAGACTGCTCCCGGCGTTACGATGTTATCGTTTATTTGCATGTACATACTACCAACAACCGGTTTTTGCTTAGACGACGAATCGGTTATATGAATCAATGTATTGTGCTTACGCTTACATATATTACATCCTTGCTTTTTACAAAGATTTGCGAAGTGTCCCTTACTAAAACAGTTGAAGCATACCTTGAACGTCGTCTCTTACCTAAAAACGTCGAGCAATAATCCAAGTTATGTTCGTTTGAAATACACATAAGTGAAGATCTGATAGTTTGTTGTTGCTTACTCGAACAAGACGGCTTTTTAACAGTAGATTCCGTTATAGAAACCCAAGTTTTAAGTTTTAAGGGCTATATTAGTGGGGTAGGTGCTTAGGGGCTATATTAACATGCACTTGACTTGAATTACGTAAACGCTCTAAAGTTTTTAGTAAATTGGCTCGATTCCTTAAAAAAGTAGTAAAGCATTCGAGTGTAATACAATCGTCTTTGTTTAAACGACTTTTGAACTCCTCCCACTCACGAAAAGTTTTTATGTCTAATTTACAGGTTCTCCTAGTGATTCTAAAGCGTGTAAATTTTTATTTAGGTTATCGATTAGACGCTTTAAGGTGACAGACGACTCTTTTGTAACTTGTTCAATATTAAATAAAGCCGTAACATGATTTTGAATTATCAATCGCTAATTGTCAAATCTGTCACAAAGAAGTTTCCATGCAACCTCATAGTTCTTAGATGAGAATTCGACCAACTGAACAACTACTGCAGCTGTACTCTCTAACGAAGCTCTTAAATAGTGGAATTTATTGATGTCATCTATATCACTATTCGAATGTATAAGACTAGGAAACGTATGGTGAAATTCTAAACAACCCTCGTTTGCACCACGAAATTTGGCTAATTGAATAGTAGGCAACTTGACTAAAAATACTCTTACTATCGGTTACCGAAGAATATTTATCAATCAGATCTTGAACCCTGGCAAGCAATTTAAAACAAAATGACTCAAAATCATTTCTTTCGATTTCCTGCGCTGTAAAGTTGTCACTGCTACATTTAAGCTTTCATTATACTTCGTCATGAAGTTCATACATCAACTTTATCCTACCTATTCGTAGTTGCAATTTGGTGACGTCAGTAGGGCTTAACGAAGATTTATCTAATCCATTTAATAATTTAGAAAAGGCTATTAATCGAAGGCCCTTGTAACTGCCGCATTTATTAATTAATGCCTTTTCGTCGAACATTCTGGGAAACAACTGTCGAATCAACCTGTAACGTTTATACAATGCAATTGAATAACTAGTTTTATTAACGATATAACTTGAAATGTTGAAAGGGTAATTAATACAGCAATTAGAGAAAGAAATGCACAAATATAATTTAATAACACAATACTATGATATGAATTGTATTATAACAATAGGAAATATTAATAATAAACACTAAATTTGTCTTTGATTTGAAATTAAATACCTACCTATGTGAATTGCTAATGTCAGTAATGGTTTAAGCGATTTTATTTAAACGTGTAAAATTGATAATGATAACTAAAATTTAATTAAACAATATAATATCGTCAAAAACCTGCCACTGTCACATAAATGAATAGTGCTAACTTTGGACTACAAAGGTGGCAAACTGGTAAAAATCGACAAATATTAGTACTGACCTTAATTAATACGTCGATTTGTACTTATACATTACCGTAATAGAGTGTTGGGTTGTATATTAAGCACATATTACCTTAATCATCATCATCAACAGCCTTTACTAGTCCACTGCTGGACATAGGCCTCTCCTTAGAAAAGAGGTTTTGGCCTACTATACCACGCTGGCCAGACGGGTTGGTATAGAGTTTGTTTCAAGTTTTCCTTCCTTCCTACCTACCTTAATAAATCGAAACTATTGATTTTCAGCGTTATTTGACCCGATGTGCGTAGGTTGATAAAATCCTTAACTGTTCTTCTTTCTTTGAAATTATTATCTTGCTGTATTCTCTTTTATCCGGCTCGAAGGACCATGTTCAGGGTCTCGATAGGTAACGTATAAATAAATAGGCAAAATTTAAGAGGACGTATTGAATGTATTATGTTAAATGTTACATATGTTATGTTATTTTTATGTATGGACGGTGACAGAGTAAAAAGTAAAGAAAATAAAAGACAGGCTTAAAACTAAGAAGTGCGTGATTGCTATGAATCTTGTAGTAGCCGTTATTTTGCAAGACATGTTCTTAATACCTTTATATGGGTGAGTAACTGAGTATCATTTATCATGTCGGTTTCACGAGTATTACTCTTACTGACCCCAAATAAATTTGGTAAAAAACCAAGAAGATAAAGATGATTAGCGAGTCACATTAAATAAAACGGATATATGCGACGCGTGTAATGACACGAATTTTCCTATTAAATATTCATACTTCAGTATACTTTTTAATATGCTTTCTGGATTAACCAAAAGATACGAGGAAATACTCTTCCTAACAGTTTTTATAAAAAGATACCCAAGTCCTTAGGTAACAATACTTGTTCTAATATAAAGAACATATTTTACTATTTTTGTAAAACACAATACCAACCTGACTGAGAACTCTTTCTCGATGAAGGTGAAGAAGACGGAGTTTCTAGGTCCTGTCTACCATAATGGTCCATGAGTGCAGATCCAGCCATTCCGCCATGTTCTAAACCTGCAATCTCCTTACTCCAATAGTGCGTATGAGCCATCTCTGCCAACTGGAACACTGAAGCCATGCCACCCAAACCAAAGTTGGAGTAGGTATGTTCGAGACCATGGACAACGGCTTGAAGGACTTTCAGCATGCCTTTCCACACTGGTTTACTAACAAACTGAAAGAAAGTTTAATCTTTAAGAAAATACTTATTCCTGGAACTTGTGAATAATGATGAATATTGAATAGATTATACTGCGATAATTATATATATATATATATATAGATATATAAGATATTCTGCATTGTATTTTTCCTATCCATAGTGTGCAATAAAGAGCCCTTATATATCCTATGTATCTATTATTATCATCGACTAACATGGACTGCACTGATGGTGTAGTGGTTTAAGCGGTCACTTCGCCGCTTCCTACTGCGATGACTGTTCGATTCGCACATGTGTTGTGCGATCCACAAATTGTTGTTCTGAGTCTGTGTTTTTTGTTTCCGCTTCACGAATGTTTGTAAACTTCCCCCCGATACAGGATATATATTCCTAGTGCGAGAGTTGTCTTTTTGAAAAAAAAACATCCCTATTTAAGGCCTACAAATGATTGTGAACTTTTTTTTTATTTGCAAAAAGAAAATGGATGGTTAATAGCTTTTTTTTTGGTAAGGAAAGTAATTACTAGTTAGTCACTTTCCATCAGGTGACCCGTCTGCTCGTCTGCCTCCTCTACCATAATAAAATATTGTTGTAATCTTATTTTCATATAAGTGGGCATTAAGTGAGAGAGAAGTTAATCAAGTTTATTTCTGTCAAATAAAATATAGTAATTTCCTGTAGGAAATATTGTTATAAGTTTCTTTGGCATAAAATGTAAAAATCACACAAATGGATTTATGAGGAAATCTGAATACAAAATATATTTATTATATCTTCCGTTGCGGGAAATTTTACTAACTTACATTTAAACGAACTCAAAGAACACCCAGACTAAGTGACACACACACACACACACACACACACACAGATCACACTAAGTGTTGTGCCATATAGGGATCGAACCCACAACAATGCCGAGATGATCGCTTAAACCACTATGCCATCCGTGCTTCAAATTGTTTCCTTCTAATTGTTCAAATATTATAGTGTTAACATTTCGAGAAACCTTAAACTCACCACATCATCCACTTTGTCATTCGGTGTAGTTTTTCTGTTAAAGTTTCTGTTTAATTTACTGAGCACCATGTTTCTGTAAGATTCGTCTTCCATCAATTTCTTTAGACGGTTTAATTTCAACCATCCGACTCCCTCGCCTTCTAATACGTGTTGTACTAACTGAAATAATGAAATACTTTGTTCGATAAAGTTTTTAACTACAGTTAAAAAGTTAACTTTTTTACATTTTAACCAGAACCAAGAGGACTTACATCATTGAGGAAAGCTTGGTTCTCAGTGTTGGCGTTTGGGCGGGCGTGTGCGGGATGTGGGGGAGGCTGTGGAGGCGCGTGGCGTATAAGCGGCGAGCGCGCCACCAGGCCGCGGGCGCCTTGCGAGAACGGACCGAACGAGGCCGAAAGCGCAGCGCCGCCTGCGCCTCCACCTCCGCCGCTACCCACGCATGGCACAGACCCGCGAGGTGATTCCGCTGGCTTGGGTTGCTTGCCTACGACAGTGCAGTATCGCAAGTATGAGCTTGGTAAACATGTTGTATGGATAATAGAGTGTTTCACTTTGTTAGTTATAAAAATAAATATAGATATTTTGCCAGACTTTGCTCGCTTTTGAAGTGTCCCTAAACTTAATAATATATATTCAAAATTTCAAGAAGATTGTACAATATTAAGGGGTTGCGCAAATGAAACGTATGAGTGAGAAAAAACGAAATTTTAATATTAACCTATTTTTATTTTAACCTTTTTTCAAAATATCTCAGTATAATAGAAATATGTCAATCTCAAGTAAAATGACACAAATGGACTTTGAATACAATTTGAATATTCATTATATAACATTAATTTTGCATTTAATGTATTTACGATAATAATTATATTTAATTTACGATATAAACTGCAACCTCTTCTTTTGTTCGCTTGGTGACGCCTCTTCTGTAATGCTCGACGAATCTTAGCAAGAATGGTTTCTGTTCTTCATCTTTTACAGAATCGTTGAAATTAAAAAATATATCCCCCTTTCTGCAGTATCATTACCTTGTACAATATTCGCTTTTGTCGTGAATACCGAACTCGAAGAAATCTTTGTTTTACTAGTACCAAAGTCACTAATCGATTTTTCGTCAAATTGAAGGGTTTTCCCATCCAGTCGTTTTATCTATTTTTTCTTTTTTGTTTTCACTAAACATACGAAATGTCCTATTTGTTTTATACCATTCAGTTCCTTTTATTCGCCACCACAAAGAAACATAACTATATACACTGTCTTTTATGGCGAATCCCACATATTTTGAACCTTTCGAAATATTTTAATGTCTGGAGCACTAGACGATACAGGATAGCACTCATCAAACACTCCTTTCAAGATTAATTCATGGGGGTGATGACGTCTAGTCAACCACAACAATATGCATTTAAAACTATTCTCAATCCTAACACATGCTTTTGACTTAGTCCAGAAGCCCAAGTGCTAGTTTATTTCACTTCTACTCGATGCGGTGACCGCGTTCGGCGCTGCGATTGGTCCCCGCTGAAATCTTAACTAATTGCAACGCCAAACGTGCTGGTTGTCGAGAGTAAGTTGATGTGAAATAAACTCGCACTTGGGCCCCTGTGTTTGACGCTGTAGTGTCAAAGCAAATAGCAATGATATGGTGATGGAAATTTAAACAACTTTAGCCATTTCTTCTTTTGACAGCAACTGGGACGCCAAGTAAATGGACGAAATTTTTGCCAGTTACAAAAACAGGTACTTTATTCTCCATATTATTGATGGAAGTAATCGAAAACAACAACTTACTCTCCCAGTGTAGATTTAATGGTAAAGGGTTCCCAAATAAAGAATTTTTAATTTCTTAGGTTCTGTTTGCAACTCGAGCTCGGTAAACGGTGGACAGCGATATAGAAATATGTGAGACATCATGACCCAGGCTTTTAGCGGTTGCAATAAAATAAGCTAGCTTGTGGATTCTCGATTCCATGTTGCTGTGAGTGTCGAATCGAGAGGTCTTAATTTACTGCTAATTAGTCATGGGACTTTAGATGGTGTAGCACACACACTTCGTCACTTGATGGTGATAAATCAGAATTTTGTTCTGACTACACTATTGTGTTACTTTCTTCTATATTGTGTTATTTAAAGTGTTCTTAAAAGCATCAATTTTTTCTTGTTTTTAATATTTTCTGCAATTTTTGACTAATACTTTTTGTCTATTCCACTCATTGAAGAACTCATACGATTATCTCTTTACATTATCAGAAATTCTTTATTTTTTTGTAATACACTACTCTTTGTCATTACATTTTGACTCGCAATATCTAACAATTTGTCAAGATCGCTTTTCCATTCTTGCCTTTTTCTGTTAGCTCTCGATTTGTCTTTTCCCAAAGACAATATTTTTCTGTCTTGACAGAAATATTAGCTATATACTTATTATATATATTACTTGCATTTATGTACTTGTCAATTCATATCAATATATACGTCTATATTACTTGCAGTTATGTACTTGTCAATTTAGTAGCTTCAGGCAGCGTTACTTCGGTGGTGGCGAAAATCTAACAACACTTGTTGTTTGGAAGGAAGCCTAGCTCCCGAAAAGTCTTCATAAGGTAACTTATTAAGTAACCAAATTCCTCTTTTTTACTAATTCTAAAGACTAAATATGCTTAATTGGTCCACTATAATATACAAGTAACACTTACTACCCTCCACTGTAAAAAAAAATAACATTAAAAATATACCCTACTCTGATAACGTGCTAACTGTATAAGCAAACTTCATAAGCGTTGCGCAACCTCTAATTTTTGGTATATGAACACTGTATATGAGTGGTATCAAGAATTCGAAAAAAGTCAAATGAAATCGAAAATTCAAAAAAATGAATCACCCTAATCTATAGCCAAAACTATCTACGCATGACATTATATCAAATTTAGCCTGGCTTTAGTTGAGTAAAACCTCTGGTCTATATTATAGACTGTTGTTAGAACTTTGTGAAAAGTCCCTCCAAAGTTTATGATAGTCGTAGTTTTTTTTTTAAATTGTATTGTAACTACCACCAGTTTTGTAAATTTACGATCATAGAAAAGTCACAATGCTGGTAATGAAAATCATTGTTACTATCTAAATTTCTTACGCTACATGTAGTACAACTGCGCAAAAGATTGAAAGATTTACCTTTTGTGGAGTTGAAAAAAAACACTTTCGTTACACAGCGTTAACCCATGTTAAACTCGTAGATAGAAGTATAATTTATGATTCATATTTAGTACATCTTAATTATTACCGAAAATAATAACACTCACCCTTATTGCCAAAAAAGTCGCTAAACATACTAGAAGTGGAGGCTGCTAAACCGTTGAGGTCAGAACTGATATTAGAAAAGAAGTCTCGATGAGTGGCCGCCAACAAGTTGGTAGTCTGCAGAGCTGTTGAATCGCGACGGGCCGGCGGGCTACCCGACGAATCTTGACTTTCACCCTGGTTCATCAATCAATCATGATAATTCCATTTTATTCAAGCCAAAATTTTACTCATATTGTACTGATGAGGAGAATAATACCAGTGTTCAATTGACAATCAATTGTTTTAAAACAAAATAACTTTCAAAGGATTACAAAATCCTTTGAAAGTTATTTTGTTTTAAAACAATTTAAAGGTTTACAAGGTACCTCACGAGTTAAGGTACTTGATACAAATAAGGCTTATGCTCAAATATTATTATGTCCGAAAATATTCTTATTATTCTTCACATACACATAGACGACAGCTCCACGGATCGGCAAAAAAGTACGCAAGACGTCCTCTTGCATTCACAGCGAAAATGGAAGGCGGTCGTTGGTGAAAGAAGGGTGTTTCTGTAGCGCGTTATTAATTTATCGTTATTTATATCGAGTTTTAATACGATGTGTCATGAAGTTTGGTTTCAAGCAATGAATACAGATCATAATATAGCTCATTAAAAAGGTAACTATGCCTCTTAATTATAATTTTTATGAAATGTGAATTAAATACAGCATAAAACATTTCTGAAGAATCAAGTACTAAAATAAAGCCAAGTTAATAATAGGCATTACTTGTGACCATATGCCTTAAGAGGAGACTGTGGAATTTTAACTTCATTATGATAATTTACAGATTGATTATCTGATTATGTCTCCTCCAAGACCAAGGTGTGCTAAGTGATCCGAAGGAAGCTTGAGAGGGGCAGTTAATGATGATTCCATTTTATTTCAAGGCTTAATTTAGTTACCTTAATTAAATCAAAGTTTATTTAATTTTAAACACTTTGTAATATTTTTGAAAAGATGTGTTAATTTGCTTAACGTTTTAGTTACGTGTTAATTTGCTAAACGTGTTATCGATAGCACCAAAGTTATATCGATGAACTAGTCACTATCAATGTATCAGTGTCCAATGTCATAAATCCCGCTTTCCGATAACAATTACCGAAAATTAAAAATTTACTGAGAAAAAACCGTAGTGATGACTATTGAGAGTCAAGAGATTGCAGATGTCGGCACATCTTGCACTTTTTTATTAAAGCAATCACCTTCAAAAGTCCCTTTTTCGCAGCGACCTCTTTGGCACTCTTCGTAAAATCTCCCAATGTAGACTTCCCGACGTAGTGAAGGTCTTCTAGCGTATTCTTACTAACCGCTGTAGCGGTCTTGCTGGCTTCAAACGCAGACTTCGAAGCCTCCTGAACACTTTTTGATGCTTCTTCGGCTGCTTTTTTAGCATGTAGTGTAAGCTGAAAAATAATAGACACTTCATGGGTCTTTGATGTAATGTTACCTATAAAACTAGATCCGCTTCATCATCTTATTTTCAAGAAAGCAGAAAAAGTAATTTCTCCATGTTATTGATATACTTAGCCCACATTCTTCCGCTTAAGTAATTATTAAGTTACACTTTTCTTTCCGCTGGGGCGAGAAAGGAAATACATTTTGGGTGCTTAAAAAGCAACTTTGCGACTTAAGTTAACAGCCGCACGTATACCTACATATACTAAAATTGTTACAAGAAGTAGCGCCGCGCTCTCCAATCAACATGCTAAGAGGTTGATGCAAGAAGACAAAATAAACTATAAAAACTAATTGGGTTTATTAAGATGTTATTTATAATATAAATGTATGTATATGTAAATTCTATGGAAAGAGCACAAATTATGAAGCTTCTTACTATCTATTAGGTATTCATGTATGTACAAGACAATAGACGTATGTAGGCATAAATATAATATGTAATCTACAGCGTGTGTATTGTTTACATGACGTGTTAGCATGACAGTGACGCTACCTAATCTACATGAGATTAGTTAGCGTCTATATTCTACGTTCAATTCTCTAACTTCTGACAGTGATCAGTACCTGGCCGAAGGGCGCAAATATTTTCTTTTCCTCTCCCTCTGTCACTTTTCCTTTCTTCTTTATTGGTATGAATAAGTAACATTTATAAATAAAAAAAACATCAATGTAAATAACTGCTATTTATACATAAACAGAAATAAAATGTATTTCTTACTTTATCCATGTGGGCTAGTAATCCTTCTTGACTGCTTTGCCTTGTGGTTTCTCGCACCAATTCCTTGGCTGACGCGGCAAATTGTTCTAGTAATGATGTTTGTGAGGCTTGTCTAGAAACACCGCTACCTGCGCTCTAGAAAAAAAAAGACACATATATTTTATGAAAAGGTCAAACGTAGATATAACTTTCCAAATACTTCAATTGGCTTCTTATCATATCTTATGGAAGCAGATCAAGCCCGATAAGTGTTCTACAGCAAATAGCCTGAAGCCTCGATCAAGCGACCAGAGCCAGGCCCAGCGACATTTCCTTTTAGGCTTACGATTCTCGGGAATAGTTCAGAAAATATCAAAGTGATGGGGTTGCTGTGACCTCTGCTTTAATTGCGAAATATGGCGACTATGTATGAAACCTTAAATAACTTGAAACTAATCCTTTAAATTAGGTAAATGGCCACAATTAAACGTTTTTCTTATATGTCATGACATGTTTAGACCAAATGTTCTACCCCTCTCTATATTATGTGAGTTCGCCACATATTCTAGATTTGATTACAAAAAACAATCTCATACAGTACTCATACGAGTATACATATCTAAGATAATGGATACTAGGGAATGGTGGGATGGCAATGCGAAAGTGCTCTTTCTGTTCATCATTATTTAGTAACGACTTTTACCACACACAGAAGCTAATATTTTGTCATAGCTGCACTTTTCTTCATTAACTTCAAGTAAACGACCTACGACATGTACTTGAAGTAGGTGAAGAAAAGTGATGCTGGTGCACGAGCGCCCGATTCGAAACAGTAGTGCTTAAAGTCTCCCAGAAAACTAGTTCGTCGCTTTGATATATGAATGAATATATAGGAAATTACACACGAAAGCTCATACTTTAACATGTGCTGCGTGCGGTGGCAATGAGGAGTGGTGCGAGGGCGTAAGCGCACGGTCCGAGTCGCTCGTGCTCGCACTGTCTGCGGTTGCGCGCTGTCTGCTCACAACAGTTTTCGGTGTTGTGGTTGAATTTGAATCCGATTCGCGACCGAAACTACCGCTGTCCGTGTCCTAGAGAAATTGAATGGATACTACTGTAGCTTTTGCTACTGTGTAAGGCAAGATACACTTATTTTAATAGAAAGGAATAAAATGAATTAGGAAAGCGGCGGATCAAGGGCTAAAGCGCACGTTGGGAGAGGCCTAATGTTTGGGAGTAGTTGTATAAGTAAGATGATTGACTGAACCATTTCAATAGCTTGATATTTGACTAATGCGGAGATTACAGATACCAAAACTTTGTATAGTAAATTTTTGTTTTCTTGGCCGCTATGAGTGGCATGAAAGAAGCCTACAAATCATAGGTCAACGATTTTACAGAGCCAGATCAAATCTTAGTATGGTCTGTAATGAAATATAAGCCGTTAATCTGAGGAGTTCAGGATTTTAATTCAAAAAGGCTGCGATTATTTAGATGTTAAGGCTACGTGACGTTGTTCCTACAAATTAATTATTTGTATACCTACAAGAATAGGTACTATTTTGTTATATTTTTTCTAAAGATAATCTAGAAGATGTACTAGGAGTTGAGAATTAGTTAGTACTTAGAAGGGATCATAGATATCGTGTTTTTTGAATAGCAATAGTGTGATTACTTAGTTTATAACTTCTAGCGGTTTACAATGTAGCGGTGTTCTAAAACACCTTTTTGATTCATATAATAATATTCTATAATTATAAAAGAAATTAACATTATGTAGGGTCATTAAATCAATTAAATTTGGTTTACATTGAAAACGGTTGAATATGGAAAGTGCTTACGCTTTTTTTAACCGGAGCAGGATGAGCAGCTTCAACTTTACCAACTTCTCCAGGTGCTTCGTCCTCAGAGAGATCACTGTGGTCTGAACTTGACGCTGATGGTGAAGGGGATGTGGACTCTCGGGCTTGTTCCTTGTCAGCCACATCATCAGCGTTACCGAACATAAGAGATGAAGGAGGGCTGTAAACCTGTCGGCAAAAAAAATTAACATTATATGTGAATCACATTAAACCAGCAGAATTTACGGACTAGTACAATTTTAGGGGTATTGAATAGAACATCTATTCAATTTAATCGTTTATTGGCGGAATTGGCACAAGTGAAAGTTGAAAAAGAAAAACTAATCAAATATTTGGATTTATCTCACGAGATTGTCGATATGTGGAATGTTAATTCAGTGATCATTGTTCCGATAGTCGTATCTGCTCACGGATTGAGCCAAGAGCCTCGACCAACACCTTAAGAGGCTCACGTTGGATGGCTGGATCAAAGGTCTGATGCAGAAGCCAGTCCTCCTTGACACGGCTCGTATAGTGAGGAGGTTCCTATCTTTGGAGTCCTAACCACCGGTGTCTTGGTCCCTCTACCCGATGTCGGTGGTCTATTATTTTTTATATTTTTAAATATGTATTTTTTAATAATTCTTTATAAAGTGTATGTTTAAAAATGAAAATAATATGTATATAAAGTAAATAAGGAGAATAATATAATAATAATATTTAATTACGCCAAATTAAGTCCAAATTTTCCAGTACAACATAATTTTTTTAGGTTAGGTTAGGTTAAAAAAAGGATGTCGGCGCTGCGTCTGCCCTAGGGCGACTTCTGCCCAATATGGGTGGACCCAGCGTCGCGACAAGACGGCTGTACACGGGGGTTGTCCGGTCAATGGCACTGTACGGTGCACCGGTGTGGGCGGCGGCTCTGACCGCCCAGAATAGGGTACGCCTCTGGCGCCCTCAGAGGGTAATGGCGGTCAGAGCCATACGCGGTTACCGCACCGTTTCGACGGAGGTGGCGTGCGCGTTGGCCGGAACTCCCCCGTGGGATTTGGAGGCGGAAGTGCTCGCCGAAGTTTATCGGCGAGTGGCTGACTACCGGGCGGAGAGCGGATTTCGCCCTCCGCCCGAGGATGTGCGCGAGTGGCGCGAAGCCGCTCGCCGAGCCACGATGGCTCGTTGGTCGTTCCGGCTGGAGACTCCACGCGCTGGCTTCGCCGCCGTGGAGGCTCTCCAGCCGGTCATCGCCGAGTGGGCAGGGCGGCAGCACGGGACCCTTTCCTTCCGACTGACGCAGGTGCTTTCCGGGCACGGTTGCTTCGGAAAGTACCTGCACACGGTCGCTAGGAGGGAACTGAGTCCCGCCTGCCACCACTGCGACTGCAGTGAGGACTCGGCCCAGCACACGCTGGCGGTCTGCCTCGCATGGGCGGCGCAGCGCCGGGCCCTCACTGCAGTCATCGGAGTGGATCTCTCGCTACCGGCCGTAGTACGCTCCATGGCCGGTAGCGACAGTTGTTTTACCGCGGTCGCAACCTTCTGCGAGGTAGTAATCTCGCGGAAGGAGGCGGCGGAGAGGGCCCGGGAGGACGACCTCCACTCGGACCCGATCCGCCGCCGGCGAACCGGGCGGCGGAGGCCCGCCTACCACAGCCTCATGCCGCCCTGAGTGTGGCCGCGGGTGGACGGGGTGGGTTTCCCCTCCACCCGCATTAGTTTGGCCAGCCGCGAGGGGGCGGCGTCCGCGTGTGCCGGACGTCGCCTATAAAGAGAGGAAAACATTGAGACGGAGCCCGCACCAGGAGCGGGCTGGCGCTAGGAGGGGTCCGGATGTCTTAACAACAGCTGTTCCCGGATCCCTCCTGTTACAGGCGCAGAGTGGCACACCGTGTGGTTTTAGTCGGTCCGAGTCCGACACACCACCCCGCCGCAAACCCCGGAGGGGTGACGGTCCGAGGGGATTTCCACACGTTAAAAAAAAAAAAAAAAAAAGGTTAAAAAAAGGATAAAAAATAAATACTGTGTACCCAAACACAGTATTTATTTTTTATCCTTTTTTTAACCTTAGGAATTAAGACCTAAATAGGTCTGGAATAGCTTAAATGCTGTTCCTCTTATGCCAATCGTATATGTATATGTATGTTGATGAACGACAGCTTTTCTGAAGGGCTCTGGAAGCATTACGGAAGCTATAGAGCAGTTGACAACGTGGGTAATTAGGTACCATAATTGTTCGGAATTTTTGTATTAATTTAGCAGAGATTCCGTCCCACCTAATAGCGCAAATCCTGTCTTAAGTTGGAGACGATTAGTTCAACTTCGCTGTTGTCAACTTCGAGAATCACGAATGAGTTAGCTCGTGAAATTTGCTTTGTTAGTCTCTCAATGGTGGAAAATCTGTCATTGTGGATGGTGGTGCATATATCTTGGAGGCTACATTTTAGCCAACTTTTAGGGTCAGGTTTAGGGGAAGCGCTTTTAAGGTCAGATTAGTTTGGTGCGTTTATTAATAATATTTTGGAGTGTGTGAGTGAGAGCGGCTATAATCGCGTCAAGTGTCGTTACTTAGGAGAAATCATAAGTCTACATACATACGTCTTTTATTAAACTGGGATAGAATTTTGAAATTATGGTGGTGGTGCTGGTGTTTGTAGTCTAGGTGGCTTGGTATCTTCAATCTCTAAAACTATTGGTAGGTGATGAGTGATATAAGATTGAATAATGACTGCGGTAGCCCTATGATTTGTCTTTAAAATTATGTGATCAATGCAGTTATTTATTCTGGTTGGCTTTTGGTGGGCTGGTAGTAAGCCATAAGTTGCAGTGTCAGATATTCGCTAGCACGCGCATCCACCGCGGACGGTTTAATATCTAAGTTTACGTCCCATATGAGACATGGATTTTAAAAATTGATTAATGAGGTAAAGATGTTATCTAAGCTGGTGAGAAAATTGTTAAAAATCCGTCCTTGAGCTGTAAGAAGACGAACGATATATGGCTATTATTGCTAATTTGTTCGTGATTTGACATGTAAGGCAATTATCGCTAGTGAAAACAGGCTCATTATATAATGCATTTAATTTCTGATTTAGTAAATAGTACTATGCCATCATTTTGATTTTGCGTTCGTTTTGTGTAATACGATTTACAGCCATCTAGTATGGGTAGGTCTGTGACCTTACTTAGCCACTTAGAACTACAAAGTTTATTTTTGTTAGTGTGATTTATGCCAGTAATTCATCAAAGTTGTCGTTGATGCTACGTATGTTAATGTGCAACACTTTAATCGACGTATATGAACACGACAAATAGTTATTACACTCTTCTGATTTACACTTGTAGGTTTTTGCGATTTCTAGTTTATATAATTTATTTATAGGAGATTATTGTTCTTATTGTGTTAGCCATTTATAATAAATAAAGAATTAATAGATTTATGGAACAAAATTATAGTATGGGATTTGACAGGGACTAAGATAGATGATTTTGGGTGGGTGTAAAGGGGCTGGCTAAAGGAAAATACAGCATTGCTATTATTTTCATACTTGGATGTACAAATTATGGAATTTGAGGGTATTGTGACCTTGTGTATGTGTAAGTGAAAGTGTAAGTATGATGTTTAGTGTTTTGTATTGCATTTTTGGTCCCTGTTATAATATAAAGTAATATATTAGTAAGAGAATTAATGAGTAAGGCTACTACAATACAATAGTATAATAATAATACAACACAACGCGTTTGTGACTCCTGAGTTGCAGACGTTAATAGGCGGCGATAGTCACTTTCCATCAGGTGACCCGTCTGCTCGTCTGCCCCCTCTAACATAATACAAATACAGAAGTAGCAGCCCGTGACACTATTTGAAGGCGAGGATTGGTGGTAAAGTCAGTCCGATTTTTCTTGCAGTTCAGTAAGGGTTGCTTAATTTTTTGCTAATATTTGTTTATCTCCGGTCTAGTTCCTTAGGAATATATTCCCATTTGAAGTCCAACAGTACTTATACTCCATTTTCCGTGCAAATTCTCGTGTTGACAGGTGTTCGTCAGCATAAAGTGGTTGCTTGTTACCATGTATACCGATCAGCTGAGTATTAAATTTGTTTTCTTTGTTTGTCTGTTTTTTGTTTTAGCTATGGACCTGGGACAGTAAGTCCTGTTTTGTTTGCACATTTGCGTATTTAGCAACAATAGATTTGCTCATTCCTCGATTACGCGGTACACGATATACATCCCGAAAATGTATAGGAGACAAGGGTAGGTTTACCGTCTTTGCTATGTCTGTTACTAGCTTTGTTAAATCTCCTGTAGATTCGTTGTCTTGGTTTGGTATGACTTCTATGCTAGATGACCGGGATTTGTGTAAATCTGAGATAGTAATAGATTTTTTGTGCTCGAAGCATTTGCTTTGCAGTCGATGTACTTGGTTTTTTAAATCATCACATTGCTCACAGACAAAAGTCATAGATTTTCCCATATCCTTGTTGGTATTCTGTATTTGCGAATTTAGCGATTTTAATTCGGCTATATCAGCAATTAACTTATTTATTAAACCAGAGTGCTCCGCAATTAAGTTCAGAACATTCGTGTCCTTCCACGATGAAAGCATATCTTTCATTTCACGTTTCAGTTCTTGTTTAAAATCCTCCAATTGTCTCTGACTGCCGAGTGACTCATTTAACCGCTACGAACTTAACTTGCTACGAACGGTCGCATTAACAAACTCCGGTTCACATACCGCTTGACTAATATTTGGTACTGATTGGGTTTGATCAATTAGAGCATTCCCAGGTTGAGCGGGTGCTTTCGTCTTTGCCTTTGTTATATAATATAATACAAAACGCAAGTAAATATAGTAAGAACTAAAGCGTACCGCTGCTATCAGTCCTCCGTAGTGCGTTGTAAAGCTCGGTTCGGTTCAATAAACTTCGGTGTCGTAGATAATGAAAGCACATTCGTACCGTGTGCTACGAGTGTGACGTATGTGTAGCGCTCGATTATTTCGTTGCGTGCAGCAGATGTCGCCGTTGCACGTCAAGCACTCCGACGTCTTGCCGCACGCTAGTGGTGGTGGGAGGTGGTTCAAGTCCTTTCTAATCACTTTTGTCTTTGTGACGGATTTTTGAGGGTTCAGTTGCAATACTATAATTATCTCCTTTTAGGTCCGCCTATAGAATGTGGTTTTAATATATAATCCTTCGAGATAGACAAGAAATTGTCATTCACACAAACCAATCAAAACAATATCAATCAAAACACGGTCCGCACACGATCGAAGCCACGAGCAGAATGGAGTTAACAGAGTAAAGCATGTACGTGTCTATATACTATGATAGATGGAAAAATCTGCAACAGTTTGACTGACAATAAGTCTGCAATGAGATGCTTGTTGTTTAACGAAACTTCTAAAATTTTTAATATTGTTAATGCCATGCTGACTAAAGCTATTTCAAATGAATCAGCCTTGTCATTTGGTCTGAGTGTTCTTTGTTGTTGGATAAAGATTTTCGAGTGCTGTTTACATATAGCTTAGAAATAAACGACACAGAAATGAAAGTAATATCGAGAAACGAAGACAATAATTGAGAACGGAAAAAGATCCATCCAACGTGAATTTAGAAATTTTACTGGATTACTTTTCGATTTACCCATACCTAGCTATGGAAATACGAACGTTGGAAATTCAGCCAGACGTTTTTTTATACCCAGATTAATTTATAAAAATAACGGGAGTGAACCAAGAGTTGATGATTGTAATTTTGAAGACAGTCACAAGATAAATGTTGAAATGTTTAAAAATTACTGCACTGAGACGGCTTATTTGTAAACCCGCTGGTGTACCTTTGGTATTTAGAGAATTGAATGCACTCAAAACTTCAAGAAAAGACAACCTCACCGATGTTTTTAATTCGTTTATTATGTCTTCAGACCCAGTCATATCATGCTCAAGGGTTGTCAGAAAATATAAGATAGCTCTTCCTAGTGAGGTTCTAGAAATGATTTTACACGGGTAAACCACTATCTATGTTAAAAATAAAGTTAAAATTTATATTTATTTGATGCGTCAAATTATTTTTATTACTTCTTACCGTTTTGGGGTCTAAAGACGATGATAGAGTCATTGGTACTTGCACAACTGCATTATACGTTTCTCCAATGACATGCTGTTGGTTTCCTCCTTTAAAATAAAAATAAAATAGCTTGATTTAACACACTGAAACTTTTATGACTAATAACTAATTGTGTAAATTTTAAGCACCTGGCGATAAGTCCGACGAAGCAATTTCTGACACAAAATCGCTGAGAGATGAATATGAGGAGCTCGTACTTTCAGCAGCTTCCGAATCTGAGCCACTTTCGTCTACAACAGAATATTTTAAAGTAGTTAGTGAAGATATATTTTTTTATTCGCTTTCGTTAACCACAATATATGTTCATATTTATTTGTTTTGTAAACGAGCAAATCACGTCGCTCAAAATAAAAAATTTGCTTAATTTTATTCACCCAAAAAAAAGTTCCATTATCGGTCTTTTCGAATTAGAAGCTAGTAGTTTTTAATAGCATCTAATGGGGGTGTCCAGGAAATTTGAGAGCACTGACATGAATCGATTGCTCAGAAGGAGATAATTTGTTGAAAGTAAGCTGAAAGTTTATTTAAGATCGATCTAGCTATAAAAATAGACGGTTGTCTGTTTAGAGTTGAAATCTAGCTAGAAATAATGTAACAATTGAAGGAACATCGTAGTGTGTAACTTTAAACCGTGTTTTTGTGACTATTCGTTAGTTAAATTAAACGCGAAACTTCAATGTGCTTGTGTATCCCTTTATGCAGGTCTTACCTGTAGGCTGGTTTTCCTGTCGCTGTAGTTGTCTAAGCGCTCCGTTTAACGAACTACCGTCATCCCAAACAGCAAAGCGAATGGGTTGCAATTGATCGGCAAACCACTTTGGCTTATCACCAACTTGTCTAGGATCGAAGAGACCCGTTTGGACCCGTAGGAACGCTACATTGCAGGGTGTCAGGGACCATTCGGCGAGGAATTCTACTGCCTATAAAATTATAAGAGAGTTTCAATAAAAAAATTACTTATAATGATACTTGTTTTCGAGATATTATTACTAACCTGCGTCCTCGCAAATTTGTTCAAAAATGACGTAGTTCGAGGTCGAGATCGAAGAAAACTGTTAATTTGAAAAGCAACAACTGGCCGAGGGTACAAACGGAGAGTCCTTGTGTGTTCCATAAAATTTGCTAGTATGTTTTGAGAGTTAAAAAATCTGACCTGTAAACATAATATTTTTTTATTTTCTTACACTGTAGGTACATGCAGCACTTGTTGTTTTATGTAAAAAAAAACATTAATGTAACTACACTCTGGGTTTAATTAGTGATTTCATTGAACTATCAGTGTTTAGCATACTGTACTGTTTCAATCTAAGTCGTTCACTTTCTTTGTTTTTCTACGCAGTCAAAATTTGGTAAAGCAATGTAGAAAATAATTTGTAGCATGTTAAAATAAATTACCATTGCAACTCTGGTCGCTACGTCCACTGAGTCTACATCATTGCCATATATAAGTGGATTGAACGGCTGTGCTTGCATGGGCGACTGGTGAGGTGAAGCAAGAGAGTGCCTCTGAGGGGTGTGTCCTGCACTTGCAGCGCCACTTTGCACAGAAACACGACGAGATTCTGGTGTACTGTGGGGTGCGGACTGAGCGCCATCACCGCCCCGGTACGAAGGCGAATGAACCCTGACAAAATAGTGATATGATTTAATAATGGCAATTTTATTTTTAACTTCTGGCGTTTGTTTAGCCAACTACAGGATATTTGATATTTACTGGCAAACTGTTAGTGCCATTAGGATTGCTCCTTTATTTTAATTTACTTGACAGAATAATACTATGTATAATATGTATGTATTTACAAAAAAAAGTATATATGTATTTATATCAGTTGTCTAGTACCCATAGTACAAGCTCAGCTTAGTTTGGGACTAGATGGCGTTGTGTGAATGTAGTAAAATATATTATTATTATAAATACATAATTGGTTATTTTTGGGCTTCTGGTGTTCTTCATCATCAGACAACAGAGGGGTGGTCAGAATGATAAAATCTATTGTTCTGAACACCTTTGCTAATACATGAAAGGATTATTGGATTGATTAAGATTGTAGTCGAAATTACTGTTATTAATGGAGCCCTTAAAGAATGAATCGTGAAAAGATAAGACGTAAGGAGTAACATACTTAAGTGTTGCACCGCCCACGGTGTCTCTTCTTGAAGGCATCAGGGGTGCAGCGGCCTGCTCCGCGGTGCTGCTTGTCAAACTGTTCAGAGCCTATGGCCACAATACAAACATTAGAGCTATTGGAATAGCTTCATTTTATTATTATATTTTATCTTATTTACTGTTCCAAAAGGCTGTGGTAGTTACGATTTAAAAGTCAAGCATAATTATATAATATAAATATTTACATAATCAGTAGTCCAAACTAAAATAATTTTCATTGCTAATGTTATCTACTTGGTAGTGTTAAAAATATATCACTTAGATATTTTAACAAAAATATTCTAAACCTCACTACATATAGTCTAAATATTATAGTGTATAAGTATTAATTTGCGTTATGAAAATAATATTTAGCGTCTCATAATCAAACCACATGACGTCACATGCTGCACAACATAACAGCGCACAGTGTTTCTGAAGTAATGTTACAGTTTCAAAAAGTAGTTTCCTCGAGTTCCGAGTTCCGAGTGATGTATTAGTTCCTTATGTAGTACAATTTCCAAATATGTACTAGATAGCATAAATCTAAATAATATATATTTCCAGAGGCCACACTACCGCATTTTTCTCCATTTATAAAAGAAAACTAAAATTACTAATTACAATTAAGAAACTGTAACGATCCTTCAATAGATTTAAGTAAAGCAGCGTTTCTTATAATAGTGTAAAATAAATATAAAACAGTGTACGTAATACGTATACACACACACACACACACATATACTTGCGATATGCTGTAAGTAAATCGCATATATGAACAAGACAGGTAAGTAAGTGAGTATAGTATAATGTTGTAAATAGTAAAGTCAAAGTGTGCAATGTAAAAAAGGTATAGATATTTACACCAGTTCCGGCACTGCCCATTAGAAGCACGGCCTAGCGTCGGAAGAGAAGTGACGGCGTGTTAGTGAGTAAAGAAAACAAAGTGAAAATGCGTACAAATTATAAACGAAAATCTATCAGATTGTAACTGTTTCTCTTTTGTTATACAAATGTCTACTATCCCTGTTAGTGCAACTATGTCAACTTTAGCAGCTTATAGCTGGTATTGACTTAAACCTACAAACTTTCAGAAGCCCGGCTTGACTCGAAATGAATATAGATGTGGTGATACTTCTATATTCATTTCGATTTGAATAGACATTGATACTGTTAAACTAGTATCAACATATAAGGAACACGATTTTATTGTAAGCAAAGCACTGAACTGTCTAATTCATCTTAAAGATCCATAGCAATCAGAACGAATAAAATTGTGAGTGTGTGTTCACGCTTCAAGACACCTATTAATTTTAAATAGTTAACAATAAAAGAGGTTGGGTAACTGTTATAATTGAGTGTAATTTTTTTTCCGTCGCCCATCATGATTTAACACTCACTACTATGCTCGACACAATGTGTCAATGCGATAAAACACATAAACGACTATAATCAATAAAAAATAATCATACTGGTCACAACAGCTTAGCGACATCAATATATATGCGCTCACGAGTGCAAAGTATCAGGAAAAGTTAGTGGAAGAGGAAATGAATTATGAGAGTACACATTCATTGAGAATCAATAAAACATGTAAAACATTAAGACATATTAATCAATATGTACCTGTTTTAAGTGATTTTTTAATACAGAGCCTTCCGGTTCTGGTAAAGGCGGCAGATCTTGGTCAGTTCCAGTAGGACATATAAGTTTTGTGGCATCCAAGTCCACTAACCAAATGTCGTCCGGCAATCTGTTGAAAAAGTTAAACATGTTTGTACTCGTAATGAAGGATTAAATAACATTATCAGGGATTAGTAGGTTACTCGTTATCTTTTTTTTAACTCACAGACGGCCGTCGGATTCCAAACTAGGCAGAGTCTGTGATATGGTAACCAGACTGCTTATAAATATATTTAATTTTTAAATACACTCATATTCTCTGACATATCAGTCAGGATTACTAACCAGTATACCAACAGCCCCGTCCATTGATTACCTCTGTGTTTACTATGGTAAACAAAGCTTTTTATTATAACCTACAAATAATCAAAAGCTTTTGATTTGTCTCTGAAACTTTAGAATGTATTCACTACCACTCACCTGAAATTCTTTTTATACGTAAAAAACGTTGCCGGTATTCCAATAAGAAAAGGTGTAGGCGCGAGCAGCAGTTGTTCGGCGCAGTTCATACAACTTGGCAGGAGCGGTATAGCAGGGAACATATATTCTAGGGGATACAACATGGCGACCAGAGCCATAACTGACATCGATAAGGCGTTGTAGTCACGGGATTGGACTACTATTTTGTTTTCTAACAGAATTAGGGTGAGTACTTTGAGGCACGTTTCGACACCTGGTGGAACAAATATAAAGTTATAAGTTTTCTCTCATTATCAAAAACTTAATAGCATGATGGTTAAGTCCCTTTTGAATTAAGGTTTCTATGTTTTTTTGAATAAGGCAACATTTATTTTATTTGTTTATTGTATTAAAAAAAACGTAGAACGGGGATAAAAGCAAAACATAAATTCAATTTAATCATATTACAATATATGCATTAATGAGAACTACTGATAATGACGACAAAAATTCTTAAACAACTCCAAATATACTCGTACAAGAAAATAAGACCAAATGAATAAGCGATTCTTCAAAAGAGCATAAAAATTCTGAAGCGGTCAGTACTCGTAATTGATGTGTAATGACGGACTGGTGCAGCGGTGTTGCAAATTACCACCATAATGATGTGTAGTTACTATAACATCTTTGTAATTCTTAACACGATTACATGCAGTTAGAAATAGGTCATATCAGATCTAACCCAGACCGATATCTCTTTCATGAAACAAAAACATTATTTTGGAGCGGCACACAATTTAGATTATGTAGCGTTTATCATCATCATCATCAACAGCCTTTAACAGTCCACTCCTGGACATAAGCCCCTCCTTAGATAGGAGGTTTTGGCCTAGTATACCACGCTGGCCAGACGGGTTGGTATAGGGTTTGTGTCAAGTTTTCCTTCTCTCTGTAGTGCTGTTTTTCTACGTATTTTTTTTCCATTAGTCTGCTCTTACAACACCCACGGGATAAATAGGGGTGGTGACACTCTGTATTCTTAATCCGTCACCACACGGAGCGTTCATTTCCTAGAATTATACTTGATTATTTCCCTCGAGATGATAGACGTTCATAAATACTACTTTAATTTGATATATGTTTTTATTTAATAATAGTTTGTTTGAATTGTTCAGTTGAAACAGCAATGTCAAAACTTATCATATAATAAACTGAAATATTGGTATTTTAAAGTTGATTTTGCAGGTTGGAACGTTTTTACTACCAAATTTATCAGGCCACTCACCTAAAAGCTCCAATGGTAGGTGTAACGGAAAGTCAACAAGCGTGAATCGCGTGTGATCAGGTAATGCGAATAACAGAGGTGAGTGAGACGTGGGCGATAGCACTTCGAGTTCGAGACGAGTTTTGCCAGGCACCGGCACTGGGGCGGATAACAATCGAAGTATCCACGTTTCTATTTCTTTGACGTCATGTAGCACGATCGTAGGCGTGTTGTCGTACGCTTGACCGGTTAATACTGACCATACCGTATCCCTGAAACAAACCAGAATAGTTCGGTATTCGAGCCCCTCCGACATCTGTTCCTAGTTTTGGGGTTTGGGGTTTTAGGGAAGTAAAAAGGATTCTTACCTAAGTGTTTGTCTGGACGCACCGACGCGTCGTGGACTGGAAGACTCATTGCAGGCATCTATTAATTTCTTTAGGATAAATAGGCACTCTCGGAATGTGGAGAAAAAGGGATGATGTGACAATAGGCACAGGGACGTTAAAGAATGATTCCGTACTCTCTGTAACAACAATAAATGATGATTTAATTAAACATCTTATCTTCTTTTCTCTATCTTATCGATTCGATTCCATTTTCGGGTCTTAGGTGAAAGCAGTTCATGACCATTGGTACTTACTGAGGAATTAACACAGCAGAAAGAGCAATATCGGAATTCAGGAAATTAAATTAATACCTGTCTCTTTCTAGTGGCTCTAGGACTAGGTGAATGTGAATGAGACCCGCCGCTTTCTGAGTCCGGTGCAGGGGCAAGCCGCGGCGCTAATGTTGCGCTACAATCACGCTCCGAGTCGCTCGGTGCTACATTGCTGCTCCTATAGTCACTGAAACATACGCTATGTTTTAGTCCAACTTAGTAAACAAATTCAATAAAATAATCATAACTTAATTACAATACAGTCATTAATGAATACAATTTCTATGGCGAAAGAAAGTATTTACTACGTTATCTTCTTCCTCAGTTGATAAATATAAAACTACAACCAACTGACTAACGTGACGACCTCAACCAGAATAATATTAAAAATAAACTTAGAACTTATCAACTATTTGGAGTAATCTAAAGAGAGAGAGAGTAAATGTATGATGTATTCCAACATCTATTTGGAGTTGTTTACTCCAAATACTAGATGTATTTATCTACTCTCGCATGCTAAACTATCCTAACCAAGTGTTAGTTTTTGCCCCAAATGATTTTATTTATGAGCTTTTGGATAATATAGCGAAATGTAGCACCTAAACACTTTATGTCTATTCCGTACATATATGAAGATGAACTGACGGTACCTACTATAAACCTTGGTGGTTTTACAATCTTAAAAAAATATTTTATGTTAAATACCTTTTAAGCATTAAATAAAAATAAAAATAAATCTCCCCCTTTAAATACTTATCAAAGTTAAAAAACTCATTTGTAACTACTCAAATTTAACTACGATATCGCTTATAACCTTTAAACTTAAATAACTAAAAACCCCTTTTACAAGACATAATTTTATAATTGAATTGATTTATACGCCAATGACCTTGAAGTAAGCACTTCAAGATCACGCCCAGTTGGTAAATTTCTACTACTAACAGACATACTAAGTTTTAAGTATTTAGATTTTTTGCAGTGGTATGCTAATTCTGGATTTATGTAATAAGATTATAGGTGTAGGGAAACCTTTCTTACTTACATCTGTCTAGCAAATAAAAGAAATTTTGCAATTTGAACAGACTGCTTGGTTCGACTGAATAAGTAGGTAAACTTTACAAGTTCTATCATCGTCATTATGTTATGTTTTATTATTAAAATATATTACATTAATTTGACGTGATGTGTCAGTGACAATTAAATAACAGAAGTAATTAATGTTCACCTGGAGAAAGCGGAATCGGAGCTCTTTTCCATAGACTTACGCCAGGATTCCCGACGCAGCATGCTGCGTTCACGGGGCCCAGGCGCGGTTGCCCGCTCCACTGCACGGTAGAAGTTAACGCAGATCCCATAACGCGTCTTACCTGCGCCCATTGATACAGCAAATTATTGCATTATATTTTATATGGGTAAACTCTGAGCCTTTCCCACTGTAGGACAACATTTCGATGGAAACTTATAATAATTCAATAAATACACGATGATAGTTTTGATTCGAATTAATGAAAGGCGCTCATTATTATGGAAAAAATCTCGCTGCTTCTTAATTCATTATTGTCATTTCGTTTAAAAAAACATTTGCATGAATTAGTAAGAAATAATAATATCCTTTCGAGATGGTATTCTTATTATTATTAAAATATTCTCCATTAATGGAGGAAAGAAAATCAAGTTACTTAAGAGTTAACAATTTCATATAATGTACAAAGAGGTTGTATTGGTACTAGACAGACTTAAGTTACCCGAATCCTTGTCAGTGAGTGTAAAGACGAATGAAGTTGTATCCCGGGCAGCCGAATGTCCTGGAGCTCGACGAGGCCCCACAGACACGCAGCCCTCTGGCTGGCAGAAGTATACCATGTCCAATGGCAGAGGGAAGTCATCGTGATTAGTTAGTGGATAGCGTCGGAGTAGTTCTGGAGCCTAATATAAAAAAACCTGGATTTATTTACACTTACGAAAACCACTCCATTAAACAAAATCTTCCTAATAGTACATCAGCTCAAAACTATAATGATGTTAAAATATAAATACATCCGTTATGTATATGTAAGAAATGTAGAGATATTTTGAAAAATAAATGAAATATGGAAATAGATCGTCATAACTTGATCATAAAATATTGAAATAAATAAAAGCTAATCTATACATATACTAGAAATATATTTACCTGAACAGGGGCGAGCCCCTTGCCCGAAGTATAAGGCTTGGCGCCGACAATAGTTAAATAATCCACCAATCGCGGGCATAAGTGCTGTTTCTGAATGTCCATACTTGTACAATATTAGTTAAATTCTTCGATTGACTATATGCGCACTTTCTCGAACCCATTATAGTATATTAATATATTGCTTGTCATAATTATCACTTCTCTAAATATTCCTGGAAACAAAATATGTATATTATTATTCACGATATTTAAACTTTCCAATGATTCTGAATTGCAGTTGCAGGTAGGTGAAATTTGACTAAATGAGTAAAATCTTTTATAGCACTTTGAAATTTACACTTTCATCTTCTAAATGATGACGATCCGGGAAAATTTATTTTATTTACATAAAGGAAAAGGTTTCTTTTTCGTATTAGGTTGAAGGTTTCCGTTTCGTATTAATTCATTTAGATTGCAGACGCCTGTACTATGAACTGATCGATATTAACAGGTTCCTTTATTCCGAGAGTGACATTAAATTAGGGCAACTATGTATATTTTTATAAGTTTCAATTGTTTTATATTCATGGACATGGAAACATTAAACAAACAACGCGTTTAACAATTACAAATTCTCTTAGGTTATTCTTCGATTTATTGTTATGCACTTTATCTATTTATTTGAGGATTCCGAAAAGATGGCAAAACTGAATCAAACCATTTAACTCCTCACTCTTTACGTATAACCGACAGGGGACAATTATTGATTCACGGTAGCCGGTAGTAATGCAAGACGCCGAGGTAAGGCGACTTCCTTGACCCATTTAATGCCTTAATATAGTTCCGAGGATAGCGAGTTGCGCTACGCACAGCCAGGAATCGTCTACTAACATTCATTATTACCCATAAAACCTCGCTATAAAAAGTATAAAGCCTTAATACGATGTTAAAAAAATAACTTGGTACATTAAACTTATTTATTAGGTGATATAAAACTAAAATCCAGATGATGAACAGCTCTTTTATTTAGTTTTAATAAAAAGAAAAAAAAAGTATTTTCTTATCACTAGTCATCACAATGTATGAAGCTCTGTAGTGGTTAAGATGTAAAACAAACATGTGTTACCGTTAATGGCTAATTCAACGTTATTGATTTCCAATCAAGTAACCTTTACATGAGCTAATAAAAGTTGGCGTGTAATAACCTCGTCCCGAAATTGATGAGCGGTTCTCTCTGCTAGGCACGTGTAACTTACATAATGTACTCTTATTAGATAAAGTACCGATTTATGTGAGTAACATGAATATTTACTTATTTCCAAATGTAATAAATGTTGTTATATGTTATTGATTTATGAAGTAACCATGTTTTCACTATACATTATTCAACGAAATTTCAACACAGTAAAATAGTGAATACGTCGGTTGTATGCAAACAGAGTCAAGGACGAATTCTCTACAACGTGGGCGGTGTTATTTCTGTAGGTACATATTTGAATCGGTTCTCAATTTCAACCGATTTTCTTTTTTCCATTTTAGGTAGTTTATGTAAGTACATAAACTACTCTTACCTAATATAGAATGAATAAACTTAAATTGAAGTTGGACTTGTAAGAAAATAATAAAGGTGAGGAAGCAAATTGAAATTAGTTTGCACTAAAACCAGAAGGTTAAGTTGCCGGGTTGTCCGTTGTAAGTGAGTGAGTAAGTGACACTTAGAAGCACGTAAAAACAATGCCATGATATTCACATAATACATATTGAACGAGTATTGAAAAAATCAATTTGTTTTACTCATCTACATAGAAAATGATTATATATATTTACTACAGTATGTTACAATCTTACTCTACAATTAGCGCATACTCCCGCATATACTTTGACACTGCAGGTAAAATATGAAATAATGGCCTACAGCAGCATCAAGCAAAGCATAATTAAGCGATCTTTTAGCAGAATATCTGAAGGGACGACGTACAATACGTTTTGCAATTTCATATGCCAAGTTAATGCTGTCAAAATGCGGTCTCATGCCATTCCTAGTGTGGCTTCAGATGGACATTAGACAGAGGGTTTTTCCTAACCACCCTTTTTATTAGACAGCCGTACAGCATGACGTCAATGTCTAGAAGTCACCCAGTCAGCCACTGATTAATGTGTTTGATTAAAGTACAATTGAATAATGTAAGTCAGTTTGAATCAACCAGGAGCAAATATCATGGATACATATAAAGTTACTTTCCCTGACTGACTGATTCATCAACGCAGAGCCTACAAACTTGAAATGTTGTCATCTTTTTATATTGTCAGCACCCACTAAAGAAAAAAAATTGTAAATTTTACCCCTTACTGGGTATAATAAGGGATAAGGGTATGGAAGTTCGTCATTTTCAAAGCAAAAAACACGAAATATGAGTTACATTGGACAACGACGTTATTAATGGGTAGGCAGGTCCTTATAATAACACCTTACGTTGCTTGACCTATTGATGTACGTTATTGATAAAGCTAGGCACAAATTTAAAAAAAACTCGACGTGACTACTCAAACAAAGGCGTTATGATTTCGAAAGTAATGGTGACAGTCAGTTTATTAATATTTTCATCTATATATTTCTCTAGTCTGGACAATGTCTCATCGTGACGTGTCCGACGACTTTAAGCTATGGTGAGCAATTTCAAGATCTGACCATGACCTTTTAACCATTTCTATAAAATATACTATAATCATTGAGTTAAACAAATAAAATAATAAAATTGGCGGGCAGAGGAACAGGGAGTAAGTATGTTTTATTTCACGTTTTAACGATCAAGTTTATTAATTTATAATTATGTAATCAATATGGCTGGTAAAAACGGACGCCATTCATGTTAAAACAAGAATCATATTTTAAATCATAGTCACACTTCTGGTTAACAAGACCTGTACAGTTGTTTGCATTGCGCCTTAAGGTTTTAGTTGGTTCGATTCCAACATGCGCTTAAAAGTTAACCCCGATAAAGATGATGACACATGATCGTTATGGCGGCATTTTATGGAGCATAGTTTTTTATTTTATTATCCACTTTTATTTCGTTGTAACTCACTTTATTGAAATTTCGCGTTACCTACATTTATTGGTGCTTTTGGCCAGGAAAGAGTACAAAAATATTAATGTTCATGTAAGTATTGATCAAATAGGCCGACGATAGAAATGTCATTGTTGCCTCGACAGTATAAATAGTGCATGTTTCACTTGGTCCATGACATATAATTTGCGATAATGTTCACGTTATCATATGGTTTCATTGTAGTGGGCGGGAAACCGGCTAAACATAAAAGTGTAACTAATTTTATATGTCCTTAACAAATAATATGTCCCCATGTATAATCATGAAAACGACCTTCGGAACTGCTTGAATTTACAAGAAAGAATAAATAAACTTACTCTATTTGATATCAATTTAAAAAATGAATGTTAACCCATTTCGGCCGATTATGCCGAAATGGGTAAACATTAGCCAGGGGGTCAATATTAGCCAGTTCAGTGGTCTGTTTCTGGAGCATTACAGCTTTACCGTAAGAGACCACTGCGCCCCACCTCACCCGCTTGTAAGGCAATAATTAGTGTTGGCGGGGAGAAAACAAGATACCATATTTGAAGATATTAGGCGCAAGTGGAATGAAATTTTCGACAATTGCGAAACTATGATGGTTACTTTTCCATAAATAATTTCTTTTGACCGTTTGAATTAAATTACTATACATGAATTACACCAATCAATACATGTTGTAACATTAAATTAAAATATGAAATATAATGTAGTTTGTAACAGTTATTTTTTGTACATTTGTTGGTCTTGTTAAAAGCTACATCTATTAGCCGCGTTGCATTGTTTTTAATTTATCTAAGGTAGTTTATAACTACAGTTTTGATCTTCTGTGTTCACTGATATTAAATGTCAAAGTAAAATGTTGAAGAGGGGTTATTTTCTGGAAGCTTCGTTAACCGAAGATATATAAGTCCGGCTTTCTGTTACGGGAGACTGCTATCTCGTGCCTTCCGATCTTATATAGTGTTTTGATTGCTGTGTGATTTGATTTTCTTAATATATTATCTGTTCAAAGTACCCACACTAAAGTGGTGAGTATGTTCTTAATTCTACTTAAACCTATTTGTTTCTGGAACCTGTTTAATCATATGAGTGCTAATCCATTCGTAGGGTCCCAGATTTCGGGCTCAAGACGGTCAGTCTCAGACGGCGTGCTTGCTCTTTTGTGGCCTTCTGGTACAGACTCAAGTTTCTTGGTACCCTCTGGCAAGGCTGGTGATTGCGCGGCTCACGACGCAAGCGGACAGCCGTACCCAAGAGTTACGTACTTAAACTTATAATTACAAATTTGTTAAACTTTTATCCATATCCAATATAAATAGCTGACTCGGGCGGAAGAGGAAGTAACCTCCTGGAGGGACGACGAGGAGGCACCGAGCACCATCAGCTCGGCTCTGACGCGCTCCGCTGCGGTTTTTTTTATACCCTCTGATTTTTTTTTTATTGTAAATTTAATTTTGTTTTGAAATATACATGTATGTATGACTGAGGTGTAAGTTGTTTTCCTCTAAAGAGTCCCGTAGGTTTCCCACACGCACACACTTCTTTTCTCTTAGAAGGCGCCCTGAGGTAATCTCATAGATCTCTCCACTGGGTCAGCCGGTGAGTAGTCCGCCTGAGAAGAAAAGCGGCTACAAGTTATCACAATTTACTTGCCACTCTCGTAGGCGTAGAAGTGGAGTAGGCAGTGTAGATACCTATTGTGTGTGGCATCAGTGGCAATTTAATAAAAAGGCAGTGACTGTAAATAATAAATTTCAAGTTGGAAATAAATGTACAGTAAAACAAATTTAGATGATTTCAAAAAAACCAGACATAAATGCGGCTTTACTGTAAAAGCAATTTATGCGAAAATCTGCGAGATATAAGTAAAAGTTATGTAATTATTATTTTGTGCGGATGTTAAATTACACTAATGTTATGTATGTTATCATAGTGTTTATTTTGATGAAGGATTATAATTACTAATTATTGCAAGACTTTCAATAAACCTGTAAACTACTTATTTCAGTGTTATTCACATTTTCGAAG